GATTGCTCACCGATATCATTTCAGAATATGGTTTATGTACCTATGTATGTGTATTTTGAACATTTATCTTATTGATTTGACTCGGGGTGGGGGTACACACAATGGCCATTTCTCTGGTAACACTTCCCAACTGACACTCAGCATTCTCTGGCTTTTGAAAGCTCCTCCACATGCTCATTCCTCACTCAACTGTTCTTTAGAAGTGGTGGGGGTGCCCCAATTAAGGTCTTTAAAATACTTTCTACTTTTGTATACCTTGGGGGTTCACCCAGACCTACTGGTAACTTCCCAGTCTTTCTTCTTGATCACCCTTTTTTTATTCCAAAAATCTGTCAGCACTCAACCACCTGAGTTTGCTGTTAGAGGGAATGATTCCTTTAGTTCCTTGGCTCCGGTAGATCTGGGGCTCTGCAGTGAGGAAGCAAGTTTCTGTGAATCTGAAAATGCACATCAAACTTTGCTCCCCTCACAGGGTCAGAGCTGCGTGCCTTTTTGGCAGTGCAAATTCCTGATTCATAGGAAGAAGAAGGAACCTCCTAGTTTCCTGCTGGGCTTCCTTTCCAAACACACTGGGCTGGGGAGAGACAGAAATTTAAGATGAGCAATGGCTGGCCTGGGAATTGAGAAGTGGCTTGTTTTTATTACGAAGGTGGTTCCTGCCAGCATTCCACACGTCCAGACGTCACTTTGGGATGAACTTGCTATGAAGCAGAACTTAGGCTTTTCTGGTTGTAATTGAGTTCATTTGTATTGCCTTTGGTGTTTTGAAAAACAGGTATTTCTCCCCCCTGCCCCCCCCCCCCGCCATCCTTCCATTTCAAATGGATTGCTTTTCATATTTCTTGTTAAAATGTTCTCCTCTTCAGTCTTGGGTAAAATGGAGAGAGGGTTTTGTTTTTGTTGTTTTGGTATCCTTCCCCTGTTGGTGACTTCTTGTTTGGTTGGGTACCAGGATGGTATCAGGCAGACAGCTCATTTAAGGCTCTGAGAACCATGTCTGTTCAGCATATTCTATCCCTCCTCTCTCTTGCAGTTTGGGATTGAGATATGTTTTCAGTGCCTGAGGATATGAAGTAAAAATAGATTAAAGGTCTTGGAGCATATACAGAGGGCACTGCTCTCACCTGCTGGCAGCAATTACGTATAATGATAAGCCAAGATTCTCTGCCTTTTATTTACTCTGAGCAAGTGGCATCCTGATGCACACAGCTTAATCAATCCCATCTTGCTACTTCCCTGGCATGTGAACAGGATAACCCAAGCAGGAAGCCCCTTCAGCTAGGGAAATCCCTGCACAGCCACAGCCAGGAATTTGAGGCCAGTCGCTATTGACGCAGGTGGTGCTGTGCGTTAAACCACAGAGCCTAGAGCTTGCCGATCGGAAGGTCAGCAGTTCAAATCCCCACGACGGGGAGCTCCCATTGCTCGGTCCCAGCTCCTGCCCACCTAGCAATTCGAAAGCACATCAAAGTGCAAGTAGATAAATAGGTAGTGCTCTGACGGGAAAGTAAACGGCGTTTCCGTGTGCTGCTCTGGTTTGCCAGAAGCGGCTTAGTCGTGCTGGCCACATGATCCGGAAGCTGTACGCTGGCTCCCTCGGCTAGTAAAGTGAGATGAGTGCCGCAACCTCAGAGTTGTCCGCAACTGGACCTAAGGGTCCCTTTACCTTTACTCTATTTATAAAGTATTTGCAGGAGCTAGGTACTTTTGCAAGTTGATGCAGTCCTGCTGCCAGATTCATGCCCTCAATAAACCATCTCTCTCGGCCCTCTCCCACCTCTCCCACCCATTTGTGGACTAGCTTCAGCCCTTTGGCAGAATTGCATTACATGTATTACAGATGCAATCAATATTTATGCTGTCTTTCAAGTCTGAACTCATTTGATGTCTCTTCATTGGCTGTGGGGAAACTCCTCTCCTCTGGCTTCCAAGAAGGAGTCAAGCCTGAATACTCCCTCTGTTTCTAGAGGAGCAAAGGCTGTTGCTCATCTGTTCCTTTCCTTGCAGGGCACAGTCCCCAGATCTGATGTTTGTTCTCGCAAGTGGTGGCGGCCATTCTGCCAGCTGTTGGAAATTATAAAGTGAATTGCTCTGTGGGGGTGGGTGGGAGGGGGGACCCTGAAAACAATAAAAGCCTTCAGGGTTTTTTACATTCTTTCTGGGTAACAAACTGTCCTGGCATCTCCTTCAGTCATGTTTTTAAAAGTGGGATGGTATTTGGTTTCTGGCTTACATTTCCTAGGTAAGTGAGTGTTCAGAGATCAACATAAAAAATATGTTCCCAGCTTGTTCCAGACAGACCAGGGGTGGGTAGCTTGTGGTCCAGCAGATGCTACTGACTCCAGGTCCCATCAGCCCTAGCCAGTGATCAAAGATGATGTTAGGTGTGGTCCAGCAATATCTGGAGGGCCTCATTTCTGCTCCAGACATTGATATGCTCCTGGCGTTTGTGTTGCTAATGCATCCATGGGTGTTCACCTACAGGACAGTGAACATTAACCCCCAAATCATGAACCAGGGCTTTGCTGAACTATCAGCTTTTCTGAACTGCCCCTAGACTGTGCCAGCCATTATGAGAACTGTTTAAAAATTTGTGTCTGGGTTAAATATTCCACCTCCTTCTTCGTGTGCCACTTCTTTTAGATTGTAAGCCTGCAGGCTGGGACTGTCTTGTTTTAATTGATTGTATGTAAGCCACTCTGGGAGGCTTTCTGACTGAAGAGCAGGGGTACAAATGCTCTAAAGAAATAAATTTTCCAAGCTTTTCTCTGTTTTTAAAGAGTTAAGTTTCTAGCATTTGTAGGACCTGAAGTATATTAGGCAGAATGTAGCTGCACTGTTCTTCTCTTTGTGTGTGTGTGAGAAGCTAGCCTTCTATCCCTTTCAGGTTTTTTTCTCTTCACCCCACAAACAAGTGCATATGACACACACCCCAAAACGAGTGCATATGAGTTGACAATGCTTCTTCCAGCAAAGGTCTGGCCCTCCACTGCATTCCCTCCTCCAGTGGAATCATGTGAGTTGAGAGTGGGGCCAGAAGGAAGTCTCAGTCCTCCAGGAAGGGGCATAGATAACTCCAAGGGCTCTTGGGACTTAGCATGCTTCTGACAACATTGTTGTGCCTTTGTGCAAACTCCAAAATGACACAAAAGCAAAAACTCCATCCATCCTCATCAGAATCCAGCGGTCAGATCTGCAGCTGTTATGAATGGGTGCAGATTTTGACAGAGCCTGGAATGTGCTACAAGGACTACAAGTGATTTTTGCAGGTGTCCCAGGTTTCACTCCCAGGCATCTCAGGTTAAAAGGCTATCAGGGAAGTCACATATGAGCATGGGTAGGCAAACTAAGGCCCAGGGGCCGGATCCGGCCCAATTGTCTTCTCAATCCAGCCCGCGGACGTTCCGGGAATCAGCGTGTTTTTACATGAGTAGAATGTGTGCTTTTATTTAAAATGCATCTCTGGGTTATTTGTGGGGCATAGAAATTCGTTCATTCCCCCCCCCCCCAATATAGTCCGGCCCCCCATGCGGTCTAAGGGACAGTGGACCGGCCTCTTGCTGAAAAAGTTTGCTGACCCCTGCATATGAGGATCGTTTGTGTCCCTGTGGAGCCAATGAAGCAGTCAAAACTCCGGCTCACATCTTTTTTTAATGTAATCTTCGTAGAGAGGCTACTTTGGCCTCTTATGCAGAGACCCCTGGAAGGATACAGGAATGGTACCTAGAATATTTCGTGGCTAATACAAACAAATTAATAGCAGTGTTGGTGGCCAAGTCCCTCTTCATTGTTCAAAGGGCTTGTAAGATGATACTCTTACTCTACTTGTAATTTGGAGCTCATGTTTTTATCTTTTGTATCATGTAATAATATGACTGTAAAATTGGCGGTCTCATTGTGAGGTGTACTAAACTGCACTGATGGCGCTTATTTGAGGGTTTTTTAATTAGTTTTTAAATTAAAGATATTCTTGTGTTACAAAACAAATAAACGGGGGAAAGTTCATGTCACTTTATGTAAAGCTCTTCTAACGTGTTCTGGGCTTGGGGTGTCTGTCCTCTGCCATCCCCCTTGCATAGATGGCAAGCAAGGCAGAAAGAGTGGGATTTGTGCCTGTGCTGTACTTCACAGAGGAGAGAGGAGGAGAGTGCTCTGTCTGAAAGTGTCCTCAGCTGAAGGGCTTAAGCTTAAAGATGAAGGGAGAGCAAGCGGTACCTTGAAGCTGCCCCCCAACAGCTGGCACCATCTGGGCAACAGATTGAGCAGGCACCTGGTCACAGGCTTCCCTCTTATGGAGATGATGGTGGTGAGGATGATGATGTGGCATTACTTATCCCCCCCCCATCCAGCTGGGTTTCCCCAGCCACTCTGGGCAGCTTCCAGCAAAATATATAGGAAGAAAACAAAACATTAAACATTAAAAGCTTCCTGAAAAGGAAGCCTTCAGATGCCTTTTAAGGTCGTTTAGTTACTTATCATCTTGACATCTGACGGGAGGGCATTCCATTGGGTGGGTGCCACTACTGAGAAGGCCCTCTGCCTGGTTCCCTTAGCATCACTTCTCGCAGCAAGGGAGCTGCCAGAAGGCCCTCGAAGCTGGACCTCAGTGTCCAGGCTGAACAATGGGCGTGGTGACGCTCCTTCTAGTATACATGTGTGTATGTTTTATCCTTTGTATCATATTGTTTTTGAAACAAGCGTATGTTTTAATGCTCGTGTTTTTATTCTTTGCACACACTGTTTTAACGTATCTATGACCACATAAGAAATGATTGAGGATTTTAGGGAACTGGTGATGGGAATGCCCACTGTCTTCGTTTGGAGAACCTCAAAGGCAGCTCCCTCTGTCCCCGTGATTTCAGAAGATGATATTAGCAGACACAGAAAGCTACCGTGGAAGATGCAGTTTGGTTGTCCTGTGATTTCAAAAGGAGGGGGGTTTGTTGATTTTTTTTAAAAAAAATAGCAATCTAATGTGTCTTGTTTTGTTTCTGCCCAAGGTAACATAAAGAGAAACCTGCAAGAGATCTGGCAAGATGGTTGCTCTGTCCTTGAAGATCTGCATTCGCCAGTGCAATGTGGTCAAGACGATGCAGTTTGAGCCCTCCACGGCTGTGTATGACGCCTGCCGCGTTATTCGTGAGCGAGTGCCAGAGGCTCAAACTGGACAAGGTTAGTTTTGGCAAACCCCACATTTGAGTTACGGTCTGACACATGATGCCAGGTAGAGTCATACCTTGGGTTGAAGTAGCTTCTGGTTGAGCATTTTTGGGTTGCGCTCCGTGGCAACCCAGAAGTAATGAAGCATGTTACTTCCAGGTTGTGCTGCTTGCGCATGCATAGACGCTCAAAATGATGTCATGCGCGGAAGCGGCAAATCGCGACCCGCACGGACACGGGTTGCGTTCGCTTCAGGATGCGAACAGGGCTCCGGAACAGATCCTGTTCGCATCCAGAGGTACCACTGTATGGGGCAGATAAAGACTTGGCTCAGCTGAAGTGGGGTTTGCATGCACAGCCAACCTGCGAAGCACTCTGCAGCGCTTGACAAGACCCGCCAGTCAGCTGAATGGCCTCACTTTGTGGGCCGACACAGCTTGATTTCAAACTCTGTGGGCAAGGAAGGGTCACATGACATCACTGTGGGCAAACCCCCCCCCCCATGTTTCAAACTTGGCTCACGGCAAGTGGGAGAGATAATGATCTGGGCTGCCCCACCAGGTCCAGTTTTCCACCCCATCTCTAGATGCTGGACTGTGGCTCCCACCATCCCTAACTACTGGTCTTTCTGACTAGGGCTACATTTTGGGGGGGCCCACCCCAGATAAGGCAGTGGGTGTCCTGATGAGCAATAAAGGTTCACACAATGAGCATGAAAAGGTCCTGGTGTCTCAGAGGGCTGCCTTAGCAGCTGTTCACAGACTTTGGAACTCCCTCCCTAGAGAGGCCAGACTCTTTGCTACCTGTATTTTAATAGAATTGTTTTTATATTGTTTTAATTCTGTTACAGTTCAAATACTTCTTGACTGTTATCTGCTGTGTGTTTTTACCTTTCTGTGTTTTAATCCAAGCTGCCTTGAGTCCTGGCTCTGGGAGAAACATGGAATGTAAATAAATAATAGTGCCAGGTATTTTATTGGACTTGTGGAGTGATGTCCCTGAAGTGAGGGCAAATGCATTGTCTTCGCTCTGTATGTGTGTGTAGCAGGTGGGGAGGGAGGAAATGTGTCGCTGAGGCAGGCAAGCCTCGCTACCCTGCTGTTTGATTGCTCTCATAGCTTCTCTTTTTAATATTGCCACCCAACCAGGGGGTTAACACTTCTGCCCTGTTTTTGCAGCACCCCCCCCCAGTGCAAAATTACCCAAAGGGAAAAAGTGATTGTGAAAAGGTCCTCTTTTGCTCATTTCCACTCGGAACAAATATGTTTATGTATTTATCATCTTCAACAAATAATGTCGGTTTCCAGGGCAATGGGAAACCTTGATTTATTTTCGGGCAACCAATCGCTCGCAAATTGCGGCTGTGCTGACTTGGGCGGCCACAGGCAAGTTTACATTAACTTGGGATTCAAGATTAGCAATGCCATCATGCGGACGAGATGGGGCCTTGATTGGCAATGCAGTCTTGGAGCTAATTGTTGCTTCCCGGGAGCTTTGAATCCAAGCTGGGAATTTCTGCCCCTCACTGTAAACCGTTTCCGTTGCAAACAGGCTCCGCAAGGGCATCCGCTGAACAGCCGGATTAATAGACACTGATGGAGTGGAAGCATTAGCTCTAAACTACTTTGTATTATTTGGTTCATTACGTTTGAATGCAGCCTTCATTAATTAGCAGTGAGTGATTAAAGTGCCGACATTGGAGCGTTGCCTTTTGGCGTTGCCGTTTTGGCCTTCGTCTCCTGCAGTTCCAGCAGCGACATGTCCGTGACCTTTGGGCACCTCAGCCTCGGGATGCTCCTCCGCAGACGTTCCTTGGGTCACAGCGTTTGCTGCAGCATTGCCAGTTTCTGCCAGCAGGAAAACGTGGTGCAACCAAGCACATGTGGAATGCTGTACGGTGGTACCTCGGGTTACAGATGCTTCAGGTTACAGACTCCGCTAACCCAGAAATAGTGCTTCAGGTTAAGAACTTTGCCTCAGGATGAGAACAGAAATCGCATGGCAGCAGCATGGTGGCAGCGGGAGGCCCCATTAGTTAAGTACCTCAGGTTAAGAACAGTTTCAGGTTAAGAACGGACCTCCAGAACTAATTAAGTTCTTAACCCGAGGTACCACTGTATACAGTTCTGGCCCCCTCACCTCAAAAAGAAGGTTGTGGAGTTGGAAAAAGGTTCATTATGCATAGCATGGAGAAAGGGCATAGAGAACTTTTTTTCTTCCCTCTGTCATAGCACTAGCCCTCATGGACATCTGAAGAAGCTGCGTTTTGTAAGCTTCAGGATAGATTAAAGGGAATCCTGCTTCAAGCAGCGCATATACTATGGAACTCGCTCCCCCAGGAGACAGTGATGGCCCCCAACATGGATGGCTTCAAAAGAGGTTTAGAGACGTTCATGGAGGAGAAGAGGGCTCTCAGTGGCTACTGGCCAGGATGGCGATGCTCTGATTCCACAGTCCAAGTCAGCAATGCAGCTGAATGCCAGTTGCTGGAAACCACAGGAGGGGAGAATGTTCTTGTGTCTAGATTCCGTTTCTGGCTTTCCCATTGGGGCATCAGGTTTGCCACTGTGAGAACAGGATGCTGGACTAGATGAGCCACTGGCCTGAGCGAAGAGGCTCTTACCAGAACTTTAGTCACAGGAATGTTCAAGTTCCTGGTTTGGGGTCTTATCATGACTAAATACAGTGGTACCTCTGGATACAAACAGGATCCGTTTTGGAGCCCCATTCGCATCCTGAGCAGAACGCAACCCGCATCTGCACATTTGCATGTGCACGGGTCGCGATCCAAAGCTTCTGCGCATGTGTGTGATGTCATTTTTGAACATCTGCACATGCGCGAGCGGCAAAACCCAGAAGTAACCTATTCCATTACTTCCGGGTCACCATGGAACGCAACCTGAAAACGCTCAACCTGAAGCATATTTAACCCGTACTTCAACCTTTGAGAACCTTTGAGGTATGACTGTACTTCAACCTTTGAGAATTCTTTACCTTTTCTTTTAAAAAATGAACACTGTAATGGCCCCCTTTTGCAGATACAGTGTTCACTTTCCCTTCCTCTCCAAAGCGAACAGTCAGCTGTCCCAAGCACCACGGGCTTCGAACTGTGTTGAGGCAGGTGAGCCAATTATGGGAAAGAGAAAGGAAGAGGAGGAGGGGGTGGGTGAGGGGGAGAGAGCTGCAAGGAGAGGGCAGAAGCTGGAGGGGCACTTCATGGCTCTCTAATCAAGTGGAAAACCTTCGTTTGGAATACACTCTATTTGCTCTGCAATCTGTCCATTTCTGCCTTTCATTTCCCAGCCTCTGACTATGGGTTATTCCTGTCCGATGAAGATCCACGGAAAGGCATTTGGCTGGAAGCCGGGAGGACCCTCGATTACTACATGCTGCGGAATGGGGTACGGCTGAGATCTGTGTGCTCCTGGGAGACATCTAGTTTATGGAGAAGGGGGGTGGTCTGTTGGTGACTGTTCAGGCAGCAGGGCTAGGTAGAGACTCCACGTCCAGGAGGAGGCGTATGGCGTTGGATACTAGTCACAGGAGACTCCTCTTATAACATTTGTGAGTCATGGTAGAAGCGGAACCTCCATGTGCAGGGACAGTTGACCTCTGAACACAATGTGTTGCGAATATACTGCAGGATTGGGTTATTGCCTGCATGCCTTGCTTGGCTTTCCAGAACCATCTGGAAGGGGGGGGAAAGGAGGCTGGACTAAGTGGGTCTTAGCATGTCCACTCTTACATTATAAATTCTCCACAAAACTTCATTAGGGGCCGTAGTTTTGGAAGATTTCACCAACATTATCAGAGTGTGAACGATGGAATGGAAAAGGTTTCAGAAAATACAGTGCTGATCATTTCAAAGAAGGCTTGTGTAATCTACTTGGGGTTGTATCTACTGCTGCACCTGCAGAATTCTGCAAGGGCAAGAGGGCTTTGCTTCCTCTCTTCTTTCCGTGCAGCCCCAATTGTATGAAAATCTGCCCCAGCAGGTCCCCCAACCCTCTGGAGCAGATTTTGAGGGACCACAGTGATACGGACCCAGTTTGGGCTGCCAAGTACACTAGTTGACCCTAGTGCATCTGCTTATTAGGGCTGCCGACTTCCTAAAACCACATTTAAAAGTACATAACACATTTTAATTGTGGCAACAGGGGGGCTGCAGGGCAGAGGAGAAGAGGAGGAAGTTCTGCTGTGCAAGCACGGTATCAGTGTTGGGTACTACACTTAGAGCTGTAGCCAATGCTAGTCCTACTCAGAGTAGATCCATTGAAGTTGATGGACATGACTAACCTAGGTTCATTCATTTCAATGGCTCTACTCTGAGTAGGACTAGAATGGTACCCTTAGGGATTCCCCCACTCTAGATTCACCCTTCAGAGCCTGGTGCAAAAGATACAGACTTCAAAACTCTGAGGCCAGGATTTTGTTTGAATTCTGGGACAGGATGCAGTTCACAGCTCTCCCATACAAACATCCGTACCTGGTTCCTCTAGGCTTTTTTCACCTCAGTGGTGTAATTTAAGGCGGCGGCGGAGGGGGTAATTTCATTGCTGCCACTGTGAAAACAGTTGTGACTTAGAAACCCTTGCCGATCGACTGCAGAGCACCCAGAAATCTGCCAGTTGCTCCAGGTCTACCTTCTGCCCACTCCAGGTTAGAATGCAGGAGGTAATCTGGAATGAGCCAGAACAATCAGCCCCCCTCCCCAAATGTTGGTTGTGCTACAAAGCAGAGGCAACCCTGTTATGTGGTTGATAACTTCCTCAGGAAGGCCGGTGAATCTGTGCCCATTTCCTTAAGGCATCCCTGGAAAGCCCTTGTGGCATTGGGAAACTTCCTGGGACCCCTACATCCTCATTTATTGACTTCATTTATTAAGATTTCTTACTCACCCTTCACCATAAAGCCCCAGGCTGGGTTACAAGGGAATAATTATAATACTATGTTAAAATCAGTTTAAAACAGTTTACATCAGAAGACTAGGGTGGGATCTAAAATGTATGCCTCAGCTGTCAAAGGATAAAGATGTGCATCTTCAGCATGTGACACAGTGCAGGTGCTGGAGAAACCTCAGGGAGAGCTCTGGGGTAGGAGGGGACTCCTCATATCAGAAATTGTGGTCAATTGGAATGACTTTAAATAAATAAATAATAAGTAAATTTTATTTGTATCCCGCTCTCCCCAGCCAAAGCCAGGCTCAGAGCGGCTAACATCATATAAACAAGACAATATGCATAATACAATCTACAATATGCAAATAAAATAACATTCATAGAATAGAATCATAGAATCATAGAGTTGGAACAGACCACAAGGGCCATCGAGTCCAACCCCCTGCCAAGCAGGAAACACCATCAGAGCACTCCTGACATATGGTTGTCAAGCCTCTGCTTAAAGACCTCCAAAGAAGGAGACTCCACCACACTCCTTGGCAGCGAATTCCACTGTCGAACAGCTCTTACTGTCAGGAAGTTCTTCCTAATGTTTAGGTGGAATCTTCTTTCTTGTAGCTTGGATCCATTGCTCCGTGTCCGCTTCTCTGGAGCAGCAGAAAACAACCTTTCAACATTCATTAAAACAATATAGAATAAAATTAAATATCAGCATTTCAAAATTAAACAGAAATCCACTCAACAGTTACAATAAGTAATTTCTAAACTCCAATCAATAAAACAACAGCAAACCACAGTGCACAACATAATACAATACAAAATGAGAAGCAGAGAGTGGAGGGTGGAGCAAGGCAGGTGGAAGGAGGCCTTGCCTGATGAAGTCTCCCCCCTCACCTTTAAGCCACCTTATGGTAGCCTGGTGATGCTTGACGTAAAGGGGTCTGCATACTGGGAAGTGCAATGGAAGGAAGGTCAAACCCAGCCCCTTTTGGAACTTCACTGGCTTCCTAGGAGGGTCAGCTGGGTCTGCCTCTGACATATTCTTAAAAGTGTCCCTGTGACCCACTTCCTAGGATATCTTGGAATACAAGAAGAAGCAAAGGCCGCAGAAGATCCGGATGCTGGACGGGTCGGTAAAGACGGTGATGGTGGACGACTCTAAAACCGTGGGAGAATTGCTGGTGACCATTTGCAGCCGGATAGGTGAGGCCAAGGGTGCCATTAACGCCATTTCCTAGGATAGATATTCCTGTGAGGAGAAATAGCCATTGGGGTCCCCAGGCCTAAACCTCACCTTTTACTGCCTGTCCTGGTAGGAATAACAACTCCCTATGAAAAATAAAGGGCGCTAAGTGAGTGTAAATGGAACTTGCTGGAGAATTTGGGGGGGGGGGACAACAGTTGGGGTCTTGAACCTTGATGCATGATCTCCATTCTAAAAAAAAGGCTTTCCTGGAAACTTGAGCTTCTGGTCTGGGTTATGCACCTGAATATATGAGAAATGCCATTCTCAACCATGGACCACATTCTGGGGGTCTGAGACAAAAGTGGAGAGGGGTCCATGAATGTGACTCTTTGTACAATAAGCCCACAACTTATTCAGGATTTACGTTCCAGGGGGGTCACACCTACAGCCAAAATCACATATAATCAAAACCTTTTGGGTTCAATGGAGTGTGGGATTGCCATAGTCATTTCTTCCAAAACCCTTACCTTTTCCACCTCAATTTTATTTTTGCCACATGCCCAAGTTAAAAGCACACAAGTCATACAAAACTCCCTATATCCCCATGCACCTCCACAGTCCATCCATGCAAGGAAGAGGCATTGCCCTGGTCCAGGGTTGCATTCCAGCCAGGCAAAAGGCCTGGAAGATACGCAGAGCAGGTTGGAGGAGGGTGTGTGGCCTGCAGGCAGTTCTGGGGCCCAGACTGGCAAGCCTAGAGGGCCACATTTGGCCCTTGGAACTTAGGTTCCCCACTTGTACCACGAATTGCTTCATTTTTCTGTTCTTCCAAGATGTGTTACCAGGTGGAACATTTGCAGCCAGCATGTTAGCCAACCCATGACTCAGAGCTAAAACTAAAGGGCTCCTTCCCTCGGCCACTCTGGATGTTGCTGGGGTGTGTTCTTAGTTGTTTCTTTAGAGCACCTGTACCCCACTCTCCAGCCCAAAAGCCTCTTGCAGAAGCTTATGCTCGGTCAATTAAAACAACGTTGTCCCTGCCTGTAAGCTTACAGTCCGAAAGACACAGCACAAAAGGAAAAAAGGATGTTCAGGGGAGAGGAAGGCAGGAGCCAACTCAGGAGCCAATTCTTAAAGTTAAATATTAGTTCTTATAATGAGCAGCTGGAATGGAAACTTTAAGGGGTAGGATGCATCTGGTCTTTCAGCAGAGCTGATGGCAAGGGCCCTTCTTCCCACATCTCCCATTGTCACAGCCTGAAAGAATGACTGCAGGCTGAGAGAGAGCTTTCATGCCACAGGGGCTGCCTTTCCCAGCTCTGTGACTGGTAAGATCCCTCCCCTAGTGATGCCAGGGACTGAACCATGGCTTAGCATTATAATGAGCTAAGCCACACCCCAAGCACTGTGGTTAGTAAAAGCTCAGTGAGCTTCATAAACCATGGCTTGTTTCTAAGTGGTTAACTCCTCCTTGTGGCTGTACTGGAGAAAGGAGGAGAAGGGATGAGCATGCAGGCCTTGTGGAGCACCTGGGCCCAGTCTCATGTTCTAAATTGGCCTGCGATGCCTTTTCTTTTTAAAACAGACTTTAGGACAGTGTTTCTCAAACTTGCATTCCCATCTGTTGTTGGACTACAACTCCCATTATCCCTGACTGCTGGTCTTGCTAGCTAGGGATGATGGGAGTTGTAGGACCCAAGTTTGAGAACTAGCATTACATCCAAACTAGGCCATGCAGAGCAGCAGCCTTCTAAAAGAACTGTGTTTAGGGTTTTCTTGCTTGCTTGTGGTTTCGGACCAAATAGCCATGTTGAATAAGCAGGCTTAGTTTGTTCTTGCAATTCCAGGAATAACCAACTACGAAGAATACTCCTTAATCCAGGAAAGCAACGAAGAAAAGAAAGAGGAGGGCACAGGGACCCTGAAGAAAGATCGGACGCTGCTGCGAGATGAAAAAAAAATGGAGAAATTAAAGGCAAAGCTGCACACGGATGATGACTGTAAGTTGTGTTTCCCAGTGGAATTCTGTGGCCTTTCATATTTTGCTGGACTCCAACTCCCATCAGCCCTAGGCAGTGTGTCCAGGAACGATGGCAACTGTGGTCCTACAGAGGATGCTCAACATGTTCCCAACCTATGACTTGTCAGAATAAATAGAAACTGAAGTTGGTGACAGTCTCTGAAAACAGAAGTGAATTAACCGTAGCTCTGACTTGCAGAAAGTCAGACTGTGTGTATGTTTAATAATTTGTGTTAAAGGTTTTCTTAGTTTACAAAAGTACGTGCCTTGTCTCTTTATCAGGTTGTGTTTTCTATAGATCAGTTACATTTGTTGTGAGACATTAGTCTTGTATGCAGTATAAGGTTGAGAAGAGAAGGGGGTGGGGGTGGGGATTGTGCCAGCGTCCACTGGATATGGTCTCTTTCTATTCACTTATTACGTTTCCTTGGTAATGAGAGGTATGGGGGGCAGGGTGTGGTTGGTTGTCTGTGGTTGACTGCAGTGGGGTTTGTTTGCAATTGTGAGGGGAGGAGGACTTGTTGGGTCAAGTAAGCCAAATTGATTCATATGCTGTTGATGGGTTCTTGTTGTTGTCTTGTTGGGCTGTGTATGTGATAAAGGGGATCCATACTGGGGTGAAGGTATCCTCTTATATTTGTCCCCGTATCAGTTTCAGTTTGTTGGTTAGCTTTTCTAGTAAGGCTGTTTCCCATACGACTTGGTACCAGTTGTCCTTGTTCACTCCTGACAGGTCTCCCCAGTCTATGAGGCTGAGAGTAGGTGGGCCATAAGCTCTTTGTAATGTGAGTGGTCAATAGGATCTTGGAAAATCTTCAGTAGGGCCAGTTCTGGGGTGAGTTCTAATACTTGTTTAGTCACTTTGCATATATCTTGTAGGACATTTGTCCAGAAGGGTTGGATTTGGGAGCATTTCCACCACATGTGGAGGTATGTGCCTGTAGAGGTGCAGTCTCTCCAACATTTTCGTGAGGTTCCTGGGTGTATCAACGCCAGTTTCCGTGGTGTTAAGTACCATCTGTATGTGAGTTTCAGTGTGAGTTCCCTTCTTTTGGCTGAGATAGATTTAAAGGGAGGTTTAGACCACATTCTAGTCCATAGGGTGGGTTACTTTAATGGCCTATGTCGTGCTCCCATTGTTTTTTGATCGTGTCAAGGGAGCCTGTGGGATTTTGGACCAGTATTTTGTATATTGTGGATACCATCCCTTTGCCTTGTCCCTTTGTTGTTAGGAGAAGATTTTCAAAGGTGGTCAAGGGCCTAGTTGCTGCTGATTTTACTACTGGGTTTTTTAAAGAAGGCATGCAATTGGTGGTGTGTTAGCCAGGGTATTTAGGTGCCCCCTAGTTTGTCTTGTATTTCTTGTGAGCCAAATTCTCCACTGTGAACAATCAATTTTAGACTTTAAAAACGTATATTGGCTGCCAAGGAACAACTACCAGAAAAGATTAGTTATCAAGTTTCACCAGAATAGAATTCCAACTAAGGTTTTGCACATGTGAGATCATTTGGCAAAGTACCAAATATTATTGACAAGAGTTTTTAAAGACAGTATGTGCCCTCCATTGTGCAAACTAAGACGCAAGGAACAAGCATAATGAACAATAATTACTTTGGTGCAATAAAGAGCTCAGCTAAGAACAGCAAATGCCAGAGGAGTGGAACCTCCCTCTCCATAGCAACAAGACCCGATTTAAATACCCCACAGAAAAAGGGGACTATGACTCAGTTAAGAGAGTCAGTAGACTTACAAGATTCTCCCCAGACTCCAAAAAAGATCCAGAATAAATGGTCCCTAGAACAGAAAAAGGACCAACGAAACAAAGAGGCTGCAGATAATGTAGAAGCTATAGGACTTAGGGAAATCACCCCACTGATAGACACAAAGGCCCATAATGTATCATGCTGCTCATGTGCCTCTATGCTGACCTTGGAATCCCCATACTGTCCATCAGTGGATGAACCATTAGGAAGATTCAAACTACTAATTCAACCCAGCCCAGATAAAGAGGAGGGGACTCAATTTACAAATGGAACAAACTCAACAGGAAGCAGAACATGTTCTGCTTCCAAGGCAAAGTTCACAAACCAAAACACCTACTTCCAGGTTTGCAGCGTTCTTAAGGTTCATTAAACCTAACAAGAAACCGTGGGTCCATTTCATTTTTTGTTTGCAATAAACAAATCACAGTTAAGAAGGATTCAGATAAGAAAGAAAGCTATGGTTTATTAAACCAGTTTGCTAAACCACAGATTAGCACTGTGTGTGAACCAGGCCAGAGTCTCCCTAAGTGCATAAATGTTAAAGAATGTCCAGTGTTGAAGAACATGGATGTTTGAATGTGTTGGGAAACTGGAAAATACTTTAACTTTATTTATAAATCTTGGTCCTGCTGTACAGTAAGCCCTGCTTCTGACTGCTGCTTCCACGAAGCCTTTTGCACAACCCCCTTAATCGCCACCCAAAGCCCTTGGTAGCTAAGCCCCCAAAGTCCATCCAACAGAAACAACTGCACATTGCTTCCATTGTTTTATCCCTGCCTTCATCGATTTCTCTGATATTTTACCATGCATGCTCCTTGGGGTTGGAACCTATCCTTTGCTGTCCAGGGAGAAGGTTCTATGGTTGTGATGCCTCGCTAACATAGCAGCTGATGCGGCAGAGCCCCATTTGAGCTAGATGAGGTCAGGACCCTGGACAGAGCCCTGCCTAGAAGGGAACTGTTGCTTCAGCAAGTTGCAGAAGCCTTCCTGAGGTCTTATGGAAGATGGCTGGCCTGGGCTTTGTGTGACCCCCATTACCCTCCAAGGAGCTAGCTGTTCTGCAGCTGTAGGTGGGTGATAAGGACTGTCCCTAGGACTGATTCTTTTGAGATTCAGATTCTAGCAACGGTATGGCTTCTGACCCCGAAGGACCTGTTGCAGGAATGCTGACACCTTGCCCAGGTTATCCTCCGAGCTTTGCAGTGGGTGGGTGGGCAAAATGGTTGAGGGTGATATCCTCTTCCATTTTTTACAACGCACTAGGCACACCCTGATGGCGCCGCATAAATATAATTGCATACTCAAGATCACACCATCCTTTCGCCTTTCACATGTGCTCGTAAATCTGAGCATAAAAATACAGAGACGTTTTCCCACTTATTTGGTGTGTGCCTATAAGTGTGCACTAAACCAGGTTAGCGAATGAGAATCCAGAATCAGCTGTTTGATTTGATATGGCATGCAAGGGTAGGATCCTTTATATATTGCAATGGAACAACGGAGGTTCCCAGGCGACTACTACACATATTCTTTATCCTCCTCCTTTCCTCCTTCCTTGCCTCCCCCGCTGCCTTTCCCCCCTTCTAGAATTGGCTTTTGACCAGCCTGGGGTCCCTTGCTGCCCACTTCTCTTACTAGAGTAAGAAGTGCTATTTAGGTGTGGGCTGTGTGTGTGTGTGTGTGTGTGTTGCCTTATTCACCTTAGATGCTGGAGGTCAATGCAGTGAGCTGCTTTCATATGCTGGAATCTGCAGTCCAAAATATCAATAGTGTTTGCAAAGGAAGCTAAAACAATCCTCACTTTGTTCTGTAACTCTGACAGCGATCCAAGATGATAATTCACCATGCACAACTTGGCAGGGGCAAGGACTTCTTTATTTTATTGATTTTATTTTAATTCCATTGGTGTATCCTGGCTTCACCTCCCATGCAGGTTTTAGAGTTGCTTGTCAGTTAAAAATCAAAACTGAGCAAAGGAGAAACAAAAGCAAATTTATAATAGCTCAAATGAGACCAAAACAAGACTTTTGCAGTGATCCTGTTCATTTAACTTTAATTCAGAATGAGCTGCATATATGATATATAACCCTGATGCCCACTCAACCGCTTCAGTCTGCAGAACTGGCCCTGGTACAGGTCCCACATAATACTCGTTGCCCATTTGTAAGAAATTGATCTTCCAGTGTGGCAGCACCTGCACTTTGGAACTCCCTGCCTATTGACACCAGGCAGGCACTTTCCCTGTACACTTTTTTTGCACTTGCTAAAAACATTTTTGTTCAGGCAAGCCTATACAGATAAGCAGAAATTTGACATGTTTTTTTAATCTGGTTTTTAGTGTACTGTTGATTGTTTTTGAATGTTTTAAACAGCTGTTTTTAACTGTCTTTTTACTGATAATTTCATTGTTACATTCATTTTGTAAACCACTTTGAGGTTTGTTTTTTTTACAATCAAGCAGTATATAAATTTTATGAACTAAATAAATAAGCGTTCTCTAAAGGTTGGAACTAGTTGCATTGTTCGTGGCAACCATTCAGCTGCTTTCAAGGAAGCTTGGAAGCTGCCGTATGTCCATTCAGACTGGCCGGCCGGCCCAGTATTGGTTGCTGCTCTCCAGGGCCAGGGACTCAGAAAGGTCCTTCCCATCATTGACAGGCAACTGTCATGCTCAATCAGCCTGGGCTGAGTGTTTTCCCCACATAACTGAAATCCTTCCAGCCAGGGAGGACGAGGCGTCATGTAGTTCTGTGGGAATGTGGAGGAAGTGCTGTGAGGCTTTGAGTGCTCAGGCCAGCTCTCAAAGGAGCTTGATAACTGCAGAGTGAGACTGCAGCATTTAATCACCTCTTGGGTTAATTTTTAAAAAGGGCTTCTGAAGGCCAAATCCATTTCCCTATAATTCTTAGCACGTGCAGAATACCTAGGCGCAATGACAGTAAACTATGCAATCTTGATAGTTCCTGGACAGGATATTGGCCCAATTCCATTTTCCAGACAAATGCCGTAATCATGAGGATTGCATAGATCAATATGTAGTTATGAGTCTGGGGTGTGGCAACTTTCCTCACAACAGAAAAGACACACCCCTCCCGTTGGATGGTAGTAATTATGGGTTGTATCCAACTAAGTTCTACTCAGGGAAAACCCACTGAAATCAATGTACTTAAGCTAGTCATGCCAGCTCCCTTGGCCAGTAAAGCAAGATGAGCGCCGCAACCCCAGAGTCGTCTGTGACTGGACTTAACTGTCAGGGGTCTTTTACCTTTTTTATATATCCATTGTTAGTATATACTTTGAATTATAGACAAGACATTTGCCATTTCATTTCATGTTCTTGAAAGCGGGTACCCTCTAGATGTTGCTGGACTAGAGCTCCAGACACGCTCTCCAATTGCTGGCCATGCTGCTTGGGACTGATGGGAGTTGGAGACAAGCTACACCTGGGGCACCTGGTGGGGGAAGGCTATGTTACTGAAATACTGACTTCTCAGTGTGTGTATATTTTGGTTGGAATGCCTAGCTCTTGCAATTGCAAGAAGAGGGAGAAAGAAAGGTGTCCACCTGACACCCTCCAGATGTTTTGGACCTCAACTCCCACTCCCAGCAGCCCCTGCTAGCACAGCTGATGGGAATTGTAGTCCAAAGGGGATCAGGTTGGCAGAGACTGAGTGATAGTAATGTGCACATTGTGAGTCTTTTTTTCTTTCTCCGCTTAGTAAACTGGTTAGATCACAGTCGAACGTTTCGGGAGCAAGGAGTGGACGAGAACGAGACGCTGCTGCTGAGACGCAAATTCTTCTATTCGGACCAGAATGTGGACTCGAGAGACCCTGTTCAACTAAATCTGCTTTATGTTCAGGTATGCTAGAGCTGGAATCAAGAAATCCCTCTCCAGCTCTGCATCAAGCCAAGCCCTACTCCCCTTGCCAGCTATCCCAGCTTCAGAACAGAAAGAAGCCTTTGAGCTACAGTTCAGACATACATGTTTATCACTTGTTCACAGCAACATCCAGGGGTGACTTACAAGTGTGAATACCATGGGGCTGGATTTTCTAATAGGCCAGTAAAGGAATGTTCTTTGTTTCTGTAGAACAGGCCAAATGGAAGGTGTGCTCCACTATATCTTTCTGTCCTTTATGTAATCCATGAAGGGTTAAGTTCATTCTTCCATTTCAGAGCTTCCTAAGAGGCAAATCAGACAATTTTAAGATAAGTTGACTGTTGGCTGGTATAGATAAGTTCTTCAGCTAATAAGGTACCTTTATTTCCACTAGCTGCAAAATAAGATAAGGGGGCCTTTTTGAATCATTTTAATGCTAAATGTTAGGGGGAAGTGTTAAACTAAAGGAATTTTCTAAATCCTGTCTATTTGTATTCTGAGGGTTTATCCTTCCGTATTGGACCAACTTTTTTGCCCTCTGTGTTTTTCACATAGGCGCTTTATGTTTATATAATAATGTCTGTTGGCTATAGACAATTAGACTTGACGACTGCATGGATGTGTGAACATGCTGTCCCAAATCAAGTACAGATAGCATTTCCTCATGCGCGCTCGCACACACATACCCCGCATATCCTCTCGCATTCCCTGAACCACAAAGCTATTGCTTTTGTTGTTGTTTCCTCTTTATATTTTACAGTGGTACCTCGGGTTACATACGCTTCAGGTTACAGATGCTTCAGGTTACAAACTCCGCTAACCCAGAAATAGTGCTTCAGGTTAAGAACTTTGCTTCAGGATGAGAACAGAAATCGTGTTCCGGCGGTGTGGTGGCAGCAGGAGGCCCCATTAGCTAAAGTGGTGCTTCAGGTTAAGAACAGTTTCAGGTTAAGAACAGACCTCCAGAACGAATTAAGTTCTTAACCTGAGGTACCACTGTATCAAGATGTTACAGTGGGGTACGCAAAGAGAAGAGTGAAAACTCACTGGGGAACGCGAGTGTGTCAAGCTAGAGTCCATATTTAATAGTACTGCATAGTACTATTTTCCCATGCTTTGGAGCCCCTGGGAAGCTCAGCAAACCTGCTGCCCCTGGAACTGGGAGTGGAGAGTGAATGGGACACAGCTGTGGGCAGCCTGAGGAAGTGCCATCCTCCTTGGGCCTGTCCATAAAAAGCAAGTCTAACGTGGGAGACTAGGGTGATGTCCGCTGTTTCCAGGAACTCTTCTCATTGTGAGATTTTTGTGAGTGAGATGAGAGTTTGTTTGGACCCTGGCTGAGAACCCAGAGGCTGAGAGGGAGCTTGTGCCTGAAGATGATAGAGATGATAGATAGATAGATAGATAGATAGATAGATAGATAGATAGATAGATGATAGATAGATATAGAATTTAGTATTAATGCAACATTTTTACATTTTTTTTAATATTTTATTTAAATTGTCTCTTGTAGCTTCAGTTTTTTGTACTCCACTTAGATATATTTTTAATATATTAAATGGTATAGAAATTAAATAATTAATCAAATAATAAAAAATATTCCAGATAACACCTAATGCTCTTCACCTCCATGTCAGTATTTACAAAGCTGTGTACATCTTCTGTTTCCCCAGAAACTACTAAAAAGCTGTTTTTTAAACTTGCTACGTGTCTTTCAGTGGTGCATTCAGATGTGAGCCATCAAGTGACATCATCAGATGATGCAATACCAAGCCACAGTGCTTTTGCACAGCCCCTGTTTATTTCAGTGGGGTTTATGTAGCAGAGCTTACCAGTAATCAAGAACCATTAGAAGGTGCCTTATTCCAGGACAGACTGTCCACTGAGGCCAATATCTAGCTCCATCACATTTGCTATGGCTGGCGGATCTTTGGCATCCAGGTGTCAGAGGCCAGGAGTCTGCATTCTCTTCAGGTGATGAAGCAGACACATGACACGGACTCTTTCTTCACTTGCTTTCCAGGCTCGTGATGATATTCTGAATGGTTCCCATCCGGTGTCGTTTGAGAAAGCGTGTGAATTTGGAGGTTTCCAAGCGCAGATCCAGTTTGGGCCTCATGTTGAGCACAAGCACAAACCTGGATTTTTAGAGTAAGTTGGTCCAACGATCTTTACACATTGGGTTAAACTGTTGTGTGCTGCTTCGATAGCTCTTCCAGCCCAGTGGTTTTCAGGCTGTGTTCTGAAAAGCCGGGGTAAGATCCCACAAAAACAGATCTGAGGTTTCTTGTTGAGAAAGCAGGTAATGGTGTTATAAAGCTCTCGGTGAGAATTTCACCAAAGGCCAGCAGTTGCCACTGCTCCTTCACAGTGTGCCCTCTCAGTCTAGACCTAGGCACCCAGTAAAGTGAGGTGGTAGAGACCTGTGGTAGTGGAGAGGACCATATCAGTTTAGACTGGAGGCAGGGGATCATCCTTTGGAAGACCTTCTTATGTACATCCGGGAACCCAAGATTGAGGAGCACTGATTTAGGTACCTGGTTCCCTCCAGCTGCTCCCATCAGCCCCACCCAGCATAAACCTAAGATGCTGTGCTTGATAGGAATATAGCCACGCTTATTAAGGATTATGGGAGTTGTAGTCCAACAACATCCGGAGGGCAGAAGATTGGTGAAGGCTGCTCTAAACAGAACACTAGCATGGCAAGGAGAGAGGGATAGACTAGAACCTTGATCCTTCATGTGCTAATTTCTCTTCTTGCTGGGAATTCCTTGCTTTAGTTTTACTGTTATTTCACCCCTCAAGCTTCTGTGCAGTTGTGTGCAGTTTTTGTCGAAAATATTTCAGTGGAATGGCTGAAAATCTTCCTTCCCACCAAGGGGAACACTGTGGCTCTCAATCCAGCATCTGCAGCAAGAATAATATTCACAGCAATCTCTGCCAGTGGTGGCATTGTCTGTTGTTTCCTTTAAGAAATGCCAGGCAGCACAGAAGGAAAAACCAAAGTGTCTCTTCTGATGAAGCAGGGAGCCTTCATTAGCCATGAGTGGATATTTGTCCAGAACACCTTGCCTCTGCCTTTTCCCCCAGTGCAACTATTCAAAGGCTAAAGCAGTGTTTTTGCAGGATCTGTGGGTTGGGTTGTTTTTGTTTTTCTGAAGAAGAAGAACCAAGGTACCAGCAAGTACCCTTTCTTTCTGTAGCTGGCGAATGCTCCTTTGCACACCCAGAGTCTTCCCTAACATGCAAATATGAGTACTTCAGCAAACAATACGCAGGGTAGTGATATAATAACAAAATGCATGTGTGTGACCTTGCAAATTTGAGGCCTGCCTTAACTCGTAGTGGAGCTCCCAGTACCTGGCAGTGGTCGTGGGCTGTTGCTGCCCTGTGTCACCTTTTCGATTTTGATTGTTGCGCTTGAACAGCAGAATAATTCATATGGCTGCTACAGATGTTAAAACACTCTCTCAACACGGGAAGGAACAAAAGATGATGACATAGATTGCCTTTGTATTTAAATACATTTAAATAATGTAATTGCATAATAATTGAATTTTTGTATCTCTCTGAAGAGAAGTGGTTCCCTTCAGTGGCATAAGCTTTCTGCTCAGAGCTCAAATTAAAAAGAGCTGATGGATGATTTCTTGGGGGCGGGGGGGTTCTCTCTGCCCTTTCCCCACTCTGTACAAATGATTTCCTTTTAATTGGATGGAGTCTCTTCTGAAGGCTGATGTTATACTTAACCATCATTTCCAAAGGAACAGAAGGCAGTTCATTGTGCTTTTCTGCTGAGCCATTTTACCTTAATGAAGGGGTCTCCCTGGCTTTTTCATACATCCCTTTCGGGTATGAACAGTAAGTAATGAAGCCTTGAGTTAAGGCAAAGCAACAAGGGACAGTGTCAAGAAGGGTCCCCTTCACAGCTTTCTTACCAGTCATTTATGGGCAGTGAACGTCTACAGCAAGGGCTGCTTCACACACACCCTTGGTTTGCCAATCAAGTGTACACACAACATAGACCAATTACAGCTCCCTGATGGGTTAAAGCCTCAGCGCCTAGGACTTGCTGATCGAAAGGTCGGTGGTTCGAATCCCCGCGGCGGGGTGCGCTCCCGTCGCTCGGTCCCAGCGCCTGCCAACCTAGCAGTTCAAAAGCACCCCCGGGTGCAAGTAGATAAATAGGGATCACTTACTGGCGGGAAGGTAAACGGCGTTTCCGTGTGCTGCGCTGGCTCGCCAGATGCAGTTTTGTCACGCTGGCCACGTGACCTGGAAGTGTCTGCGGACAGCGCTGGCTCCTGGCCTCTAGAGTGAGATGAGCGCACAACCCCAGAGTCTGTCAAGACTGGCCCGTACGGGCAGGGGTACCTTTACCTTTACCTGAGATACATTCATTTGCTTTCCAACATCCATTTGTTGCCCTCATAGAGCCTGAGAAGAGCCTGACTGTGGAATCTGAGCAAAGGCCCAACTAGTCCAGCATCCTCTTCTCATAGTGGCCAGCCAAAGGTCAAGCAGACCACAAGCTCATTTGTGATTTCCAGAGACTGGTATTCAGAGGTAGAACATCGTCATCATGGCTAGTAGCCATTAAAAGCTTTGTCCTTCTTCATGAATTTGTCTAACCCCATTTTGAAGACATCCAAGATGGTGGCCATCACTGAATCTTTTGGGATTGAATTCCATAGTCTGGCTTTTGACTGTTTAGAATTTCCCAACATTCATCTTCGCTAGATGGCTGCATGAAGTATAATGTTATGAGAGAGGAGGAAGAACCTCTCTCCATCCACCGTCTCCAATGCCATGCGTTATTTTGTACACCTCTGTCTTGTCCCCTCTTTGGTAAACTTTAAAGTCCCAAACATTGATACCTTTCAACATATTCACACTTTGTATATTGCCATGCTTTTGTGCAGCTGCCATTCACATGAATGGGGCTTGCAGATTAAACCACATTGGTGAATTTTACTCTGTGTTAATTGATAGAAAAGGGGCACTATTTAGGTTTTCCTCATACAGGTACATTAATTATGAAACCAGTGATGACGGTATCTACCTATTGGATACATGCGCAATGACACACCCAGAGTTGTTGCTTGCTGGGAACTGCTGACCACTTCCCCCTGTGGTGAGCAGCCTAATTGCAGCCCCCTGGGGAAAAACCTTGTAGATCTGGCCGGACTCCACACACTCAGACTGGGCTAGTAGACAGGAAGGAAGATAAAGCTCCTCCTTTTTTCTCTGAGCTTGTTTGTGCAACAAGGTCTATCCGAGTTCTAGCTAGTCTGGCATTTCTGCTCTTCAGACCTGACTTTTGGCTTCTTCTCTGACTTTGCCTCCTGGTTGCCTGATTGCCATTTAGTCCTGGCTGCCTCTCTGACTCTCTCCAAACCACTTGCCAGCACCCAGCCCTGACATTGCTGAGTCATTTTAAAGTACTATGGTTATTAAAATAACTTGGTCGTAGGCATTACTGTAATAGACATCTTCTCCCATACAAACATACCTCTGCTTTTAAATTGGCATCACGGGTCCTCCTCTTCACCCCCTTGTTGCATGAAATCAGATGGGCTGGGTACAAGAGACAGGTCCTTTTAGTGGTGGCCCCAAAACTGCAGAGTGCCCTCCCTGTAGCAGTCTGCCTGGTTCCCTCTGTGAAATAGCCATCATAGAAATTCACTGTCTTTGAATGGTGGATTATAAATATTTGAAATAATAAATGAATAGTTAATTAAAGGCAAAAACTCTTACGAAAGCTGCAGCATGGAGCCCATCATCTTCCACCCTTTCAGTAATTATTATTAAGCCTGCAAAGAGAATCTAGTTTTGCCTTGAACACTGAAGTGTCTTGAACCAGCCTGCTATTGACTTGCTGCCAAATTACATCAGTACCAGAGTTCTGAATTTTGTTCTTCATCAATACTGCTATTCCAAGCCTGCAGTTGAAATCTATCATGTGATACATGAGGAGGTCCTCAGTGTTTCTAGTGCTTAAAACCTGTGATAGAAAACACGGTCTGACTTGGAATTCTAATAATAGAGGGGTGGAGAATGAATTATCCACATGCTCAGAGACCCATTCATTATCACAAAGGTCCTGTGGCTCAGCTGTAGTTCAGATGGTGGAACTGAGGCCAAGGGCACATTCCACCAGGAAACAGTGTGTTCTCACTCATGCACGTCAGGTACACACACATGGGCAAGGCAGGTTTCTGGATGCAGCACCACGGATAGCTCCAACTGAGCAACAAAGCCTGGAGGTTAACTGAAGCCTGTGGAGTCTCCTTCCTCCAGCCCATTTTCCCAAGCTCCACCCACTTGGTCTGAAGATCTTACAGGACTGACCCCAAGCCTTAAGATGAGCTCCTTTATATTACCTCTGCACTGATGGGCAGATATGGGAGGCATGTGACTGCAGTGAGTTGTGTTCAGAAGACAGCATGTCTCAGACTCTGCAGGCTCTGGGTTGCCAGCCTCAGCCTCCATGAAGTCCAAACCACTGGCCTCAGGCATTGTTGGGTATGAACCACCAGCATCAGAAGCCCTACCCAATTCCATAACTGGTGATGGAGCAGCCCCAGACTTGGCCAACTCTGCCACATCTGATTCTTGAGTTCAAGGCAGGGCCATGACACCGTCCTGTCGCACAGCTCTGCTTCATTTTCATGGGACTTGTGTAGGCTTATAAGTGGAAGGAAGATGTACTTTGCATGTTTGACCTCAAGCACTGTCATGCTTTAGTGAAGACCTGCCACTGAAATTCAGCAGTTTAAGAATTCTGGTCAAATGTTGATGGAAATCCTAGCAATCATGCCGAAATACGTACATTCATCCAGTGAATTTGCTGTCCTGCTTTGGTCTTAATTGTGAAGTTTCTAATGCAACAGCCCATAAACAGGAAAAGTACCTGAGAGAGCACCTTCCCCGTTGCCAGCTGACCTCCTTGTTATGATCAACAGGAGATGCCTTGCTTGGGAATCCATCCATAGCTGAAGCTAGGCACATAATAGCACAAGACAGGGCCTTCTTGGTAGTGACACCCCACTTATGGATGTCCTCCCAGCGGATATTCTATATGCCTCCACAGTGGATACATTTACATGCCAATTGAAAACATTTTGTTTATCCAGGCATTTGATTCATAATTCCTTTGGCGTGTGGTCCCTTTAGGTATCTACGCTGCTGCTCTACTGTATCTTAATGTAGTGTAACAGTTTTTCTTCAGACAGTTGTTTTAGTGATTTATTATGTGAAGGTGCCCTGTGCTCCATACTGGAGGAGGAGGCTTTTAATGACTAAACAAGTGAATAATTTTTTTTTTAAATGGTATGAAAACAATACTAAAAAATAAAAGTTGCATTGGGAAAAATGAAGTATGTTATATGGATCTCAAAATAGCAATACTCGTTCAGGTTCTTTGACGTTTTCTAATTGCTGTACTTCAGCTTCCCCTGGGAACCTCAAGGGGGAGGGGGCCACCTACGCAGTTAAATAATAATGATGATATTGAGGCCATGAGAGAACAGAATCTGCTGAAACTCCAATGGGCAGGTGGATTTTCAGTGCCTCATGGCACTGGAACAGAATGGATCTGAATCCTTCCTGTGGGCTCCTCGCACATGGCTGCCTTGGTGGTGGCGACTTTGAGAGGTGTCAGGTGCCCACCGAGGAGCTGGGTGGGTGAGCTCCCTATTGGCTGCTTGCTCTCCTTCCCAACTCAGTTAGGTTTCTGAGGTGGATTCCCCTGAATGGCTGCCTTTGAAGGGGAGGGGAGGAGGAGCCAATCAGGAAAGAGGGAGGCTGCCAAGGAGTCTAGGAGCCATATTAACAAATGGTTGACGTCCACTTCGCTTGGAAAATGAGGCAGAGGCGGTTGTCTCTTCATTAAACTGTGGCTCTTTGTTTTTTCCAGCCTAAAAGAATTCCTTCCGAAAGAATACATCAAGCAAAGAGGAGCTGAAAAGAGGATATTTCAGGTGATTAAGAATGCTTTATATAGATATGTGGTATTTCTCTTTTGCTTTCATAACCCTGTGTGTTCTCTTTGGCAATAAACTAGCACCAACTCAAGTGTAAAAGAAGCAGACGGCTTTTCCCCCTTTGGCAAACTTGCTCTCCTAATTCAGATTTTGTGTGTGGTTGGAAGATTTCCTTGCTTTTTATAGTGTGTTCTTCAAGAAATGAGCATGTTTTAGCAGTTCTCAGTTGTAATGTGGAATGCAAAAAGCAGAGCGTTTGAAGGGGGGAAGATGGTTATGTAAGGGCTTTTGTGGTCCTTTTGTCCACATAGCCCCCTCGGTCATTGCCCACTCGCTGAACCCTACATGCTGCTTCTTGTCTTCTCTCCTAATGAGGTCTGTGGGCTCATTGAGGACGTTCAGGTGGTAGGGCTCAAAAGGCGCTCGTTCAAATAGTAAACTTCTGTAATAGGTGGTGGTGGGGCAGATCTGGCTAGCAAAGCCCTAATTTGCCAGTGTCAAAGGACATTTTAGTTCCAAAGGGGGCTTAGATCTTAGAACTTCTTTCTGTGAAGCGTCGCTGGGAATGACCCTGGATGGAGAAACGGGAGTTAGAACTGTCCAAAAAGGAATGGCAGCAACCCATGTGGCTTGACTACTATAGACCGTTTGGGAAAGCCCAGAGCCCATGGAGCTCTGGAGCTTAACTGCTGTAACATTACCCTAATAAAAGAGGTTTTCTGCAAATCTAGGCATACATTCTTGAGAGACCCAGAGCAGAAAGGGGGATAAGGTGCCAGAACTGTATAAATCAGCATTGACATATATATTGGGATGAGCCGTAGCTCTGCAGTAGAACACCAGCTTTGCATGCAGAGGGTCCCAGGATCAGTCTTCATTGACATATCCAGATACAGCTGCCGGGGGGGATGACGGGGACCCAGGAGAGATGCTGCCAGTCAGTGTAGCCGATACTTGAGCTAGATGGACACAACAGTCCGACTCAGCGTAAGCCAGCTTCCTAATGTTCCTGTATCCTTTTTCTGCTTTTCATTCGGCACAGACATCATCCACCTTTGGTTAGTGGCATCCAGGAAGATGCCCAGTGTCAGTTTAATTTGTTGCAGCCCGTTTTGGAAAGAGCCGACAGCAGAAAATGAGCGCGATCCTGCTAGCGTGAGAAAATGTCATTGCACATGCTAATATCTCAGCACTGGAATGTCACGGGAATCCCAGAGAGTAATGAAGGCTGACACACACAAACACACACTCTTTCACAGATTATGGCTGTGTTTTTGGAAAGAAAAGGGCAATTCAGTGGAAGCAGCTGGGCTCCCCCCCCCTAATTTTTTCATTTCTGTTAGAATAAAAACAGCAAATACTTTTGCCGGGTCTTTCTCTCTGACATTGGTAGAAGAAGGAAAGAGGTTTAAGGGTGGTATAGGAATTGTGGGCTGGCAGGCAGAAGATCTTCCAGAAATGTGGGTGGAGCAAAACCGACACTTGGAAGAGAGAGACGCAAGTGTGGAGTTCGGTCAGGTGAGTTTAAATTGTGCAGAAGTGGGGAGGCTTAGAGGTAAAGGTGGAATGGGGATTGTGAGTTTGACTGAGAGCACACTGGGGATTGGGATAGGAAGAGTTTCCCCTCGAGGGGCAGGGAAGGTTTGGTCCAGCCTTCAGTGGAGCTAAATTGTAGGAATGGCTGGTTTGCCATCATGGTGGAAGCAGTAAGACTACATCTAATAAATTGGAAGCTGTTTCATAGTTTTTCTTGTCCCTCTTCTGGGCCAGCCCTGCCATAAGGCAGAATGAGGCAAGTGCCTCAGGCAGCTGGCTTCAAGTGTTGTGAAATTAAATTGACATTTGACTACGGTGTTCTCATTTTTACTCCCAGGAGGAGGTGTTTTGTGGGGTTTTCTGCTTCAGGTGCCAAAATAGCAGCCAGCCTTCAGTATTATGGTGGGGAAATGTGCTGTTCTGCCTCTGGCTACAAAATGACTTGGGCTGGGCCATTCGGTTTGCTGTTGGAAGCCGGGCAGGTGGAATTGTTTTTTCCATTTTGTATAAAACCCCAGCCATCCCTGATCTCTTGAGGGACAGAGGAGGCTACAGATTGCAAATGAATAAATAAAAATGTTGAGAGGTTGGGCATTCCCATGGATGATCGTTGTTTTGACTCCTTTCTGTTTCAAAACCTTTGGACGGAGGCTAAGAGGCCATCATGGCTTAACAACAACAAAAAGTGCATGTGACTTATTTTTCCTCATAGTTTTTTTTATGATAACAAAAATCAATTGGCGGCTCTTTGCAGGAACACAAAAACTGCGGGGAGATGACAGAAATTGAAGCTAAAGTGAAATACGTGAAGTTGGCTCGGTCTCTGAGGACGTACGGAGTGTCTTTTTTCCTTGTTAAGGTAGGAGGGGCTTGTTTTCAATTCAGTTTTCATTGCTTATATTGAACGGCTGACCGATAGAAGAAGCTGGTGCATGATTTTTCCCAAGTCAGAAGACTTATGGTTCCCTGTAAGATGTAAGAATTAATGAAGATTAATGAATTGGTAGGATTGTCTCTGAAGCGGGGGAGAATGCGTGCGTGTGTGTGTGTGTGTGTGTGTGTCTGTGTGTGTGTTTACAAAATGAATTGTTTTTTGCAAAGTAGTTAAAATAAATCATGGCAGTGGTCCTTAAACATTGTGGTATTTTATTTTTTAATTAAATATTTTTGGGGTATGGCCAGGTTCAGCTCAAAGCTCATGGGCTGCTTCTGAGCCACTCATATAATAATAATAATTTATTATTTGTACCCCGCCCATCTGGCTGGGTTTTCCCAGCCACTCTGGGCAGCTTCCATAGAAACCAAAACTACACTAAAATATCACAGATTAAAAACTTCCCTGAACAGGGCTGCCTTAAGATGTCTTCTGAATGTCCGGTAGTTATTTATCGCTTTGACATCTGATGGGAGGGCATTCCACAGGGCGGGCACCACTACCGAGAAGGCCGTCTCCCTGGTTCCCTGTAGCTTTGCTTCTCGCAATGAGGGAACCGCCAGAAGGCCCTCAGCATCCGGGCAGAAAGATGTGGGTGGAGACGCTCCTTCAGGTGTACTGGGCCGAGGCCATTTAGGGCTTTAAAGGTCAACACCAGCACTTTGAATTGTGCTCGGAAACGTACTGGGAGCCAATGTAGGTCTTTCAAGACCGGTGTTATGTGGTCTCGGCGGCCGCCCCCAGTCACCAGTCTAGCTGCCACATTCTGGATTAGTTGTAGTTTCCGAGTCACCTTCAAAGGTAGCCCCACGTAGAGCGCATTGCAGTAGTCCAAGCGGGAGATAACTAGAGCATGCACCACTCTGGCGAGACAATCCGCGGCAGGTAGGGTCTCAGCCTGCGTACCAGGTGGATTTGGTAGACAGCTGCCCTGGATACAGAATTGACCTGCGCCTCCATGGACAGCTGTGAGTCCAAAATGACTCCCAGGCTGCGCACCTGGTCCTTCAGGGGCACAGTTACCCTATTCAGGACCAGGGAGTCCTCCACACCAGCCCGCCCCCCTGTCCCCCAAAAACAGTACTTCTGTCTTGTCAGGATTCAACTTCAATCCATTAGCCGCCATCCATCCTACAACCACCTCCAGGCACTCACACAGGACCTTCACCGCCTTCACTGGTTCTGATTTAAAAGAGAGGTAGAGCTGGGTATCATCTGCATATTGATGGACACCCAGTCCAAACCCCCTGAAGATCTCTCCCAGCGGCTTCATATAGATGTTAAAAAGCATGGGGGAGAGGACAGAACCCGGAGGCACCCCACAAGTGAGGGCCCAGGGGTCTGAACACTCATCCCCCACCACCACTTTCTGAACACGGCCCAGGAGGAAGGAGCGAAACTACTGTATGACAGTGCCCCCAGCTCCCAGCCCCTCTAGCCGGTCCAGAAGGATGTTATGGTCGATTGTATCAAAGGCCGCTGAGAGGTCCAGCAGAACTAGGAAACAACTCTCACCTTTGTCCTTGGCTCGCCATCAACCAGCGCGACCAAGGCATTTTCAGTCCCATGGTGAGGCCTGAATCCCGATTGGAAGGGATCCAAATGGTCCGCATCCTCCAGGCGTGCCTGGAGTTGTTCAGCAACCACGCGCTCAATCACCTTGCCCAAGAATGGAAGATTTGAGACTGGGCGATAGTTGGCCATACTGGCCGGGTCTAAAGATGTTTTTTTAAGAAGCGGTTTAATGACCGCCTCTTTCAGCGGATCTGGGAATGTTCCCTCACAGAGGGAAGCATTCACCACCTCGCAGAGCCCATCGCCCAGCCCTTCCCGGCTTGCTTTTATTAGCCAGGATGGGCAAGGATCAAGGAGACAGGTGGTTGGTTTCACGCATCCAAGCAGCCTGTCCACATCCTCAGGGGTAACGAATTGAAATTGATTCCATGCAACTCGACCAAACAGGGCTCTAGCACTCTCCCGCCCCAGCCCTGCTCCCACGGTGGTGTCTAGCTCCTTCCGAATATGAGTGATTTTATCTGCAAAAAACTTTGCAAAATCGTTGCAGGAGATCTTGGGGTCTTTACAAAGCCCCAGTGGTAAAGGTGGTTCCGTTCTCAACCAGATCTACCTTTAAGGCGTGATTTGAGGATGAAATTTGAGGGTGGGAGTGAGAATCCTGCATGCTGTCCTGAGCTCATTAGAGAAAGAATATGATTATTTTAAAAGTACTCAACATATAAATTAACTGACAGCCAGGGGTTCCTTTGGAGCTTCAACAGCAGCTGCTGACATTGCTTTTTAATTTTTATTTATTTAAACAAGAACATATACTTCAATAACATACAAGAATAAAGAAATGAAGAAAAGCAATACAGCTGAATGAAAATTAAACAAACACACACATGCGTATGAATTTGGACCGTTTCATTCACATTACCTGAAAAAACCTACCCTATTATTGCTGGGGGTGAGTGGTAACATTTTTTAAAAAGATGCGTTTTATTTTCAAATATTAGGATATATTCTCCCTTAAAGCCGAAAAGTCACTAGGAATTTCAAATAGCAGCATATTTCACAGCAGGCATTTGAACATTGTTCACCATGTTCTTTCAAACCAGCCTGCCAAGGGAAGATTTATACACAAAGAGGAAAACGGCTCTTGCAGGATGCTCAGTATTGTGACTTAATTAAGTGATGCTTCTTTCAAATACTGAGAATTCTTAGAGGTTCTAAAGAGAGGTGGCTTCAGGCCAGCAGCAGCCCAGGCAGTAGGAACACAACCATTTGGATAATTACTTGTCTGCAGTGACATGCTGGGCTGTGTTAAATTAAAAATGCCTATTAAATTCCTTAGACTTGTTTTAGTACTGACGAAAGCAATTTGTCATTCACTTGTTTCAGTAGCCATGCTGCGTGTTGTATAGCTGTGATAAATGTGTGAAGGAAGGCCATGGCAGTATCTGGGGCTTGAGTCACTGAAGCACAATCCAGCCCCTTGGGAGCGCAGGGATCTGCTGCTTTTGCACCCCTGATAGGTGGCCAATGACCTTTGTTTAAAAGACTCTAGCCAAGGAGAGCCTGCCTCCTTCCAAGACTGACTGTTCCACCGTCCAATACCACGGAAGGAGGGCTTCCAGCTGCCCCGCCCCCTTAGAACACAAGAAGAGCCTGCTGGATTGGGCCAAAGGCCCAAAGAGTCCAGCCTCCGGGTCTCACAGGGGCCAGACAGATGATGATGATGATGATGATGATGATGATGATGATGATGATGATGATTTACTATTTATACCCTGCCCATCTGGCTGAGTTTCCCCAGCCACTCTGGGCGGCTTCCAATCAAGTGTTAAAAACAATACAGCATTAAATAATAAAAACTTCCCTAAAGAGGGCTGCCTTCAGATGTCTTTTAAAGACAAGATAGCTGCTTATTTCCTTCACATCTGAAGGGAGGGCGTTCCACAGGGAGGGTGCCACTACCAAGAAGGCCCTCTGCCTGGTTCCCTGTAACCTCACTTCTTGCAATGAGGGAACCGCCAGAAGGCCCTCAGCGCTGGATCTCAGTGTCCGGGCTGAATGATGGGGGTGGAGACGCTCCTTCAGGTATACAGGACCGAGGCCGTTTAGGGCTTTCAAGGGCAGCACCAACAAGGGCAGCATTGTGCTCGGAAAGATACCAGGAGCCTATGCAGATCTCTCAGGACCAGTGTAATGTGGTCCCGGCAGTCACTCCCAGTCACCAGTCTAGCTGCCGCATTCTGGATTAATCAGTGAGACCTACAAGCAGGACCTCCCCCCTCCAGCAACTTCCAGCAACTGGCATTCAGAAGAACGCTGCCTCTGACCATGGAGGCACAGCAGAGCCATCATGGCTAGTAGCCACTGGTAGCCCTCCCTGCTTCTAGGAACCTTGTAGGGAATTGGTGCAGGAGAGGGGCTGTGTGTAACACAGTGGGAGGAGTTTTTGTCTAATTGGCGCTGCCAACAGGGTTGTGACTCTTAGGGAAACTGAGGCAGACATTTGATCCTATTAACTCGATCCATTGCTCCAGTGCCGGATTTACGTATAAGCTAAACAAGCTGCAGCTTAGGGCCCCACTCTCTTGGGGGGCCCCCAAAAAAATAAAGGGGGAAAAATACTGGATGTACATTTCCAAAATATAAGATAAAAAACAAATAAAATAAAACCTACATACAGCAACAGTGTTTTGTGTTGTGTAGGCTCCTATGATGTAAGTCATGGGCCCTGCCTGCTAGCCTGCTCCCTAAAATATCCCTGGTTTGCTCCTTTCTGTATATAGGGTGCCTACATTCTGCATGGACTGGTTGCATGGCCACATGGGCAAATGGCTTTAGATACCTATTAGGTCCATCAGTTACCATATAGCATATATTCAGCACAAAAAACAGCGACAATTTGTTGTTGACAAAGGACAGCTGGACATATAAAAGGCCCCATTACCTTCAGGAGCTGAGGGCCTCATCAAACCTTAATCCAGCCCTGCTAGGCTCATTTGTGGCTTGAACATCTAGGACCAAGTTGAAACTGACTAGACTTCCTTGTTGTTTTTGCTACTGCCAGGAGATGTAGTGTTGCAACATTTGGAATATTAAATGTTGTTCTTTGTTTGCCACTACATTTGCTGTATTTTTATTGCCATTGTTAAGAAGTTATTCCTGCAGTTGTTGATTTTTATGATTTCTCAAATATCGTAAGCCACTGTGAGCATAATTCTTTGGAGAGAGGCAGCATGCGGTGATGATGGTGAACAGCTGTTGGTTAGTTCTTCTGAGTGTTTGTTGGTTTGTTTATTTTTAACTTATTTCACAGAAATTATATGCTGCTGACTCAAATAAAAGACCCCCAAGCGGTTTGCAAAAGACAATGTAGAACATTTATTTTTTTTAAAACACACACAAATGAAAGCAGACATTAAAACCAAGTTATATTTATGAAATAGAGAATGGAATTTGTAATTTTTAAACAGGGATGTTTAAAACTAACAGGGCATGCGAAACTGAAGGCTTAGATTGGTATGTTTATTTTGCCTACCCAAAGCTCAGGCCACAGGTTCCTCCCCGCCTCCCCATTCTGAATGGAGACTTGCGTCAGCTGCTCAGTTCTTCATCCATTCTTCCTTCACAGGAGAAAATGAAGGGGAAGAACAAGCTGGTCCCTCGTCTGCTGGGCATCACGAAGGAGTCAGTGATGCGTGTGGATGAAAAGACCAAGGAGGTCCTCCAGGAGTGGCCGCTGACCACTGTCAAGCGCTGGGCAGCCTCGCCAAAAAGCTTCACTCTGGTAATCTCTTTGTGAGGGGGAAGTGAAATGGATGGGAGGAGTAGCCTCGTCGTGGTGACTAAGTTTCTACCCTGATGGTCAGTCTCCTCTCAACAGAGGCCTTGAGGCCTCCAGGAAGGATGTGGAACCTGTGGTCATCCAGGTGTTGTTGGACTCCAACTCCAACAAATTTAGATTACTTTAACGTGTTATATGTGGGGCTGGCTCCGAAGACGGCTCAGAAACTTCAACTGGTTCAGAATTCAGTGGCCACTGGTGTCACTGTCCCAGTTTTTCAAACCCATTTGGCTAGGGATAGCCAGCTTAGACCAATGTCAAGAACATCCACAGACAACTCTTTCTAAAAAGTGCTGTTACATCATTCAGATGCCAATTCCTGCCTTCATCTCTCCCTCCCTTGCAGTGCCACCTGAAGCAGGTCACTCCCAGGGGTCTACTCCCGGGAGTCTTCAGCACAAGGGTCTTCCCTGTCATCAGCTACCTGGTCCTTTTAACTGGAGACACTTCCAGGGATTGGACCTGGGACCTTCTGCATGCAGAGCAGGTGTTCTTCTGCCCAACAAGCTGTGGCCCCTTCCCACACCCCACTAGATGGGAATCTTATGTGCTTGGTATTGAGCCCCCAATAGAAAAATAAAATTACAACCTGGTCTGATTACACCAAGTTCATGAAAACAGAGTTGGCAGTTACTCTGGAAGACCTTGTTCTGCCTCCGCTGCCCATCTTCAGGCCTTTACACTCTGCTTCTGTTTATCATCAGTAGAATGGTACTAATAGAGAAGTGGGACGTGGGTGGCTCTGGGATCTAAACCACTGAGCCTCTTGGGCTTGCTAATCGGAAGGTCAGCAGTTCAAATCTGTACAATGGTGGTGAGCTCCCATTGCTCTGTCCTAGCTTCTGCCAACCCAGCAGTTCAAAAGCATGCCAATGCAAGTAGATAAATGACCCAGAAAGCTGTCTGTGGACAAATGCCAGCTCCCTCACTCTGAAGTGAGGTGAGCACCGCACCCCATAGTCGCCTTTGACTGGACTTGACTTTCCAGGGGTCATTTACCTTTACCATTTTACCTTACTAATGGCAAATTACTTTAGAAATAATAAATGTCTCATTTCCTTAGGATTTTGGGGAGTATCAAGAAAGTTACTACTCGGTGCAAACCACTGAAGGGGAGCAGATCTCTCAACTAATTGCAGGTTACATTGATATCATCCTCAAGAAGGTAAATGCTCTGATGATCTTCGGGAAAGAAACTATGTCATGCGGTTTTGTTGAAAGATTTCTGGGTGTGAAGCTGGGTCCGTGGTATTAGGTGGGTTTTATGTGTTTACTTACACTAATTCATGGAAAGGCAAACTCTTAGTACTTTGCTGAGTGGGAGAGAAGCTGCCAGCTTTGCCTGGGGATGGAAAGTTAGGGCCTGATACAGCCAAAAGATCATTCCCCCCCCTCCTAACACTCCCATAGGTTCCAGTAAGTGATGGAGCTTCCAGGGCCCGACCAGTGGACAGAGATCTGGGGCTCCACACAGCTCAGGGGTTCCCCAAATACCCAGAAACACCATGGCTGAGGCGCTGTTATTTTTCTTGAAATGCTGGCTGTTCTTTGCACTTCAATAATAATAATAATAATAATAATAATAATAATAATAATAATAATAATTCTAGCCTTGCATTGACTCTCCATAGCACAGAGCTCTGTGTGTTCTGTTTGCCAGTCCAGCGCCACTTCCTAAGATGTCCAGGAAGTTGGTATGCACTGCTGGAGTGGGGACGGGGCTTTTATTCCACAGCATTTAAAGAAAAATTAAAACCTCCTCAGCCCCTACATACAACAAAATAAGGTAAACAGCACAAGCCCTCCTGAGCTCACCCCCCTGCCCTTTTCCAGGTAGGGAGAAGGATAGAGTTGGCCAGAGGGGCAGGTGAGATGGACATACCTGGCCTGAAGACACCATCAAACTTGGCAGCGTCTATGTTCTAGTCAGGTGCTCCACCTCTTCCTGGCTCTCTGGCATAGCCTAAGAGAGTCTGTGGGCAAAGTGACTCTCAGAGTCACATAGTGTGGAGTCTGCAGCCAGGGGTGGAGCCCAGTGTTTCAGGACAAGCAACTCTTAGCTTGGAAAATGGGCTGCATTTACAAAGAGGAGGTGATAGCTGAAGTTCTCTCTGGTGTCTCCTGTTCTGCAGAAGCAAAGTAAGGACCGTTTTGGACTGGAAGGGGATGAGGAATCCACAATGTTGGAAGAATCTGTATCGCCTAAAAAGTATGTTGTTCTGCATAACATTATTGCAAATGAAAATCTTCAATCTTGCTGTGTTGAATTACATAACCTCTGTCCTGTAACTGCCCCAGGCTGTGTAAATGTGTCAGCCAACAAGGAGCAGCCATTGGTTGTGGAGCTTTTCCCTCTATTGCGTTGCCCCAGTTAACGCAAAACCAAGCAAAAACCCTTTACTGAGATGGTTCCATGGAAATTTGGAATTCCTTGGAAACTTAACAAGAATTCCTCACTTAGAAGGTCATTAGTGGCAGGCAGGCAAAGCACCCTCAAAAGAGGCAGGCGAATGAAATATTTGGGGTGCCACTTTTTATTTGCTTAGTTTAAAAATGAAAACAAAAAGTGGAATGCTGTCACTCTTCCCTTCAGTGTGTAGCTGAGCTCGAAAAGTACAACACAAGGAAAGTACTTTTATTTATAAAAGTATTTGCATACCTTCATTTAAAAATCAGCATGGTTAATAATAATGATAATGATTATTATTATTATTATTATTATTATTATTATTATTATTATTATTTCTACCCCACCCATCTGACTGGGTTTCCCCAGCCGCTCTGGGTAGCTTTTCAACAGAACATTAAAAACAGAATAAAACTTCAAACATTAAAAACTTCCCTAAACTTCCCAGATGTCTTCTAAAAGTCGGATAGTTGTTTATTTCCTTGACATCTGACAGGAGAGCATTCCACAGGAAGGGCACCACTATTGTGAAGGCCCTCTTCCCGGTTCCCGGTAACCTCACTTCTCGCAGTGAGGGAACCACCAGAAGTCCCTCGGAGCTGGACCTCAGTGTCCAGGCTGAACGATGTTTACAACAATTTTGCATAAACCATATGATGAAAACCATATGAACAAGTTAAAATCAGAAATCAGCTAAGTGTTGTAGAAAGACATATTCCAAATTGTCTGCACAGGCCTGGCAGAACAGAAGAATTTTCAGCAGGCATTTAAAAGTTGGCACAGAAGGCACCTGCTGAATCTCTCTTGGCAGGGCATTCCACAAGGCTTGGCCCATGACACTGAAGGCTCGGCTTCTTGTTGTTGTCAGATGAGCCTTGCCAGTGACATTCCTGCAGATGATATTAGTGATCTGGCTGGGATATAAAGGTTTGGGTGGTCCCTGAGGTACCCTGGACCTAAGTTGTTCTGGGCTTTGTAAATGAAAGCAGGGACCTTGGTAGTAGATGGGCAGCCAGTGCAAGTGCTTAAACAGTGGGATCACAGGCTCTCCACCAGCTGCCCCCATCAACAGTTTGGCCGCTGCTTCTGCACTGGCTGGAGCTTCCAAAGTTGCCCAAATCTTCATCATTGACTGGGGTGGGGAACTTCAGGCCCCTGGGGTCAATGTGGCCCTCCAGGCATCTTGGTTGAGACCTTCAGGTTTCTCCCTAGGCCATGCCCCTCCCTGGCCCTGCTGTGCATCCTTCTCAAGTGCTTTTTCTGAGCTGGAATGGAGATGCCTCTTGCTTGCTTGCTTGGAAGGAGGTGCGTATGTGTAGTACTTTTGGCTTTTGATTGCTGGAATGCAGTGTACCCCACCCAATCTGGCTGGAAACTCTGGGTTCAGCACCCCATTAAACCACAAAACTACTTCCAGGATTGTTGCAAGGAAAAAAGGGTAAGAGAAAAAAATTTCTGCCTTGAGCTTCTTGGAGCAAGGTAAAAACAAACCGGGGGGAAATCCACAAGTTTTTGCAGTCGCATCCCATGCTTTCCTTTGCAGATCGACAATCTTGCAGCAGCAGTTCAACCGAACGGGGAAAGTAGAGCATGGCTCTGTCGCCCTGCCAGCTGTCATGCGTTCAGGCTCCACGGGGCCAGAGACCTTCAACGTTGGCAGCATGCCTTCTCCGCAGCAGCAGGTGACCGTTGGCCAAATGCACAGAGGGCACATGCCTCCCTTGGTAAGCAACCCTTTGGTCTTTTCTTATCCTCCCCACCAACACGTAACCTCTTCCTGGTTTTTACCTGGGGTTTTCACCCTTCTGAAAATGTTCTTTCAGAGCTTCAAGACACAAATTGGGGGGTGGGGGGCAGTGATGCCACAGGCAGAAGGGTGCTAGGAGCACAGGAAGCAGACTCATAACAGGCCAGGCCATCCATTGGTCCATCTGGCTGGCTCCATGGCTTGAGCTGTGCCTCAGTTGGGGATACTGGCTGTAGAATGTCCTGTGACGGTCAACTGTGCTTTGGGTTAGTGGAGCAGAGGAGTTAAAACTCTGAATAGCCTGATTTCCCCACCCTATTACTTGCTTCTTACAAGGACACATCCCTGTCATGTCATGCTTCCGGCAGCTAAGGAGCTGAAGACAGAACTGTAAAGGAACAGACTTATACGTTCACAGCTTCTTACTGCCACTGCCAGCCAAGGATCATTATTCCCGGCTGAGTGGTACATTGAAGCATCAGGATGTTTCCTCTGTTTAGTTTTCCCTCAGTAAAACCTTTTATTCACATGTCAATCAGCAATTGAAAGCATTTGCTGATGAACCTGGTGTGGTGTCCAGGACTCTGGGAGGATTCCGGTCACTTATCCCAGAAGAGATTCAAAGCCGAGTTTGTGTCCTTCGTCTGTGGACAATCATCAGGCTCATCCATCACAACAGCCTTTGTACTGGAAGGTGGCAACCCACCTCAGCTTCCCCCAGATTTATTTAGAAAGAGGAAAAGGTCAAGCCAGCAGTGGGGAGCCTTGGACTCCTGTGCCAAACATGCCCCCGGGTCACAACCCTCACCAGCCCTGCTTCTGCCTGAGTAGGATGTGACTGTTTCTAACCGAGGCAGCTTTAGATGTGACCCAATGAATAGTGCTGGTGGTGACAGGCCGCTCCCACCCACCTGCCCACCCTGATGCAGATATTATCTCTTGCTCTAACAGTTGTTGACAGATTTAGTTGTGGTAGAATCCCCGGCGAAAATAACCTCACTTGACTCTTCCTCCTCGAACTGCCCAGCACGGATCCCTCAGAGCACGCTCGGCTGATCTTTGTTGCTCTTGATTATTTGACCTCATTATGTTTGCTGCGCACTCCTCGTCTTGGGGGATGAGGTGTCTTTTTCTGAAAATCTCTCCCAAGAGCTCAGAGCTGCCTGTGAATCTTTCTCCCCCACCTTCTTCCTCCCTAGACCTCTGCCCAGCAGGCCCTGATGGGAACCATCAACACCAGCATGCATGCGGTTCAGCAGGCCCAGGCCGACCTGACCGAAGTGGACAGCCTCCCGCCGTTAGGAAACGACATGGTAAGTCCGGGGCCAGTTAAGCAGAGCACAGTCATTGCTTCAGGCGGCAGGTGTGGAGGAGGGGAAGAGGGGGGCAACACGCACCTGCCATTCCCCTCTGTTGCAGATTGAAGTCTTTTCACATGGTAGGTGATGCGCCCCAAAAACTAACCTGCAGTGGAGGACGCCATCTCATCCCATTGCCAGTACTGAAAGGGGAATCAGCTGCCAGGCCAACCTCATTCTGAACATGAAATTGAGGGGTGTCAGGGGAGGGTCTCATCTTACCCTTTGCCTCAGACAGCAAAATGTCTTGGGCTGGCCAAGCAGAAACCTCATGGAGGTGGGCTGTGTGGTAGTTTGCTGATTTCCCCATGGATCCAGATGCCTGCGCTGCATTTTGGCAGGCCTTTCAAGAAAATGTTCTTTCGCCATTATGCAAAGCGGTGTTAAATCTGGCAGTTTGCAGCATGCAGTTGGGTGCCCCTCCCTGTAGGAAACAACCAGATTCATCAATCTGTGAACGAGCCCTTTGTCAGCTCTTGTTACAGTCTCACTGGCGCTCAAGTCATAGGTCTGCTCCACCCCGTTCTGTGTAGATTTTCTGACAGAATCCACATAAATGGTCCACACAGGGCTTCCCCTAAGATACACATCTTTCAATACTTTTTGTGGCACTGTCCTGTGAAATAAACATTTTTCCTGTAAAATGCATACTGTTACTGTTTTGCATACCTTGAATATGGAGAAATGCATCATCAGTTGTGTTTGATCTGTGAGCTAATTTGGACTACCAAACCCGGTCTGTACACTACAAAAGCAAACTGAACAGATTCCTACCCAATCCCTGCCTCTGACTTGAGCCTACTCACTTCAGTGTCTCTTCTTGCAGGTGGCTATGCATGTTGAAGCTGACCTTTCCCCTTGCTTTCTAGGCTTCCAGAGTTTGGGTTCAGAACAAAGTGGATGAATCCAAACATGAAATACACTCTCAGGTTGATGCCATCACTGCAGGAACAGCTTCTGTTGTGAACCTTACAGCGGGTGAGTTGGCAGCCGCTGGTGTGCAGGTTCCTCTGCAGTGTCATGCTGGCTTATGGGTCATTCAGGAGCCTTCCCTTCTGCAGATGGCTGCAGACCTTCATGCGGGAGAAATGGGGGACTATGGGTGGATTCAGATGGCAATGCTAAAACATCATTTGGAACTGTACAAACAAGCCTAAGGAACATAGGAATCTGCCTTAGAGCAGGTCCAGATTGCTCAGTTGTTCTTTACTCTGGCTGGTGGCAGCTCTCCAGGGTCACAGGTAGAAAAGAATCTTTCTCATCGCAGATTTGGAGAAAGTGGAGAAGGAAAGGTTTTTCTTCCTGTCTCATAACACTAGACTGTGTGGTCATCCAATGAAGCTGAACATTGGACTTATAAAAATTATTTTCTTGATTTACAAAAATATGTACATGCATTGCCTCTTTTTCAGGTTGTAGAGTCTTTTCTACAGATCAGCTCCATTTGATGTGAGACATTAGTATTGTGTACAGTATAAGGTGGGGGAAGGGTGGTAAAGCTTATATTCTTTTACTTAGTGTGTTCACAAGGTTTTTGTGTCAGTGTCACGTGGGTAAGTTCTCTTTCTATTCATTTATTATTTTCCCTTGGCAGTGAGAAAGGTGGGAGGGGGCTGGCCATGGTTGCTTGTCTTTAGTTGACTGCAGCGAGAGTTGTTCGCGTGTGAGGGGATTGTTGGGTCAGGTTAGCCAGGTTGATTCATACGCTTTCAGTGGGTTCTTGTTGTTGGGCTGCTTGTGTAATAAAGGGGAGCTGGCTTGTTTTGTTTTCTTCTTGTTTTTATTATGTACTTTGTAGTTTTATTCTGTAATTCTATGCTGTGCACCACCCTGAGATCTTTGGATGAAGAGTGGTATGCAAATATAATAATAATAAAGTGTCAGTGCAGTAGCACTAAAACCTTAGCGCAGAGATGGAGACCCGAAGGCCATTCAGAAGTTGTTGGGGCTACAGGTTTCATCAGCCTTGGCCAGCATGATCAGTGGGGAGGGACAATGTTGTAGTACAACAGGGCAGCAGGTTGAGTAAGGCTTCTATAAAATATAGGCTAGGGATACAGAACCTGTGGACCTCCAAGTGTTTGTTGGAGTCCAACACCCATCAGCCCCAGCCAGTGTGTTCAGCTATCATGGATGATGGGAGTTGTAGTCCAACAACATTTGGAAGGCACCAAGTTCCCAAGCCGTGACTTAGTAAACAAAAGAAAAGAAAACATTGTTAACTGCTGGTCTCTGTGTTGACTTTAGGGGCTATTCATTTACTGACCCATCCGTGGCTGATCCTTCCTGTTTGGCAGGTGACCCAGTTGACACGGACTACACTGCTGTGGGGTGTGCGATCACCACCATCTCTTCAAACCTCACTGAGATGTCCAAAGGAGTCAAGCTTCTTGCTGCACTAATGGATGATGACGTTGGAAGTGGGGAGGACCTATTGAAAGCCGCCCGCACCCTTGCAGGAGCTGTGTCGGACTTGCTGAAGGCTGTGGAGCCAACGTCAGGAGAGGTGAAGTCACAGAACTGACTCATAAGCACAGAGTTCTGACACTAGATACTGGGGGAAGGATATGTTGAAATCTGTGAAAAATTGCACAGTTGCATTTTTTTAGGGTACTTCCCAATGGCAAGATGATGTTGCTCCTTATTAAATGGTTGGGTAGAGCAGAGTTAGTCAATGTGGTGTGCATCTTGTCAAGTGTCCCCAGCCTGGTGCCCTCTGATTGTCACTGGACCTCAGCTTGCACCACCTTCCTTCACCATTGCCCATGCTGGCTGGAGCTGATGGCAGTTGTGGTCCAACTGGAAACCAAAGGAGGACAGAGAGCTCTTGTGCTCAGGTCTTGCTCACTGGTTTCCCACAGGCATCTTGTTGGCCACTGTGAAAGCAGGATGTTGGAATGGATGGACCATTGGCCTGATCCAGGCTCTTATTGGGTTCTTATTTTCCACATTGACTACCCCTGGGGTAGATAGGGTTTTGACCCTGACTAGTGGTTTGAATCTTCCTGCCTTCTCCTTAGCCGACCCCCTTAGAATGGCTTTCCTTGGATTTTCATCTTCCTAGGTCTTGTCTTGAAACCAATAATCTGTGCTGCTGTGTTCTGTGTGTGCCTTTCTCTTTCTCTCAATCCCCCAAATGACTTACCAGCTGTTAACACACATTCTGCCTCTCCCATGGAGCTCTCCAGAATTTCACCAACTGGGGCATGCTCAGAATTTGCTCATGCTCTCACTTCAGCACAGGGGTCCACGCATGCAACCCAGCAAGGTTTCTGTTAAGCTACAGATGGCCTTAGCTGTGTTTTCCCTGCTGGAATTCAAATCCTGAGTCCTGTATGTGTATCACGATTTCATACAGGTGATGCTCACATTGATAACTCCTTTCCCAAAATTTTGCTTCACGTTCACTGTTCTGAAGGATGTAAGGCTGATAGTCAAAACAGGAAGTGCCATATTAAGGTAGTACTATTATTGGCCAACCAGATGCCTGTGGGACAATCACAAGCAGGGTCTGAGCACCGGAGTCATTCTCCCCTCCTGTGGGTTCCAGCAGCATCTCTGTCTCCAACAGTGGAGGCAGAGGCACCAATAGACTTCTCCTCCATGAATTTGCCTTTTAGGTCCACCAAGACTTCACAAATAGTGTGCAAGCTTTGGAGTTCTCTGCAAGAGTTCTGGGAAGAGTTACTGAGAACCTGAAATCTTACACATTATTTTGTGACATTTTGGTTCACCTAATAAAGGCATTGCCGGGATAAGGAGTTAGGAATGAGTACTAAGTTCCTACCTCTACACAATGATAGTTTTCTCCTGCTTTCCTGAAAATTGATAATGTCTCACACTTATGGCAGTGAAGTCTCTGGTGCTGACTGGCAGTTGTGCAAAGAACCAAACAGTTTTGCAGTCTGGTTTCTATGAGGGAAGGGAAAGCTGTCCATTCAGCTGGGATTAAAACCTTGCACATTTATAGGTTGAAGACCTAAGAAGTGATGTAGGGGCATTAATGGGACAAGGAAGCTCAGAAGAAAAGAGACTGAAAAAAAGGTGTAAAGTTAATAATAGACTGAGGATGGGTAGATGAAGATTGAGACTTGAAGAAAGAATTTCCTGGCTGATGATGATGCCTTGTGTGTTTAGGCTATGGTTGGATCAGCTCATTTTGGATAAGAGGCCTGCTCTGTGCAGCAACATGCTCTGTTGGTGCTCTGGAAAACAAGTGATCTGAGAACCTCACCTCCTTGTATTAGCCTAGTAGCTTAACCTCATAATCTCTTTCTCTTTCCCCTAACTAGCCCCGCCAGACGGTCTTGACAGCAGCCGGGAGCATCGGGCAAGCCAGCGGCGAGCTTCTCAGACAGATCGGAGAAAATGAAACCGATGAACGATTCCAGGTGAGGGCATCTCCTGTGCTGTTCCTTTTAAACCTTGGATCTGAGTAGAACATTGCTGTGAGCGTGTATAATTCAGAGCCACAACTCCCCTGAATAAGTTTTCAATTGGTTACTCCTATGAATGTTAGCTGATTATTCCATTACTCTGTTGATTTAAATTTGCACGTGGGCAAAATTTGTGTATGGGTAAAGCAATATTTCGGAAGCAAGAAGCATTTTATTTGCTTTTGTCTCTAGATGTTGTACAAACACTAGGCAGGGGGCTGGGAGATTGGTCTAGGAGGTTTCACTCCTGTTTATGACTGAGAATACCTCCTTTAAAGATGGTGCATTTCAGGTTCGGCCTTTTCAAGCAGTTCTACTTTATATTTATCAGCTGCCCTGTTAATCAGGAATGCCATTTTTAGTCAATTAAAACTGGTTAATGTAACCAATTAATCAATTAAATATTGTGGCCCCCATATAAATGTTTTCAGTACCATAAGTACATTTTCTGTTCTTACCTTTAGCTATATATTATTATTATTATTATCATCATCATCACCACCATTATTCCTAACTTCTGTCATTATTATTTTTAAAAGAGTGTTTTGGCTTTTAGCTTTCAGAACAGGAGAAGGGCTGTAGCTCAGTGGTTGTGCATCTGCTTTGAATGCAGAAGGTTTCAGGTTCAATCCCCGGCATCTCCAGATAGGCCTGTGAAAAGTCTCCTGCCTGAACTCCTAAAGAGCCACTGCCAGTCAGTGTAGACAGTTTGGAGCTCGACTGACCAATGGAACTCAGGGTGACTATATGTCCTCTTTTTTCAAGGACCCCCCCCCTTTTTTTTCATGGCTAGAGTCTTCATAGCGATCCATAGTTAAAAGCAGAAGTCGGCAAATGTGTCCTATTTTATGCTCTTCAAAATCTGGCAGCCCTTTCTTTGTGTTATCATTGGCATACGCTTTGTGATGATAAAACGATGTGTTTTTGTCGGAGATAAAACTGAACTAAGTATGAATCTCTTCCTTGACCCTCTGCCTTTTCCAGGATGTGTTGATGAGTCTTGCCAAAGCAGTTGCCAATGCCGCCGCCATGTTGGTGCTGAAGGCCAAGAATGTGGCCCAAGTGGCCGAAGACGCGGTTCTGCAGAACAGGGTGATCGCTGCTGCCACGCAGTGTGCCCTCTCCACTTCTCAACTGGTGGCCTGTGCGAAGGTGCGACTCTGGTGTCGGTGGGAGGTTGGAACCCATGCAGAATAGTCCGTCAGTAGCTCCTCATAGACAGGAGTTTGGCACAAGGCAGAAAGAGACCCAGAGAAGTCGATAAAAAAGGCCCCAGGAGCTGTGATAACTGCATTGCAGAGGGTTGGACTAGATGACACTCAGGATCCCTTCCACCTCTGTTGTTCTATGATCCATGAACACATCTGGGGCTGTGCTTTTTTATTTAAAATATGAGCATCACCGGAGAGTGCAAACTGTTTTCTCAATGGATGCTGACAATATCTAGCACAGCCTTCAACATTCTGATACCATCCTAATGTGGATTGCAGCCATTGGACCTGCTGAATGAAGCTGATGGGAGATGCAGTCCAGCAACATCTGGAGGCCCCCATTGGCTCCCTCTGGGTTAGGCTGCAAGACAGCAGTGGGCCCAAGACCTCCCACCGCCACCTGTGTATCCTGTGTAGCAGGGTTTTATCCTATTGATCCCACCCCTCAAATGGAGTGGCTTACAAAAAACCAGACACACAGGCCTTTTCTGCCGTGGCTTCCCATTTGTGAAATGCTCTCCCCAGGGACGTTCATCTGGCGGCTTCATTATATATTTTGAGGCACCAGACAAAAACATTCCTCTTCGACCAGGCCTTGGGCTGATCAATATTCTACTCTACAGCCTTTTAAATGTGTTTGTGGGAGTTCTTGTTTCTACTTATTTGTGCTTTTATCTTGTATTCTTATCTTGTGAACCACCCTGAGATCTGTTGATGAAGGGCGGGATATACCGTATTTTTTGCTCTATAAGACGCACCAGACTACAAGACGCACCTAGTTTTTGGAGGAGGAAAACAAGAAAAAATATTCTGAATCTCAGAAGCCAGAACAGCAAGAGCAGCAATCCCTCTTGCTGTTCTGGCTTCTGGGATAGCTGCACAGTCTGCATTCGCTCCATAAGATGCACACACATTTCCCCTTACTTTTTAGGATGGAAAAAGTGAGTCTTATAGAGCAAAAAATACAGTAAATCTAATAAATAAAATTCATTGGGTGTCCTTGGGACATTCAGTCCCTCTCTTGGCCTAAATTCCCACACAGAGTTGTCGTCAAGACTAAGTGAGGGTGGGGCAGCCAGCTCTCCTGTGTCCAACGTGGCGGCTGTGCTTCCGTTACAGGTCGTGAGCCCTACCATCAGCTCCCCTGTGTGTCAGGAGCAGCTGATAGAGGCCGGGAAGCTGGTCGATCGTTCTGTGGAGAACTGTGTCCGAGCCTGCCAGGCGGCCACAGACGACTCCGAGCTGCTCAAGCAAGTCAGCGCAGCCGCCAGCGTGGTGAGCCAGGCCTTGAACGATCTCCTGCAGCACGTCCGCCAGTTCGCCAGCCGGGGGGAGCCCATTGGGCGCTACGACCAGGCCACCGACACCATCATGTGTGTCACCGAGAGCATCTTCAGTTCCATGGGGGACGCTGGTAAGCTGCTTGAATGTGGCAGGTCAGCCTTGATTGGAGCCAAAGGGGTGGGGGGGTAGTTTTAGTATTGCCCTTGACCCCCCTCACAAGGTTGTTGTACGGATTATATACAGTGCTATCTAAGTGCCTGGCATTGTTATTGTTTCCGATATTTGTAGATTGCCTTTCACCATTAAGCGGCTTATAGATCAGTAATAATATGATGCCTCGGTCAAATACTGTTTAAAACAATAAAAGGCCACAGGTAAGAACGTGAATTTGACCTAGTACAACTTACTTAAAATGCCTGCTAGAATACAAGTATTGTATGCACACAATGATAAATACTGTATATACAGCACTAAATGAGTATAAAGTCCGGAGCAATGTTTGTTACAGTACATTCAGGAACATTATTTATTTGGAAATGCTACATCCCTGTCCTTCGGGAAATAGATACACGCTCAAAGAACTTACAAAGAGCCCTGCAGCTGGATCCGACTGTGCTTTCCACTGTGGCCCACCAGGTGTCATTATGGGGAGCCCCCAGTAGGACCCAAACAAAAGAACAGGCCCTCTCCCCACTTGTGATTCCTCCCAGCAAGTGATATTTGGAGGCGATACCTGGAAGTAGTACAAAACCACTTGCCACCAATAGCTTCAAGAATTTGTCTGGTCCTCTTTTAAAGTTATTTCTGCACAGCCCATGTGAAGCAGCACCTCCTTTCATCCTCCTTAAATCTTCCAACATTTGGCTTCCTTGGGTGGTCCCAGCTGGGTTCAAGAGAGGGAGAAAATATAGCCTGTCTAGAATGGTGAAAGATTGAGTAACGGTCAGATATTTGTTAATATGAAAATCAAAACTTTGCACAATCTAAACAGAAATTAAATGATCCTGTCATGGCAATTTGATTTGATGGGAGGTTTATGAGCTCTTGAGAGGTTCTTGTGAAGAGCCACACCATCAGATGGGGATGCCTCCAGGTGGTGCTGCCACAGCCTGTGGAGGTAGGGCCTTTTCTGTGGTGGCCCACCTTTTCCCTGGGATTGTTTCCCCTCAGAGCACAGTCTGGCCCTGCCCCGGGTGACATCTTGGCACACTCTTGCATTCCCATGCCTTTGATGGAGTTTCATTTATGTAGGTGCTTCTAATTCACTTCTCTCTGCCTAAGTTATTAGTTGTGTTTTCATCTTATCATGGCAACACTTTGTGTTTGCACCTATAGATGTATTTTTGTACCTTGTAATGTAAAGACGGTTGTGAGGAGGGGCTACAAAAATGTTTCCATAAACAAATAGATGTGACTAAAACAGCCTGTGGTGTTTTTGAAATGTGTTCCAAACATCCCATCACGATGGTCACAAGAGTTGGTCAGGAAGGACAGGGATGTGCCTGAACTGAACACTGAGGGATAAAGGAGAGATAAAAAGCAGATTTTTAACTCAATACTGTTGTAGGTGAAATGGTACGGCAGGCCAGGGTCCTCGCTCAAGCCACTTCGGATCTCGTGAACGCCATGAGGTCGGATGCTGAGGCAGAGATAGACATGGAAAACTCCAAGAAACTTCTGGCAGCTGCGAAACTTCTGGCTGACTCAACAGCCCGGATGGTTGAAGCTGCAAAGGTACTCAGCACAATTTGCCAGGTTGAAGGGGAATTATGGATTGATGAATTAGAGGGATGGCTGGATTAGATAGATAGATACATTTAGATGACATTTGCATACAGCATCTAAGTAGAAATCCCTGCAAAACATTGAAGTTTCAAGTAGAGCATCAGGAGTGTTCCTTTTCAATACTGTAAGCGGCAGCGCTTCAATCTCTCTCTCTCTCTTTCTCTCTCTTTTTCTCTCTCTCTCTCTCCTATTTCCTCTGTGTATGTGCATGTGATCAATTCTACCAGGGAGCTGCAGCAAACCCAGACAATGAGGACCAGCAGCAGAGGCTTCGCGAAGCAGCTGAAGGTCTGCGAGTGGCCACCAATGCAGCCGCTCAAAATGCCATCAAGAAGAAAATCGTAAACAGATTAGAGGTCAGAATACAGCCTGGGAACCTCTTCTTGTTTACCTTTTCCAATCAGGCATATTACAAATTTCACCAGCCTGGTGGCCTCCAGATGTGTTTGATTACAACTGCAGACTGTGGGGCTGATGAGGCCCCCACCCTTTCCCACTTGACCTGTGGGGCAGTTTTGACCGTAGCACTCCTCCCCATCCACCCCTTGATGTCAGGCACATGACAGGTAAAGCCACAGCTGCAAACAGCGCTGAATTCAAGCGGCAGCTGCAAAGGAGCCCACCTTTGTATCCATGGCTTTGCCTTGAATTTGGCACCTTAGCCTGCAGTGCTACTTTCAGCCACACTAGATGCCCTCTGTCACTCCTGCATGTGTCCAGCCCCTGCTCAAAGTTGTGTGGTATGGAAAGGTACCAAATTCAAACAGCACCAAAGGTAAAGTTGCAACTACAAAGGAGCAATCGCAACCACCGTCTGAAGTGTTCCTTTGCAGCCATGCATTTACATTTACTGTACCTGTCATGTGGCATCAGGTGATTGACAGGTGGGGGGCTGCCCACTTTCAGATCTGGCTCTGACCAAATGCGGTTGCCCACCTGTGAACTACAAATCACATCAGCTTCAGCCGTGATGGGCTAAAGGGGCAGCATGTTGGCGAAGGTGTGCTCCAACGTAGCCTGGAGGGCAGAGAAAAAAGCATTTTGTTTTCCTGCCCAGCTGACAAAATCACCTTCTCTTATCCACTGCAAGACTTTTATGCAGGTGTAGACAGACTTCAGGCTAATGGGATCTACTTTGTTCCTTAGTATAACCCCTGAATCCACCATAGGCAGCCAGGTGCAAAACAGTTGCAAAGGGGAGCTGATATATACTTATAATTAAGGGAGGGTGACTTCAAGCAAATGGTCAGCCCAGCATTTATTTATTTTCAATAACAGACTCTCTGTCCTTTTGCACACAAATAAATGCCTCCAGGACAAGTATGCATATATGTTGCAAGACAGAAACTTACAGGTGTGTTTATAGAAACTGATCTGCAGCAAATCACACAGATTTTCCCATTGCTCTCAGTCTCTCTTACCCTCTGCTTAATTGCATTTCCTTTTTTCCAGGTTGCTGCTAAGCAAGCAGCAGCAGCTGCAACTCAGACCATTGCAGCCTCACAGAACGCAGCCATTTCAAATAAGAACACAGCAGCCCACCAGCATCTTGTCCAGAGCTGTAAGGTAGGCTAGCTTGAGATGGCAAAATACTCTTAAGCACCACTTTCCTCCTCCCCAACCAGAATGACCAGCACTCATCGATGATGGGAGTTGGAGTTCAGCAACTTTTTTTTAAAGGGCCACCGTTTCCCCATCCCTGGTCTAGGGGAATCAGGGCAAGAGGGCGCTGCCTAGGCCAGTCTTCCCCCAACCTGGTGTTCTCTCAGTGTTTTGGGCTGCAACTCCTATCAGCCCTGGCCAGCGCAGGTTGGGAAAAGCTGGCTTAAGCTGAACTAGGAGAGACATCTGCACAACTTTGGTTCTTGATTCACAACTGAGCATGGACACTGTTTTCCCCCCTTGCTACTCAGTAACCACAACCTCACACCATTGTTTGTACCATGTGTAAATTTATGCACACCTAATAGGTGAATCCAGTTAATCCGCCAAGGTTTCTTTAACTGGGCGAGTAGCCCTTTTTCTAAGTTTTCTCATCCATTGTCCAACCTTGAAGCATGACAGACAATTCCATGGATTTCTGCATGCAACAGAAGTGGCAACAAGTCTCATCTTCAGGGCCACAAGAATACCCTCTGCTCACACTGGAGAGAAGTTGGCTTCTAGCCTAGACAATCAGAGGCAGCCTGAGGCTAGCTGTTGGCTGCAGTTGATTCTGCACTGGCAGCCACCACCTTTATCTCCGCTGCTTGGAGGTGAATTGCAAGATGTCTGGTAGTTTTATAAGGAGGCAGGAAGCAGGTCTGCTGGCTATTATTAGCTGTAGCTCTGTGGAATCCCCATGCTATATCTCTGGGGGTAATGAAAGGCCATTTGCTTCTGGGTGTCCGCTGTTGGAGACAGAAAGGTGGACTAAGCAAACTATTTCTTCCAGTAGCACCTTAAAGACCAACTAAGTTAGTTCTTGGTATGAGCTTTCGTGTGCATGCACACTTCTTCAGATAAGAAGAAGAATCTGAAGAAGTGTGCATGCACACGAAAGCTCATACCAAGAACTAACTTAGTTGGTCTTTAAGGTGCTACTGGAAGGAATTTTTTCTTTTGACTGTGGCAGACCAACACGGCTACCTATCTGTAAGCAAACTATTATTATTGTTATCATTATCATCATTATTATTATTATTTCAAATGTTTCTTATCTGCTCTTCATCAAAAGTTGCCAGGGCAGCGCACCAAAGTGCAGATAAAATTATTCACACCCAATTTACTGGGTGACTACTGTAGTCCATGTGTTGGTAGGCTTGAGGTTAGATTACTCTATGTGGGGTGGTCCTTGGTCCTGGTTTGGAAGTTCCAGCTGGTACTGCATGTGGCAGCCAGATGGGAGCTTCTCGGCCTTTTGGCCAAGATCAAGTGGGTGATGGGAGCTTCTGGCTGAGAACATGTGACATCATTGTTAAAACAGCTGCACTAAAAGACCATCTACTGCTGAGCCATGTTCAAGTTTCTTGTATTCATTTACAAAGCTCTAAACAACTTGGGTCCAGGGTAACTTGGGGGCCACCTGAACCCTTCTATCCCAGTTTGATGACTGAGATCATTTGTAGGAGCATCTCTGGTCATTTCCCAAGTTGGTGAGGCTCATTTGACAATAACAAGAAATTGAGCCATTAGTGTCCTCTGCCCAGTCCTGTGGAATGCTCTGCCACTAGAGATTTGGCAGGCGCCTTCTGTGCCAACTTTTAAACACCTAATGAAAATGTTTCTATGCCGCCAGGCCTATGCAGGCAATGAAGAATACATCCTTCCACAATGGTTAATCAACTTATGTCTTAACTTTCTAATGGTTTTCATTGTATGGTTTCATGTTTTAATGCTGTATGTCATAAAATATGTCATAAAAATACATCAGTGTAAAACCAACAAGCAAACATAAAGATATGAGCTAAGCTCAAAATCAGAAAATGAAAGAGCAGTGGAAGGCATAAACATATCTCATAAAATGTCACAGTACCCAAGGGAGTCTTTACCTAGTGCTGAAAGGACTGCACCAGGTGTGTCTCTTTAAGGAGGGTTCTCCCCTCCCCCCAAAAAAATCAGGGTTCCGCTGCTGAAAAGGCGTGTGCCATCAAGGCTGGTCTTGTGATATGGGAAATCCCATCAGCTCTCTCTCTCTCTCTCCCTCCCGCCCCCCAATGATCATTGCATGTGGTTTTCTTAGACTTCTTTTTTCAAGGAGTTACAGTATGGAAATTATGAGATGCTGTTGATCATTGTGCATAAGAGATTTGGTTTTTGTACTGCCAGAGGTCTGTCTTCGTTCCAAACAAATAGCTCATGGCGGAATTGAGGCAAAGTGGGAGAACGTGAAACATGCTGGAGGCATATTTATAATCCCAGGGCTTAATGCTCTGACAGCACAGGACAGCTCTGCATTTATCTCAGATCCCTGGGTGGTATGATAGCACGGCTGTATCCAAACAAATCTGTGAAATGAGCTCATAGTGCACTCCAAGGGTAGCATTTTTTCCTTTTCTGGCGGTGGTTGCCTGGGCAATTAAAGAAAATCCTGAGGCCAGAACTGATCATTGCAGAGGTGCAGAAAGAAGGCCACATGTTGTGCTGGCGATGGGCCACATCTTTGCCCAATCCATCTTACACAAACACAGCAGTCAGGACTGTACACACAAAGCCCTAGTCTCAAAACTGCTGATAGCTCGTCCTTAGCAAATCGGTCCCAGTGCAGCTTTTTTGAGGGGGCTGTTGAGCATTCAGTCGGAGTAAATAAACTGGGGAAGGCATAATGTGTAACAGATGTACCTGTGCACATCGTTCTCTATTCAGTGGTGCATGCATATGCCCTCACTGGACTGGACCATTATAGGCAGAGTTTTGACTTATTTGCAGAAGAGTTGCCCTGGACCTTTTGGAGCAAAATTAAGAGGACACTGACTGGTAGTAAAAAGAAAAAAACCCAATTTGTTCTAAAGCTGCTGCTTCTGAGTATGCAATTCTATTTTAATTTTGTTTATTTGTTTCAATTTTGTTGATTATGTTTTAAAGCAACAATTTATTTTTTTTCTACTGGTGAATTTTATGGTAGAATCTTAAATAACTATTTGGAACTTCCTTGCAGCAAATGTGTGTGTAGCTGGGGATCCTGTTGAATCCTGAACATTTCTTCCCTCTTTCTGTTCCCTGCAGAATGTTGCAGATCACATTCCACAGCTTGTCCAGGGAGTGCGCGGAAGCCAGGCCCAGGCAGAGGACTTGAGTGCTCAACTTGCACTGATAAACTCCAGCCAAATCTTCCTCCAGGTACAGTCAACAAGAGCACAGAACGCTAACCCCAGCCTGAGTATACTAGCTACCAATTCGTTTCGGGGCCCAATTCGAAGTACTGGTTTGACTTGTGAAGCCTTACGCAGCTCAGGTACCCAGTACACCTCTCCCCACGTGAATCTACCCAGACCCAACATTCTTCATCTGAAGCCCTCCTCTGTGTACTGAGGATGGCGCAGAAGATGTCAACACAAGAGCGGGCCTTCTTACTGGTGGCTCCCAGCTTATGGAGTGCTCTCCCTAGGGAGGCTTGCCTGGCACCATCACTCCCTGTTTTTAGGTGCCAGGAAAAACATTTATATTTTCTCAGACCTTTGGCTCTTAATCTTCTGCTTACCTTCTAGTGGGGTGGGTGTAGCTGGATCTGACACAGGGTGTTAGATGGTTTTATGTTCATTTTTGTAAGGTGCTTTGAGGACTTTTTGTGGGGGGAGGGAGGTGGACTAAAAATTTATTATTAGTAGTAGTAGTATAGAAACCAAGAAAATATACTTTCATTCAGAAATAGTTTTTCATTTTGAAACAGTAATTTAATTCACAGAGGTTGCAATCCTATACCTGCTTACCTGGAAATAAACCCACTGTGTTCAGTTGGATTGAGGGTGGGTAAATAGGATTGCACTTTTAGGCTTTTTTAATCAGGTGCCAGGTCTAATCTGGATTCTTTGAAATGTTTGTCTCCCTGGTGATGTTGCATGCATAAGCTCCGTGGACAAGTGACCAATCGGTACTCTGCCTTCTCTTCTGTCATTCTCTAAATAGCCGGGGAGCAAAATGGTGGCCTCTGCTAAAGCAGCCGTGCCTACAGTGGGAGACCAGGCTGCGGCGATGCAATTGAGCCAGTGCGCCAAGAATCTTGCCACCAGCCTTGCCGAGCTAAGGACTGCCTCCCAAAAGGTATGTAGCCATCCCAACTCTTGAGTAAAGCATTTACAGACGGGATGGGGCACCTGTAGCCCTCCAGATGATGCCTTGACCCCACCTCCCATCATTCCCAGCCATCATTCAGTAATCAAGATGGCGGGAGTTTCGTAACAACTGGAAGGCCACAGGTTCCCCATCCATGTGACTCTTAATTCTCAAAGTAACTCTTACTTTTGTATCATAGGGTACATCTCAGCCACACAAATGTTTTATCTACAGACATAAACACACTCTCCATCCAGGCAAGCATTATCCCAGTTCATGGACACATTCCAGCCAGGCTTTAGATTATTAGTCTTGCGCTGAAACGTCTTGAATGTGCCTCTTTTCCATTGCTCACTCTTCATGTATTCAACAACTCATGGATTGTAGCGGAACACCAGAACTGGCTCCATTGAAGCAGATAAAACTGAAGAAGTGTCTAGCTCATGGGTAGTCAAACTAAGGCCTGGGGGCCAGATCTGGCCCAATCGCCTTCTAAATCCAGCCCGCGGATGGTCCGGGAATCAGCGTGTTTTTACATGAGTAGAATGTGTGCTTTTATTGAAAATACATCTTTGGGTTATTTGTGGGGCATAGGAATTAGTTCATTCCCCCCCAAAAAATATAGTCTGCCCCCCACAAAGTCTGAGGGACAGTGGACTGGCCCCCTGCTGAAAAAGTTTGCTGGCCCCTGGTCTAGCTGAAGCATTTGATCTGTGATGCCTTCTTTCCAACATGTGTCTGTTTTAATGTGGCAACTCTTGAATGCCACCTGTGGACAGGGTGAGCATGACTGTTAGTCAGAATGGTTGGAGAGCAGCTTTGATAATAAGCCTGTTTTCCGCTTCATCTTTCTCCTGCCTAGGCGCATGAAGCCTGTGGACCCATGGAAATCGACTCTGCTTTAAACACTGTTCAAACTCTCAAAAATGAGCTTCAGGATGCAAAGATGGCAGCCATTGACGGGCAGTTGAAACCACTTCCAGGAGAAACGGTAAACAGGACAGCATTTATCGTTTGCTTGTTGAATTTGTAAACCACCCTCATCTGAAGGTCTCAGGGCAGTTCACGGCATAAAAATACAAAATAAAAACACAAAAAATAATAAAAGCAAGAACAAGAGCAAAAAGTAAAGAAAATAACCCCTTCCAAGCACACAAACATATATTTTATTTAAAGGGGGTGCTAGATGGTTGAACAATTTCAAGTGCGCTTGAAACAGAATAAACAAAACGAAAGAGTAGCCGTAGGACAAAACGGTCTTCATTTTCCTCATTTTTTATGGGCAGCCTTTCCTGAGTCAGGTTGCTAATATGTTGTGACTTGTGACTTCTGCCAGATTCTAAGCCGCCTCCTGTGTCCCAAGTGGCTTCAGTGACAAGGAGTGGTTATTTATTAAATTTCATTACCATTCTTCAACCAAGGATAACAGGGCAGTTTACAGTTTATCACAGGGCAGTTTACAATATCAAAACCACAAAAATATATACATAAAATATTTCCATCTGCAGCCATTCCTAGACCGGACCAGGCCACTGTTATGCTGGGTATTCTCACGACTGGATTACTGCAGTGTGCTTTGCATGGGGCTGCCCTTGAAGGTGTAGCTAGGGCAGAATCCTCACAATTGGATTACACTTTGGGCCTGGCCCCTGGGGACCATCCAGAACCTACATCTAATGCAGACTTCTGCAGCCTGTCTACTGTATGATGCTCCTCGGTGGAGTCACAGTACACTTTCAGGAAATACACTATCTGCCTAAATGCCACGGGGCCTGGTTTAAGGTTTTGACTTTAGTGCATAAAGACCTGAACTGCTTAGGGCCCAAATACTGGGGTGTGCCTTCCCCAGTGTGTCCCAACTGGAGCCCTGGTGGTGGTACCACTGACAGGCATTGTCCATTTGGCAGTGATACAGAGCAGGGCCTTCCTGTAGTGGCTCCTAAATAATAGAACTCCCCTCCATTGGAGATATGATTACCACCTCCCCCTAGAAAAGCAGGAGGATGAGTAATTAAATAAATAAATAAATAAATAAATAAATAAATAAATAACCAATCACCTAGAATGGCCCACTCTGCCAGGTAGTACATCTCCAAAGTCTCAGACAGAGATCTTTGCATGCAGAGTTGCCATTCACACCATTGGTCCATCTATGCTTCCTTCAAACAACAGCCCTTTGCTGAGCCCATCCATTTACTGAGGTTGTAATCTAGATGGCTCCCACCTTTGCAGGTTCCACGGGTGCCTACGAGTGATGGGGATTTCTCGGCAGTGGAACTTAGGCGGTGGAATAGTTTCCCTAGATCCATTTCTGTATTCCTTTTGGCTCCAGGTGGAAACTATTTTATTTGAAAGAGCTAATAGCCAGGATAACTTGAAAACTGAATTGTATCCTGTAGCGTGGGCACTACTCCTAGAAAGCACTGCTGTGTGCAAGACTTCTGTGTGGTCAGTGACTGCAATGTTCCATGGGCTGAGGGACAGGAATGTGTGTGTGTTGTGGTGGGTCGTGATGTTACCTTCGCTTAATGTTCGCATCGCTTTTTTGCATTCAGCTTGAAAAATGTGCTCAGGACCTGGGAAGCACCTCCAAAGCAGTCGGTTCTTCAATGGCCCAACTGCTGACTTGTGCAGCACAAGGCAATGAACACTATACAGGTAGGCCTCCACTTGCAAAGCTTGGCAGAAGAAAACACACATTATTTATATCAGCAGCTCATTGACTATGGCAAATGTACTGGTGTTACTGTACAAGACAGTTTCTAATATTTTTTCTTGCTTTGGGGGGCCCTTGTGGGGATGAAGAGTGTCATAGCAGTGTTTGTATAAATAAATAGCAGTATTATAAGAACATAAGAAGCGCCTACTGGATCAGACCAATGGCCCATCGAGTCCAGCATCCTGTTCTCACAGTGGTCAACCAGATGCCTGTGGGAAACCCACAAACAGGATTTGACCACAAGAGCCCTCTCCTCTCTTGTGGTGTCTATCAGCTGGCATTCAGAAGCATTCCTGCCTCCAGCCATGGAAGCAGAGCAGAGCCACAATGGCCAGTAGCGATCAATATCCTTCTCCATGAATTTGTCCAGTCTTCTTTTAAAGCCATCCCTAATAATCCCTAAAGTTCCCTAATAATATTTTATAGCGCTACCCACAAAGCACACCCTGCACATTATCTCCAGGAGGAGAACTGGCTGCCCAGCTGTTCTCATCTGTTTGCTCTTCTGATGGCTCTTCTGATGATCTGGGGGTGTAGGCAGCTCATGTGCTCCCTCAGTTACTTTTCTGCTCTGAATGTAGCCTCATCTCTGATTTACTGTGTTGATCTACATCAGAGGTAGTGGGGATAGTGTCCTCTAGATGCCGCTGGGCTCCAACTCCCATCAGCAACAGCAAGGATGGTGGGATTTGTAATCCAAAAACATCTGGAGGAAACCACATTTGGCTACCTCAGCAACAAGTCCATCTCCTGACTTCAGTTAGCTAACTATCCCCTTTTTGAAACCCTTCATTTGAATTACTGGGAACAAGTTTCTGGCAGGGGGGAAAATATGAATGAATGAATTTATTAATACGGTCACAGACCAGCGTCAACACACACAATATCATAGATCATAAAAAATATCAGAAATACAAGGGACAATATGAATATAACAAGGATTTAAATATAGAAAATTAAAATTAATTATTAGCGTGCCCCCTGTAATTAACATTTAGGGGTTTGGTCATTATGGGATATCACTTGCTTCCTGCGATTGATTGCAGATGCACAGAATTTAGCTACATTTAATGTAGTCTTGGGATTCTTGTCCTCTAGCAGTTGTTTTAAACTATGGTATTCCGATTGTTTCCTGGACTTTTGCAAAACAGGTGTAATAAAAGTCAAACGTATATCCTCATAAAGACGACAACGTAATAGTACATGTGAAGCAGTTTCAGCTTCCAACGAGCCACAAGGGCAGACCCGTGCTGTGCTGTGTATGGTTTACCCTCAAATCTGCCCTGAAGTAAGGCAGAAGGGAGAACGTTAAATCTGGCGAGGGTAAAAGACCGTCTGTATTTGGGTACCTGAAGACCTGACAGGTAGTTAGCTGGAGAGAAACCTCTCCCATGGTCCCTTATTGCTGGATGCTTGATCATTTCGCTCATATAGCATTGTAATTCTACGTCCCAAATACGCTGGTGAATTGTATTCCTAGCTTTCTTGAAGCCTGTCGCTATCAGGGTCTGCTGTGGGATCCCCAAGCCTTTAAGCTTTTGGGGGGGGGAATATGCATTCTCAAGAAGACTCGTGTGTGGTTCCAATGTGACATGAATATCCATGTACCTTGCTCCCTTAAAGGACGCTAGTTGTGTCCCTGTATCAAGAAATGAAAATGCATTTGATACCAAAGCGTCTCCTTCAGTATATGAAAGGCTTGGGGAATTGCCCTTGGGGAATTGCCGGCTGAATGGCAAAAAGGCCATCAAAATGCTCTTGTGTCAATTACATTCTGTCTTCAGTGCTTAGTCCAGTTGGGGATTTCTGAATCCAGCTGATACAACTCATTAGAACAACTTTCCTTTTGGTAATGGGACTGAACAGATTTCGGTTGCACTTTGGCTTTGAAGTGGATATAATTGGATTAAGATGGCTCTGTGTTTCATTTCAGATGCAGAGTCTTGCCACATGGGAGCTGACATTTGTGCATCAGTAACAATTCCTAAAATATGGAATTAATTCTAGAAGGGGAGGGACCTATGTAACTTTCTTTTTTCTTGTTCTGAATCACCTGTGAAAGATCAAGAAACATTTTTTTTAAATGGCATTAAGAAATCGCTCCATTTTGGGAAATGCTACCAGACCACTTGGCTGGCTGAGAGGATATATCGATTAACATGCTTCTTGTCCGCTATATTAGCTTTGCATTGACATCCAGCTATGTTTGGGAACATTGACTTGGCCAGACACCTATGCTTTGCTGACACCCTTAATCAAGGGTGGTTAATCCCCAGCTTGGGGGCTTGATTCCCCTCCCCCCAGCAATTTTTTTTGCTACCCCAGTGACCTCACCAATTATGACAGCAGCAGGAAAATTTACCTTATTTTAAAGTGGGCATGCAGTTTAGGCGGGCAAACCCCAGTGCCCTGATGCAGCTGGAAATTGCCCCCTCTCCATTCAACATAATTTACTAGCAGAGAGGGTGATTTGCACAGCTCTGGTGAGAAGAACAGGCTGTGGGTCCTCTGTGTGTGGGTGGTATAAAGTCATCAGAGGGTTGGCCCTCTGGCTAAAAGCTGTTCGCTATCACTGCTATTAATTTTTTTATTTGTTGTGATCCAGGTCAGGGAGCACGTTTGTTTTTGTAAGCAGAAATGCTCAGCTTGGAGAAAAGCCAGCTGGTCGTAAGTCTCACAGTGTTGGTGTAGGATTGCAGCAGTAAGGCTCCCACAAGGTTTGAATGCTCTTCACCTGGGAGAGGACAGCTCTTATATTTGTTAGGCTGAAAGCTTAAAGGGTTTATAACTGTGTAGATATTTATCATCTGGAAAGCAAAAATGTACCCAAATAGGCCTTGTTATTTTGTCACCTTCCTCCTCTCTGCAAAGGAAGCATTTCCCCTTCTTTCTTCCCTCCTCCTCCTCTTCGCTTTCTCTTCCCTGTGAAAGCTCACCTCCAAATTGGGGCAAGCTGGACAATTGGAGGCGAATCTTCCCAGTGACCCTGGGGGTTGCTCAGTGCTATAACAGCCAGGGTCTCAAGAAACAATGCCATGACCCCAAAAGAGCCTTCCATTAGATTTTTCCCAAATAGCTGTTCCTCTGTGCCGTTTTGCAAACTGCTTTTGAAACAGGACAGAAGATTCAAAAAGCTGTTTACAGTGTCAAGGGCCCTGGCTGGTTAACACAGGGCTATGGGTGTGTGGCGAGTGGAGAGTCGAAGCTTCCTCAAAATCTCGGGTACTCAGTGGACCAGAGCATTTATTCTTCATGAGAAATCAGTTCCATGCAAAGCCCCAACAAAGCAGGCTGCTGGTATCTTTAGCTCATCACTTTTCAGTCTGTGATGTTGTGGTAGTTAGGCAAGCTTTTCAGTGAAACAGAAACTACTGTCAAGCTGGGTGGTTGAAGAATCTTGTTTAACCCAGAAGCTTGCTATTGTGGAAGCAAAATTCCAAGGATTGGCAAGCATCAGGATCAGGCTGTAGGCAGGTAGAAGACAGGTAGTCCTAATCCTGGTGTCCCTGCTGCATCTGCACTGGGTTGGATCCAACTGACCTTGGAGAATTGTAGCAGGTGGGGGCCTGGGATTGGCTTTGTGGCATCACCTGGTGACCAGAAGGAGTCTCGGCTGTGGTGACAGTGGCCTGGCTTGAAGGACCTGCTGTTTCTTTCTCTGGTCAGCAGCTGCAGTGGAACAGGGAACAAGCTTGGAGTCCCTACTGAGTCTGACACTGGCCATGTTACATGAGCCTGGTCAACCACTAAGAGTCTGCTGAGGGCTGCTCTCTTTGTCACTCCCAACATTTGAAGTATGGCAGACTGGCATGGGAGGTGGGGTTTTTTTCTGTGTTAGTGAGTGAATCAGTGGAAACAGGTTTTGCCAGCCGAGGCTTATGGAAGTTGCAGGCCAAAACATCTGGAGAGCTCCAGGCTGTGGAAGAATTGAACCTAGCTGAATCGCTGGATTTTATCACATTTCAAACTCATCAAATCCCATTTGGTGCCTTGAATATTTTATGAAATTAAAAAATATGTGGAAAATGAATACTTTTGTGTCAAAAGGTGAAAGGGCATGTATAAAAAATTAGTCCACATCCCCAATGGGTTTCTATCCTCGTAGATGCTGGTGAGGAATTCTCATTGAAAATGAGGTTATCCCACTTGCTAATGGGGAAATTTGCTCTCTGTGATCTGGAAAGAGGGCTGGACCAATCTATCAATATAAGTTTCTGTCTCAGTTCCTCATTTTTCAAAGTTGAAGTCCAGTTTCCTCTATTTTCTGCATCCACATGAAAATAGTTTTCATGCACATTTCTCATAACTTGCATTTTTGCAAGCGGTTTTTCCTAATGGAGTTCTCTGCATTATTTTTCACTGCTTTATGCGTTTTTGTAGACCCTTTTCGGCTGGAGAATACACCACAAAATCCAGAACAGTACAAATTCCAAAGACTAGCTGTGTTTTGGTTCTCGTTGTTTCGTGAAATGTGAATTAAAATGAGAAACTAGCTGGCCCGAGCTGAGTATTACTAATATGCTCAATGTGATCTTAATTTAGGGGTTGCTGCCAGGGAGACGGCACATGCCTTGAAGACTTTGGCTCAGGCGGCCCGAGGTGTTTCCGCATCCACCAGTGACCCAGCAGCAGCCCACGCCATGTTGGACTCGGCGCGGGATGTCATGGAAGGCTCAGCAATGCTCATCCAGGAAGCAAAGCAGGCTTTGGTGGCTCCTGGCGATGCAGAAAGCCAACAGAGGCTGGCCCAGGTGAGGCTGGGTGAAATGGAGAGGGATTTATGTTTGTGATGAACAATTAATACTGGTTGGTTTTCAAGAAGCTATGTGAAAATCATTCATAGGAACATTGCATAAAAAATACGATGTGATTAAGAATGTTAGAGGGCAATATAAAATTGAGAAATGTGAGACGAAGAGATAATACGGAGAATTGTCAGACATGCTGATGGAAGTCGAAAAGAATGATTAAGTGAGGATTGGATGTTTAATTTTGTACAAATTTATGTTGGAAAAATTAATAAAAAATATATGACAAGAAATGGAGAGGGATTTGGGGGCCCCCACTGTGCTTTTGTTCATCCCCCATTCACTGCAGCAAAGTTTGTACAGGAGACTGTCTCGGTGGCTTGTGCCCTGTGACACCCATCCATCCATTTCTCCTGCTGCCCTTAATGGTGCCTGGAATCTGCCACCCAAGGCAGATGCCTCCTTCTTTCTCCAACCTGTCTCATTCCCATGAAGCATTTGTCTTGGCTCCTTCAAAGTTGATCTCCATCTGTACCTACACCAGCGTAGGGATGGATGGAGGAGTTTCTTGTGGTCCATGCCACTTCCATCTTGCCAAAGCAGTTGCCAACGCCCACACCCTGTTGGTGTTGAAGGCCAAGAATGTGGTTCAAGTGGCTAAAGACACGGTTCTGCAGGACAAGGTGATTGCTGCCCCCATTCCGTGTGCCCTCTGCTCCTCTCAACTGGAGGCCTCCCTCTGGTGTCAGGGATGAGAGCTCTTATGGATGGTCTGTCAGTAGCTGCTCAGAGACAGGCGCTTGGCACAAGGCGAGAAGAGGCCTGGAGAAGTCAATGAAAGAAGGCCCAGGAACTGTGATTCTTGCATTGCAGGGGGTTGGACTAGATGACCCTTTGGATCCCTTCCAGCTTTGTAGTTCTATGATTCTATGATTTCTACATTATTTGGTGAAATATTAATATTTAAATCTGCACGTTGTTGCAGAGCTATGCTTTTAACACATGTTTTATCTCAGTGTACATCTTGCTTAAAGTACTTTACCATATAATATGGTAGGGGTGTTAGCCCAAATTAGTATCTTTTAGAGCTAAGAAATGCATTGCAAAATTCAGAGAAGTGTGAAAATCAAAGGAGAATTGTGTTGTGATTCATATATTAGTCCAAGAGCTGCAAATTAGGTCAGTTGGCTTGAAAATCTGGTCCAATGAAGTGCTCCTTCCTCTGTCCATCTGGGTGGCGTGTGGCTTCTGCATGGTTCTCTCCTGCCCTTTGCCTCTCCTCCATTGTCAAAATTCAGATTGTAAGCAACATGACAGCAGGGATTTCTGACTGCTGATGCCTATCTAAGATGCGAGTACCACGACCTACTTTGATTATTATTCATTTAAAAGATTTTTTATACCCGATGGATGAAGACAGCCAGACAGCCCCTGCCTACAGGTTCACTAGCTGAGAAGGAACTCAGTTTCTGGTTCAGCCTCCAAGGAGAGAGAGAGAGAGAGAGAGAGAGAGAGAGAGAGAGAGAGAGAGAGAGGCTACTATGGGGTGCAGCTCTCATCTCGCTTTTCAGGCCAAGGGAGCTGGTCATGTGGCCAGCATAACTAAACCGCTTCTGGCACAACAGGACACCATGGCAGAAGCCAGAGCGCATGGAAGCACTGTTTACCTTTCTGCCACAGTGGTACCTATTTATCTACTTGCACTGGTGTACTTTTGAACTGCTAGGTTGGCAGAAGCTGGGACAGATCAATGGCAGCTCACCCCGTCATGCAGATTCAAATTGCTGATCTTCTGATTGCCAAGCCCAAGGGGCTCAGTGGTTTAGACCATAGCGCCACCCACATCCCTTTTAAAAACATACATATACACACAATATATATATATTCCACTATATCATAGAAAAATCAGAGTGGCTTACAATAATGTCTATATGTATAATAAACATTTAAAACAGAGACCATCAACTAACCATTATGGAAAGATGTATTTTTATTGCCTTCATAAGCCTAGCAGGATAGAAAAATTTAAAAGTTGTCATAGAAGGCATCAGCTGAATCTCTCTTGGCAGAGTATTCCACAGGACTGGGCCGATGACGCCAAAAGGCTTGGTTTCTTCTCGTTGTTAAATGAGCTTCACCAACTTTGGGAACAACCAACGATGCTCCTGCAGATGATCTCAATAATGGAGCTGGGATATAAGAGTTCAGGTGGTTCCTCGAGGTACCCTGACCTAAGTTGTTCAGGGCTCTGTGATTTAATGCAATGACCTTGAACTTAGCTTGGTAATAGATGGGCAGCCAGTGCAGATGTTTTAACAATGGGGTCATGTGTTCTTGGCCATGTGTCTCTACCATCATTCTGGAAGAATTTAAGTCTCTGAAAGCTTTGTCCCTTTCCCACATCCTCCTGGAATGTTGAGGCTACTGGCTTATGGGGGTCTGGAACTGAGGGGGGGGTGCACTGCACACATGCTCAGAGATTGTAGGCAGCATTAATTAAATTCATCAACTTTGCCATGTTTTCCCCCTGAAGGTGGCCAAAGCTGTCTCCCATTCTTTGAACAACTGTGTGAACTGCCTTCCTGGCCAAAAGGATGTGGATGTAGCGTTGAAGAGCATTGGTGAATCCAGCAAAAAATTGCTTGTGGAATCGGTGAGATACTTTTTAATATTTGTATGTTGCTGTTGTTGTTAAGGTGGTGGTGGTAGGTTTTTGTTTTTGTTTTTAATGCAAAGCTTGCCATAAAATGGTTACTGCAACCTCCAAGAAGCAGAACATTACTCTCAAAAGAGTTGCTTGCTTGTAGACTTGTGGTAAGATGGTGGTGCAGATCTGGCACCATCCATTCCATTCCATCACCTCACTCCACCTCATGTATAACCAAGCTTTCACAAGGCTCACTGCAAGAGAGTTTGAGCCGCCTGGCCTAACTTTGGGACAGTTGGCATAACCCTTGGGTAGTCCTTGGATAACCAGCCTGGTGCCCTTTCAATGTTGCTGGACTACTACAACTCCCATCATCCCTGGCCATTGGCCAATGCTAGCTGGGGCTGATGGGAATTGGAGGCTAACAACATCTGGAACATCTGGGGTGCCGGAACTGCTGTAATTCCTGTCCCCTACTGTAACTAAACCCAGGTGCACATAACCGAAACAATTGCATTGTTCCCCTCTGTTCCATCCCTTCTGTGTGCTACAGTTTTTAGACTGTAAGTTCCATGGAGCAGGGACTTTGCAAAGTGCCCTGCACTGAGGTTACTGTGTATAAAGCCATTGGTAACTTACCCCCAACCGCTCTTTCTCTTCCCCCGCCCCTGCCTGGTAGCTGCCTCCCAGTTCAAAATCATTCCAAGAAGCACAGAGTGAACTCAACCAGGCCGCAGCTGACCTGAACCAGTCAGCGGGGGAGGTTGTCCATGCCACGCGGGGCCAGAGCGGGGAGCTGGCAGCTGCTTCCGGAAAATTCAGTGAAGACTTTGACGAGTTCCTGGATGCTGGGATTGAAATGGCTGGGCAAGCTCAGGTGAGGCGTCTTCCTCCACCAGTTTGCTCTCTGGCTGGGCAGGATGTGGTGAGGGGGGAAGCGAATGGTCATGGTTGTTGGGGTGGGGTGTTTGTCAGCTCCTTTGTCAGCTTTCCTCAGAAAGGAACAGTGGGGTGTAAATGTTGAAATGAAAGGAATGTCCAAAGGAACAGGGTGAGGAGAAGACAATAGCTCTTTCCATGCACCTGAAGGTTGCCACAAAGGAGAAGGCAGAGTCTTTGTTCTCTGATGCTGTTCCAGAACTAGATCTCATGGGATCATGTTGGAGGAAGCTAGACTTGGGTTGAACATTAAGAGAAACCTCTTGACAGAGCAGTGGGGCAAAGAGACCCATTTACTAGAGGGGTGGTGGGTGGGCTCTCCCAAAGCTAAAGGGGTTGGGGGTGGAGGATTCTCTAGTTCTAAATTTCCTGCACTGAACTATATGACCTCCAAAGCCTCCTACAGTGTTTATGAGTCTATACATGGTGTATCCCCTTTCACATCTCATTCTGTCCAACTCCCATCCCCCTGGCTTGTTCACTATCACTTAGCAGGGAATCAGCATGTCCATTATAACAACCTAAGAAGAGCTTGCTGGATCCGACCAGTGGCCCATCAAGTCCAGCCTCCTGTTCTGACAGTGGTCAGCCAGATGGGAAACCTGCAAGCCGAATCTGAGTGCCAGAGCCCTCTCCCCTCCTGCAGTTTCCAGCAACTTGTATCCAGAAGCATTGCTGCCTCCAACTGTGGAGGCCGGGCAGGGCCACAGGGCGAGTGGCCATTGATAGCCTTCTCCTCCATGAAGTTCTCTGATCCTCCTTTAAGGCCATCTAAGTTGGTGGCCATCACCGCCTCCTGTGGGAGCGAGTTTTTAACTACTAGCTAATAGATTAACTACGGGCTGCATGAAGGAGTCGTTCTTTGCGCCTGTCCCAAATCTTCCAGCATTCAACCTCTTTGGATGTCCACGAGTCCTAATGTTATGAGAGAGGGAGAAAAACCTTTCTCTTTTCACTTTCTCTGTGCCATGCATAACTTTCTAAACGTGACACATCTTTTCTCTAAACTAAAAGGTCCCATATGCCTCAACATTTCCCCATAGGGAGTTGCTCCACCCCCTTGATCATTTTGGTTGCCCTTTTCTGACCCTTTTCCCTAAGGAGCAGCAGCAGCAAGGAAAAGTTCTTCTCCGCAAAGGGCAGCGTGAGAGCAATCAGCCTGTCCTCTGCCTTTGCTTGAGAACTCCAGTCCACATTAGGCTGCGCTGCAGATCTCAAAGGTGTTGCTTCATCAGCACAGCCCTCATTCGCTCTGCTATTGTCTGGGCCGGCAGCTGAGTGACAAAGTATGTCTTGGTTTATCCAGGGCCACCTGCTCCAAGCTCTGAGTCGGCCAGAACCTCCCTGTGTATTGAGCAAAGACCGCTCTGCCCTTCCCTGTCTAGCAGGCCTGCCAACATTAACAGCTGCGCACCCACCCATGGTCGCTTGACATCTTGTCGTGCTCATGGAAATGAGATGCTAATTAAGCCCTTGCAGTCAAGTCATGCAAATTAGCTGCAGACCTTTTAGCACTTGCTATAATTTCCAGTGTAGCCTGTGGTGCAGAGTGAGCGGCCCTCTCTGCTGCTCGCCAAACAAGTTGCCTTCTTCAACAAGTTGATTTTAAAGCACTCCCCTCCCCCCCTCCCCAACCACCACTTTTTCCGCAAAGGCCCCCTCTTGTCACAGCATCAGGGGCTTGGATGCGACTCCTTTTGTCTTTGCATGGAGAGTAACTCAGAGCTTAGCCTCCTTGCTGCCTTCCCTTGCCCTAAATCCATGCCATGATTTGCCTCTTTGGCCTTACAGACAAAGGAGGACCAAATTCAAGTCATTGGGAACCTCAAGAACATCTCCATGGCTTCCAGCAAGTTGCTTCTGGCTGCCAAGTCTCTCTCGGTGGATCCCGGTGCTCCCAATGCCAAGAACCTCTTGGCAGCGGCTGCAAGGTAAGGGCCAAGGCAGAAGTGCAGTTCACCTGAGTAGCTTCTGTTTTCCAAATGAACATAAAACCCAGGAGTGGTCAGCAGGGAGAGCCACTGCTTCTTCCCTAACCTCCCAGCAGGATCAGCTCCACTGGTGCATTTACTCCCTGGTGCCTTACTCCTCTCCCGCTCTCTCCTGGTAAGTCACTGTTAGAACGCCAGGTGAGCACCACCAGCCCTCAGTGGCGTAGCGTGGGTTGTCAGCACCCGGGGCAAGGCAAGTAATTTGCGCCCCCTAACCCGTGGATTTGCGCCCCCTAACCCTAACCCCCAGATGTTGCGCCCGGTGCGGCCGGCCCCCCCTGCACCCCCCACGCTACGCCACTGCCAGCCCTCCTTTCTGAGGGCTCCTAATCAAACAAATGGGAGGAAGGAAAGCAGGGAATATATAGATCTGTTTTTGATGGGACGCACATGTCATCTTTCCACAAGCTGGTACTTTCAAATGTTTTGAACTACAACTCCCATCAGTCCCAGCTTTGTACTGGCTAGGCCCGATGGGATTTGTAGTTCAAAACATCTGAATGGCCCCAGCTATGGGAACCCCCTGCCACCTTTGTTCATCAAGGGGGGCTTTGCTTCTGCTGTCATCTGTACAGTGCAAAACAAAACCTGCCAATGGAGGCAGTGCCATTACAGAAGTAGCCCTGAGGATAATTTTATTTTTATTATTTATAAAATTTCTATACCGCCCTTCATCCAAGGATCACAGGGCTTTTTACAATATAAATACACAAAAATACATGCCATAGCAAGAAATAAAAATAGTAACCTCCCATGGACTGTTTGCCTCTCAATCAGGCATTGTGCCTCCTTGCCTTGCTTTTTGTAAACTGTTCCTTTTTCCCACTAGAGAGATGCAGCTTTGGGTTGTGAGGGTTGTTTCCTGGATTAGAGAGATATTTTATGATGTTTTATCTTTAAAAATTGATATTGGTATTAATTGGCTGATTGGTTTTACTAGTGGAGGAGAATTTTAGAGGAGACTTGTACTAGCTTATTTTGAGAACTCTCTTTAGAGCCATTAGACAGAATTAGGCAGATGCCTCAGGCAGTTGATTTTGGGTGTCGTTTATAATTATTGGTTTCTTACTGACAGTTCAAAAATAATTTGGCTGCTCTTGGGTACCATGCATCTTAATTTCTTAAACTTTTCTGGCAGGGGGTGGGTGGGTTGCCACTTGCTTCTCTAATCAAGCCGGCTACCTCCTAGCAGGTCCACCTGTGATCTACTCTGATTACCCACATTGTTGGTCTCTGAGATGTGCATGTCTCTTCTAGGGCTGTGACTGAGAGTATAAATCAGCTCATCACTTTGTGTACTCAGCAAGCGCCGGGCCAAAAAGAGTGTGACAACGCTCTCCGGGAACTGGAGGTAGGTCTCCACTTGATTGCAGGCTCACTGTTCCTGGGTGATATGACTGGCAAAGTTTTCATGATTAAGGGTGTTTGTGGCTGTCCTCAAATCTTGCCCCACCTGGACTTGGAGAGTTGCTTGCTAGTCAGCTGACTGAACGCTCAGCAGGCTGGCACTTGAGTCTGCCATGCTAACTGTCTAAACAAGAGTGCTGGTGGATCAAGTGATAAAACATCAAAGCTTGGCTGCCATGATTTTTTGACAGCTCGATTGCTACAGCTCGACTGCTACAACCCAGGGAACCTTACATCTCTTACTTCCGTAGACAGTGAATACTAAACTGTATTAGCTGCGTAGCTTTGTTCCCAACTAGTATCATTCAAAGATTGCTGTTTTGTTTCCATTGATTTGTGATAGTGGCCACACTGTTGTTGACATCAACCTTCCCCATCCTTGAGCTCCTCATGTTGCTGGACTCCAAGTCCCATCATCCCTGACCCCTGGTCACCATGTTTGCTGGGACTGCTGGGAGTTTTTGTCCCATCTGCCTCTGGGAACTCAAGGCTGGGTTTCCCTAATGCCCTTCCCCCTGGATGAAACAGATAAAATATTCTATTTGTTAAGTTCTTGGATATTTATATATTCATTACAGTGCCTGTTCTCAGTTTATTGTCACTCACATGTGCAGATTCACATGTGAATGCCAATAGTTGTTGGCATTATTGTTAATTTCTGAAATTAGCTTTACTTTTCTCCACTTTGGGGGCAGATTCACTTTGCCAGATTCATTTGGGATTGTTGACATTCAACAAACTTCAGGTATTCCTTGTAACTTAGCACACTGGAGGCTGAAGTGAGTCAGTGAGTTGTTTTTCCAGGATAACTGCCTGGAAGATATGAGTCTCCTTGCATGTATTCTTCCAGCCAGAGAAGGGGCCTGATCAAAGTGTCAAAAATGTCAATATTGTTGACCACATATGTGATAATTGTATTTCTTCCTGCAACCAACCCAGAGATATACAGACAAAAGAAGGGATAAATACACATATGCTGCTTTTATTGGGAGGGGGTGTCATACAAAGCAGTGTACAAAACTAAAATCAATCCATAAAATTGCAGTTCAACATTCTAATAACTATAACAAGCCAGGCACAAAAAGCTGGTTTTCATTTCAAAGCTGTATATTTAAAATGGATTCATTCCCATTCTAAGAAGGGCTTTGCTTAATCAGCTCACCCAAGCACCCTAAGCAAGGGCTTCATGGTCTAGGATTTTGAATGCCTTGCCAACCATCACTCGTGCTCCTCTTTATTTTCAGACGGTTAAAGAAATGCTGGAAAACCCCAACGAACCTGTTAGCGACCTCTCTTATTTTGACTGCATTGAAGGTGTTATGGAAAACTCCAAGGTAGCCATTGTATTTTCTTTCCGTCTGCATGTTCAGTTTCATGACTAAGTCATATGTAGCACTCCCTGAAGTGGGGTACTGGAGCCTCCTGGCAGGTGGGGGGGGGAGCAAAATCCTGGAGCTACAGCTTTCTCCAGCATCCAAAAACAAGGAGATTTTTTTAGTAGTTATGTCAAAAGGACAGTCCACCCTCCCTCCCCAAAGAGAGTCCAGGCTGCTAATAGTAGTTAAAACACTATATAGAAAAAGAGTGTAAAACAGCACTTTAGCAATGCTAAAGGACCTGCAGTGAAACTAATCTTCATAAAACTAACCTCCAAAAATCTAGAGCAGGGAAGGGGAACCTTTTCCAGCCAGCAGGCCAGATCCTGGTGTCTTCCAGCCCCCCATCTTCAGTGGCCCTCTTGGGCAGGTGGGGGATGCCCACCTGTCAATCAGCTGATGATGTTGCTCCTGATCCGCAGTGTGGAGATAAAACCAGTAGGAAGGTGATTGTATTACGGAGATAATGTGTGTGAATTGAGTCTGATGTGCCTTTTAGGTAGGGAGTGTTGTTTCTGTTTGTTACTATGTTATGTATTTTTTTTTTACTGTAAACCACTCTGTATTCCTCTGATGAAGAGCATTGTAGAAAATAAATAAATGAATAAATAAATAAAAATATTAATAGCATTGCATATTATCAAGTATTGATAAATAAGGCTTATTAGAAGTATGAAGTAAACATTAGCGTATGGTTATTAAGTGGTGTTGTGATTTCTAAAGCAAGGACTGAACTGAAAGTCTTGAATTGCTCCCCCCCCCCCCCGCAGGTTCTGGGAGAGGCGATGGCTGGAATTTCCCAGAATGCCAAGACGGGGGACCTTCCAGTCTTTGGCGAGTGTGTTGGGGTGGCTTCCAAGGCCCTTTGTGGCCTCACTGAAGCAGCAGCTCAGGTGAGTTTCAGGTGACTAATGTACTAAGCAAGGTTTTCTGCAGTGGTGGGTGACGGTGTGGTTGAGCTTCTGCAAGTGCATTAAGGTGTTTCAACTGCTTGCAAAGTGTGAGGGTGGAGGGACCTTCGGTGGTCTTTTTGAGTGTTTGTCTTGATGGAGTTTCGGCTAGACTGCTTATTATGTATTTATAGATAACCTTCTAGTTATCTAGCTTGCTGCTGGCCCACTGAATGACCACAGCAGTGGCTGATTTGCCTGTGAATGACTTTAGCTGTGGGCATTGGAATTAGGCCAGTTTTGCAAATAATGCTTAAATGGCTTCTCTGCATTTTTCCGTGCCTGTAATTGGAATGCAAGACCTGCCTTGTCTAGGAAGAACATTGGATGAAAAAATGACTCTCTCCTTCCACTCTCGGTTTTGCATGATCTCAAGTGAACTAATAGGCGTTTATTGTGTGCTTCTTGAAAACCACCTCTGAGTAGTCACAATGCCTTTGGTTTTTGCCTAGGCCGCTTACCTGGTTGGCATCTCGGATCCCAACAGCCAGGCGGGTCAGCAGGGGCTTGTTGATCCTATCCAGTTTGCCAGGGCCAATCAAGCTATCCAAATGGCATGTCAGAACTTGGTGGACCCAGGAAGCAGCCCATCCCAGGTAACTTTCATCAAGGTTGCCAGAGGCATTTTGCTGGCTCGTGCTTCGCAGCCTGTAGGAGGTCCACGTTTGTAGAAATAGCAGTCTTGGGTTGCACGTGGCCTGAAAATAGGGGAGCACTTCATATTTTAATTGGGTGTGAACTTGGGAACTTCTGTATGCAAGGCATGAGCTCTGCCCTCTCAGCTATGGTCTGTTTCTTACTAAGCTTGCAGCACAAAAATTTCTATTGCTACTGCTTTGTATGGCTGTATGGAAGCAAGCAATTGCTCCTGACTCTGTCACACAACAGAGAAAAATTAACAACTATTTCCCAAGGAGAAAATCACTAGTTTATTTATCAGAGGAAATTTTCCCTCTCCCAAGTATCTATTTCACTGATTATTATTTTTTTGGGGGGGGGCAAGAATAAGGATTTGTGAATACAAGTAAAGAGGTTTAAAATGTGTTTGGACTGAATTGCATTTGGGAATGCTGTGTTTGTACTTTACAGGTGAATGAATGCCTTTTCCTCTTTTTTGTAAATATAAAGATGCATTTCCTTCAGTCATTAACAGAAATATATAAAGCATGTGAACAACCAACATTTTTAAAACTCTTGTCAACATGTCAGTGGCCATTCGTGTCTTCTCTTTATCTTACTTTGATCTGTAATCAAAGCAGCAATTCTCTACCAACTTACCTGGGAGTGAGCCCCATTAAACTGAATGGGACTTACATCTGAGTAGACATGGATAGGACTGAACTACAAGAAGGAAAAAAGCTTGCTGGTATCTCCCTAGATCTCTCAGCACCCTTTTAATCAGCAATGAGACCTGGACCAGCTGCTAAGGTTTTTGCCAAACATTTAAATAACCAAATGGCTCTTTAAAATGTGTCTACTTTCTACGCTGCATCGTAGGTCCAAAAGAGCTCAAGTTCCTTTCTTCCTAATCCACTGGTGCTTCAGAACACAGATGGAGAATTAGCCGAGCAGCCATTCCATCACTGAGCCAGCCCAAGACATTTGGCTGCCTGAGGCAAAGGGAAAAGATGGAGCCTGCAAAAGCTCACCAAACTGTTGAATCCTATTTTGACACTGGCAGTGGAGCAGCATCCTCCTCTGTACACCTGAGGGGCAGGCCTCATGGCATACACAGCTCTAGCCACTCCCCACCCCTCCACAACTGCCGCCTGAATTGGCTGCCTCACTCTGCCTCATGGCAGGGCTGGCCTTGTCTCTGGTTCTATTTCTTCCCCCTCAGCCATGTGTGTGTGTTTCATTTTCCAGGTCTTATCAGCAGCTACCATTGTGGCAAAGCACACTTCTGCGCTGTGTAATGCCTGCCGCATTGCTTCGTCCAAGACAGCCAATCCTGTTGCAAAGAGGCACTTTGTCCAGTCGGCAAAGGAAGTGGCAAACAGCACTGCCAACCTGGTTAAGACCATCAAGGTATGAGAGTCTCCTGCCGCTGTACTGTTAAGACAGCCTCAGTCAAACAAAGGCTTAAATACTGTTCATCTCTGGGTCCTTAAAAAAAAAAAGTCATTTACAGGAAGTCGTTTCTTCATCTGTGGGAAAACAGAGTTTGCAACCTACACAGGAACTGCCATTTTGAATCTCTTAGGGAGCCATTATCCGCCTCGTTCCTGGAATGCTTGAGAACAGCTGTACTGCTAGAATGCAATTAACCTAATGTATTTGTGATTAGGGAGTTACATTTTAATTCTGTTGTTTCGTCTGGAGGTTCCTCCTGTCTTCATTACAGGAGAAAGAAGACCTTGCTCTTGGGAAAGTGCGGGTTTCAAAAATGAGGAAGGAGGAAAACTGTTCAAGAGTTTGGATTTCCCAACATTTATTTGAGAGGGCATATTATTATTATTATTATTATTATTATTATTATTATTATTATTTACCCACCCGTAACCCAAGGTACCAGGACAGGATTCAGCAATTTAAAAACATCATTAATAACACAATATTAAAAACTTAAAATTACAAAAACATAAACTTAAAATTATAAAAATAAGGTGAGTCCTGAAAATATACATCTCAAGTGTAATGTTATTAGAATATATCTTTCTCAATCCCTTCTGCAATTTGTAGCAAAGTAGCTAATTATTGTCTGATTGAAAATATGAAAATGAGTTATTTGTGTGGCTTTTAAAAAGTGAAGATAAATAAAGAGCCAGCCATACTTCTAGAGCAGGGGTGTCAAACTCAAATTCATCGGGGGGCCGCATCAGCAGTTTGGTCACCCTCAAAGGGCCGGTTGTATCTGTAGGTCCTACCCCCCCCCCCACATACCCCTCCCCCACACATACATCATATGTACTTACAGTACAGGAGAGAAGGGTTCAGGCAGCCGTTGGATCTGTCACATCACAGGATGGCATGCGCTCAATATAAAAACAAGTGGAGGTTTCCTGAATGCATGTAAAGTGGAGGTTTCCTGTGTAGAACGGCCGGCGCCGCTAGAGGGCAGACGTTCTCTGGCTTGTAGGTTGCCGCGCATGCGCTGAAGAGGCGGCTTTCTTGTGTCAAGAAAAAAAAAGCAAGAATAAAAGGTGAAGGCTGGCGGCCGGCGGCAGCTACACGGGCCACATGACGAGGTCTGGCGGGCCGGATTCGGCCCGCGGGCCTTGTGTTTGACACCCGTGTTCTAGAGAGTCTCTTGGATCTCAACAGATCCCTGCTCACACTCATAGAATCATAGAATCATAGAGTTGGAAGAGACCACAAGGGCCATCGAGTCCAACCCCCTGCCAAGCAGGAAACACCATCAGAGCACTCCTGACATATGGTTGTCAAGCCTCTGCTTAAAGACCTCCAAAGAAGGAGACTCCACCACACTCCTTGGCAGCAAATTCCACTGTCGAACAGCTCTTACTGTCAGGAAGTTCTTCCTAATGTTTAGGTGGAATCTTCTTTCTTGTAGTTTGGATCCATTGCTCCGTGTCCGCTTCTCTGTATGTTATTTGTATTTGTATTATTAAATTTATTACCCACCTCCCTTCACCAGCAGGTTTTAGGGCTGGTGACAACAATTTAAAATCCAGAATTAAAAACTGTTAAAACATATTGCATTCACAAGAATAGCGTGGGTCCTTAAAACATACATCTCAGCTGTCAAGGGCCAGGGTAAAGAGATGTATCTTCGGCATTTACCAAAAGCTGTTTCATGAAGGTGCAAGACTCGCCTCTATGGGGAGCTGACATGATCTCCGCTTTGCATGGGTGTCACGGAATTAAGGAGCCAGCCAAAAACCTGCAGGATATGTCCCTGGGAAAACATAGACAGAGAACTCATGAATGGTTCTGGTGATGAGCTGGGAACCTGACAGGCCCTTGAAAACATCATACAGAAATCTGGGGTCAAGCTGACTGAATGGGAAGATCTGGGTTATCCTAATTTAACGTATTGTGAGATGGAGTTAGGCTGGGATCTGTCATCCAGTGAACTTCACAGATGAGTGGAAGATTCAAGCCCAGGCTTCTCACATCTCAATCTGATGCTCTCTCTCCAGCACACCAAAGAACTTAGGGGGGGGGGAGGTCCTGGCAGCATCTCTCACTAAGTTTTGTGTCTACAATAGCTTCTTGAACCCATTTTTATTTTTCTTCACTAGGCCTTGGATGGTGACTTCTCAGAAGATAACCGAAATAAGTGCCGGATTGCAACTGCTCCCTTGATTGAAGCTGTGGAAAACCTAACAGCCTTTGCATCAAACCCTGAGTTTGTCAGCATCCCGGCCCAGATCAGTACTGAGGTAAGAGAAGTGCTGTATTAAATTAACTTTATAATGATGCAGAGCCTGTCTTTAACTTACTGCAAACTGATCTCCAGTTTTCTGGTCTTTGAGGACATTACAAAGCTTTTTGGAAGTTTATTTACAACAATTAAGCTCACCTTTTCTATGCTTTAGAGAAGCAAGCTGCCTACATGATCTACGTCGCAATCGCCATGTCAGCTACATGGTAACCTCACACTGGTTTTATTTAACTTCCTCCCTCCCCTTTCCTGTGAAACTATTGTAAGTAAAACTATAGCCCGCTCCAGGGGTTCTTCCATGTGCAATTTGGATCAGGTGAGGATCAGCCTCAGCTAGCACAATTGTAGGATGCTGAGGCTGATGGGAGTCCAAAATCCCTGGACCCCTACATTGTCAAAGTCTGGACAAAACAGGTCAATGAGCTATGATCTGATCCTAGGTTTGCAGGGATTACTCAAACCATGGTCTCTTGGTTTGGAACCTTAAGAATTGAATTGAGGCGTGCTAGAAAAGGTAGGAAGAGAAGGAGCAGCAAATGAGTTCACATGCCATTTCTAATCCAACAAACCATGGTGGTTTAGTCTGGGGTTATTACACCTGAACCCAACCTGGGAGTTGCTGTGGAACTAAAAGCCAGCTGCTTCCCTCTTTGCAGGGTTCTCGGGCACAGGAACCAATCCTGACTTCTGCCCGGACTATGCTAGAGAGCTCGTCCTCTTTAATCAAAACTGCTCGCTCACTGGCAATCAACCCCAAAGACCCTCCCACGTGGTCCATTCTCGCTGGGCACTCACACACCGTGTCCGAGTCCATTAAGAGCCTCATCACGTCCATCAGGTGAGTCCTTTCGTTTTCATAGGCACTTGCAGTGTGGGTACCTCTGCCCCTTTCTCCATATCACGTTCCCCCATTCTGCACGAACACATGCCCTGCTCATGCTTATTATTTCAGCAAGCTGGAATATGTAGAAACAAGTAGAGGGAGCCTTTCTCAGCCCAAGGCCTGCTTTCCCTCTTGGACTACGTTCCAGAGGCAACGTTATCAGTGGTGGGCAGCAAAAGCAGGTGGAGGCAAAAGCAGGTGGAGCAGTGGAGGTGACATTTGTCTTTTATGCAGTAGGCTACATTCAAATGGGACGCAGGTGGCGCTGTGGGTTAAACCACAGAGCCTAGGACTTGCCGATCAGAAGCCTGGCAGTTTGAATCCCTGTGATGGGGTGAGCTCCCGTCATTCGGTCCCTGCTCCTGCCAACCTAGCAGTTCGAAAGCACCTCAAAGTGCAAGTAGATAAATAGGTACCGCTCTGGCGGGAAGGTAAACGGCGTTTCCGTGCGCTGCTCTGGTTTGCCAGAAGCTGCTTAGTCATGCTGGCCACATGACCCGGAAGCTGTACGCCGGCTCCCTCGGCCAATAAAGCGAGATGAGCACCGCAACCCCAGAGTCGGTCACGACTGGACCTAATGGTCAGGGGTCCCTTGACCTTTTTACATTCAAACACTGCAAAAGTCAGGGGTTTCTGCACATGCACAGCCCTCTGTTCAGGCAAGCAAGAGGCAGTAACACAGTTCCAAGTATGCAGCCCAGCCAGGCAAAAGCACTTGAGAGGTGCATGGATCAGGGATGGTGGGAGGTGTGTCTGGGGTCAGAGAGAGAGTCCTGGAGCATTGCGCTCAGCTCCCGAGCTTCCAGTTTTGCAATAACCACAGGCTGCCTTCAGGGGTCAAGACCTTCCCCCACCTCTAGAATACTCTCTCAGTCAGGCCCCTCTTTGAGGTATGTTTCTCTCCCTGCTCCCCTTTCAGGTCTTTTTCTGTGTGATAATGTACTATGTTAATGTAAGATATATGTTTTATGTTGTGTTTGTTTTAATTGCTTCTTTGTATCATATCTTATGATTATTTTTCTCATGTACACTATTCAGTGCTCTGGGTGCTCATTAGTAGAAGGGGGGGGGGGGTAAAAGTGAATGATTATCAGTCCCTTTATTTTCAGTGTTTGGGGTGTGAGTGCCGTCCCTGTTTAGGCAAAATAGTATCATCCATGTTCAGGAAAGAGGTATCAGCTGGCTAGGGAATATCCTAAAGATTGAAGAAGCGCAAAAGAATCTGTGAGGGGGAGTTATTGGATGCGTATGGAGCATGCTCAGTAGCCACAGAATGCAGACTGATGGGTGGGGCAAGGATGGGGGGGGGGAGATGGAAAACCGGGGGAGGGGCTGGAATCCTCTGTTCTTTAATATTTTGTTGCAGTTCCCACTTGTTAATTATGGTTATACCCCCCCCTTCACCCTTGACATGACAATCTGCCATACATTCTCCAGAGACAAAGCCCCGGGCCAGCGGGAGTGTGATTACTCCATAGATGGGATCAATAGATGCATCAGGGACATTGAGCAGGCCTCACTTGCAGCTGTCAGTCAGAACTTGGCCACGAGGGATGACATTTCTGTTGAGGTAAGCAGAGCTGTGCATTGCCAGTGAAGGGAAAGCTGAGCCTCCTTCTCGGCCGGGAGTGTGTCTGTGTGTGCGGGGGGAGAGAGAGAGAGCAGTCTGAATCAATTTAATGTAGTTGGCAGTGCAGGGTGAGGGGAAACTGAACAGGAAACACACCAATAAATCTTCTGCTATAAACTGATTAGAAGATTTTCCCATGATGCATTGCATTCCTCTTGCTAACTCTCTTCCAGGTGAGTGAACCTGGTCCAACAACACAGGTGGTAAACTGACATAGGTTGTTTGCAAAATGACAGGTTGAAATTCTTCAGGGTGAGGCTCTTAAGCTTACTTTTTCTTTTAATGCCCAGGGGAGAAAAGAAGGACCTTCAAACAACCATAAGCAGCTCAGCTTCATTCCCTCTTCCATTTTTAAGCAGGAAACTAGAATCCTACTTGGAGGGGGGAAATAACAAGTTTTCACAAACTTATTTCTCTTGTTTTTAAAGGGAAAGCTTAACAAGAAGTTAAGTTTTGTGTTAAAAAATCTGGCCATCTGCATTTGCTGTAACTCAGAAGGTCCCAGGCTCAAACTTGGGATCTTCAGTTGAAAAAAGATCAGATTGCATCAGGTCAAATGTTGCAACTCCCGCCAACCCCAGAAAGTGTGGCCAATTCAACGTATACCATATTTTTCGCTCTATAAGACGCACTTTTTCCCTCCTAAAAAATAAGGGGAAATGTGTGTGAGTCTTATGGAGTGAATGCAGGCTGTGCAGCTATCCCTGAAGGCAGAAGAGCAAGAGGGATCACTGCACAGTGATCCCTCTTGCTCTTCTGGCTTCAGGGGTAGCCATGCAAAGCCTCTTGAGCGCAGCGGGAGCTCTCCTCCCTCTTCACTCAAGAGGCTTTGCGTTGCTTTCATGTTTTCCTCCTCTAAAAACTGGGTGTGTCTTATGGTTGGGTGTGTCTTATAAAGCGAAAAATACGGTAGTTAAACTATGGACCTCCCTCCCTCAGGAGGCAATAATGGCCAGCAACTGGGGTGGCTTTAAAGAGGACTGGAGAGATTCATGGAAGGGGAGGCTATCAGTGGCTCCTAGCTGTGATGACTGTGCTCTGCCGCCACAGATGGAGGCATGAATGTTTCTGGATACCAGTTGCTGGAAACCCCAGGAGGGGAGAGTGACGCTTGTGCTGCGCTCCCACTTGCTGCTTTCCCCTGGGCATCTGGTCGGCCCCTGTGAAAACAGGATGCTGAACTCAATGGGCCACTTTGGGCCTGATCCAACAGACTTCCTTGGGTTCAGCAGCTTCTAGAGGGCCAAAGGTTCCTCACCCCCAAGGAAGATAACACTGGACTGGGTGGGAAAAGAACTTGTCTTTGCATATGGGAGCTGATTGTAGGAGGGACAGAAATGGCAAAATGAACACGTTTTTCCTGTTTTTATTCAGCTTCACAAAATCAAAATCATGCTAATACATCAGATAATTGAAGTTTAGTAGGGAGCTCCAAGGGTCATCTAGTCCAACCCCTTGCAATGTAAGAATCACAGCTAAGAATCCCTGACAGATGGCTGTCCAACCTTTGTTTAAAAACTACCAGGGAAGGAGAGCCCACCACATCAATAAATATTTATGTATAAAACAATACAGTTCCCCCTCACCCCACAGAGAGAGCAAATGTGCTTTTCAAAATAGTGCCTCTGTGTGTCTTCCATGTCACCAAGCACCTCTGCATTGTCATTGCATTTCTGTCTGTGGTCCGACATGTCCATTTTGCTTGTTTCTCAGGCCTTGCAGGAGCAGCTGACGTCAGTCGTCCAGGAAATTGGCCATCTGATTGACCCCATTGCTACAGCCGCTCGAGGCGAAGCCGCTCAGCTGGGCCACAAGGTAGGAAGCCACAAAATGGCCACTCTGGGGAAAAGTGATGTTGTTGGTCTGAGGCAGATTCGTGAAAAGAATGCTGACTTGGGGAGGCAGCCATGTGGGATCCACTGAGGAGGACTTGGGGAGGCAGCTTTGGGATCCATTGAGGGCAGCAGACGGCCTGTGAGGCACAATTAACCAGGCAGCCATTTTGAAGTTCTGACAGCAGAAAACTACTTTGTTTAGCCCAGGTGTTTTAGAGCAATTAATTCTATTCATTATTTGGTCATCACTTCCGTATTTTTATTATTTTATGATCCTGTGCCAAAGCCAAAGGTGGAAAAAAATGTAATTATATGAAAATGATACACAGGTGGTATCTAACTCCGAGTAGACTAGTGTTTCATCAGTGCTTATACTACATTTTTTTAGATTTGCCTTGAGAGCTTCTTTAAATCTCTTTTGTTGTCCATTGGTATTTCGCTTTCCATCCTTAAGTTGGGAATAGAGTAGTTGCTTTGGAAGGCGATAGGCATCTGAACAACATGACCAGTCCGAAGAAGTTGATGTTGAAGAAGCATTGCTTCGACACTGGTGATCTTTGCTTCTTCCAGTACACTGACATTAGTTTGCCTATCTTCTCAAGTGATGTGTAAAGATTTCCGGAGACACCGTTGATGGAATCTTTCGAGGAGTTGGAGATGGCGTTTATAAGTGATCCATGTTTCATAAGTGTACAGTACAGTTGGTAGTACAATAGCTTTGTAAACAAGCATTTTGGTTGTCCTGCGAATGCCCTGGTCCTCAAACGCTCTGCACTTCACTTGTGAGAAAGCTGCACTCACAGAGCTCAGGCAGTGCTGGATTTTGGCATTAATCTTGGGCCAGGTAGGAAAAGTGATCGACATTTTCCAATGTTACACCATTAAGTTGGATTTGTGGCACTGCGGAGGGGTTGTTTTGTGCTTGTTAGTGCAGCTTGTTGGTGCTCTTGAAGTACATAATGTCTGAGGCCTTCTGGGAAAACAAAATGGCAGCTGCCCAAATCATAAACAGCAGCACTCTAACCACCCTGAGGACATGGCTCATTGGGCAGCACAGAAATGCTTAAAGAAGCAAATGAAATATATGAATGTGGAAAACAAGATGAATTACATTTAAATGGATGACAAATGGTAAACAGATGCATGGTGGGTTTTTTAAAAAATGAATGCATGATGAAACAAATGAGGTCTTTGCATAGCCACATTGAATGAATTCCATTGCCTTCTTTCCTTTCCTCCCTTAGGTGACGCAGGTAGCCAGCTACTTTGAACCGCTGGTTCTTGCTGCTGTCGGTGTGGTATCCAAGTTGATGAACCACCAGCAACAAATGACCTTATTGGACCAGACCAAGACTCTAGCAGAATCTGCCCTCCAGATGCTCTATGCAGCCAAAGAAGGGGGAGGAAACCCCAAGGTAGGCCACCCTCAGGATGACTAGTTGAATGTTGATATTTAGAGGTGACGTCCTAAGAGAGGGTCCTGCATGTTCCCTATCGCACTGTTCATCAAGCCACAAAAGTATTCCCTTTTTCTCTCAGAGATAGCGAATGCGTTACCTTCCAATTGTTGTAGGACTCCAACTCCCATCAACCCCAGCCAGGATGGCCAGTGATCAGGCATATGATAGAAGGGGAAGGTCCATAGCTCAGTGATGGAGCACATATTTACATGTAGATGGTCTCCAGGTTGAATCCCTGCTACCTCCAGTAGGTCTGTGAAAGACCTAGAGAGCCACTGCCAGACATTATAGCCATTGCTGAGCTAGATGGACTCTGAATAAGGCAGTTCCGTTTCTTATTATGTTTGAAGGGAAGCACATTGACTACTCCTGTAGACTAATTTGGCACCAGTAAATTGTGTGGTGGTAATGATCTGATTTGATGGATCACGGCAACTGATGGTCATACAAGTTTCCCAAATCCAGTTGAGTAAGTGAACAGTCAGCTTTGCAGCACAATTTTAACCTGGGTCTCTCCAGTCCAAAGTGTCATCATTTTATCGGATTCGGATGGTGGATTTTAAGGGTTTTAAGCTTGCATACCTTTGTTTAAAAAAAGAGAAACTTGTGAGTACAAGCAGAGAAGAGTTCTGCCTGAACTAGGAAATATGGATAAGACTCTTGCACCACATTTCAAGCCATTAGACTGTTCCTGTTTGGCTGAGGCCATGTCATGGGATCAGTGGCAAAGCCACCACATTCCAGCGTCAGGGGAAGATTCAGAAGGAACTACCAGACAGCTCAGGATTGCCCTCCTTTCCTTTCCGCAAGGCACTCAATAATTATTGCCTAGGAGGGCTTCCAGTTTCCTGGGCTGTTAAGCTGTGGCATGTTCAGCATAACAGTTAATCCTGCCCTCTGAATTCCTACACAAATGTCTATGAGAGTAAAAATAGACTGGTTTCAGCTTTTCCAGTCAATTAATTTTGAACTCCTCGCCCTATAAGCATCTTCCTGTTCAGCTCCCCTCAAAAGCTCTGCCATCTCTTCCTGCTGATGCTGGAAAAGGAGAGCCAAGGTTGGAACCACAGTGTGTTTAAAATTGTCCCAATGGCAACATAGGAAGCCACCTTTATGAAGCATTTGTCCATCTACCGCAGTATTGTCCCCTCTGATAGTCAACAGCTTCACAAAGTGTCTGGCAGAAAAGAATCTATTCCTTTGCATCTTATTTGGAGACTTTGCCAGGAACTGAATCTGGGACCTTCTGCAGTCACGAGAACCAGAAGCTTCAACATTGCAAAGGCCCTGCTACTGCGCTATGGCCCTTCCTGTTGATTTTCATTGGTGGGGAGATTTTAACTACACAAAAATGTTGTCCTGTTAATCACACTGATTAAGCCGCTGAAGCTTGCAGGCCCATTGGCATTGTGGTTTAGTGCACTGTTGTTTTTCTTAAAAGATAAGTTCTGTAGTTTGCATCTAAGCATGAAGTTTCCTGAGGAGGTAGAATGAACTGTGCCGTTCCAGACCATGATAATGGCAGGGAGGAGGGGATCCCATTTTTGAAAGCTAGCCTATATAACAAACTCCCAGAAATGGAAAGCTAGCATGTCAGGGAGACAGGTTCCAGGCTAGCCCTTGTTCTTACTGAGCTAGTTTTCCGTTTTCAGGGGAGCAGTCAGGGATGTCATCACTTTTACCACCTCATTCCCCTGCCTGTGTAGACCAGCCATTCATGTTTCCCTCAAATATTTTTACTTTGTCAGAAGATGCTTTCAGAGAAGGAGAGGTGATTTGCATGTCTGGGGGTCTAAAAAATACAGTCCTTGTGAGCAATCAAGCATGAATGGTGATGGATGATGAGAGACTCGGGAGATACTCTTTAATGGCCCTTAGACAAACGTGTGTAATTATAAAATCCTTCCTTCAGTAATCACCCCTGTCTGACAACCGTCTCCCGCAATGAGATCATGAAGCAAACACTGTAATTGCCTTAATGTGTCAGTAGGAAGTCTAGTCTTAAAGTCTCAAATCAGGGGAGTGGAGACTGGAAGGGGAATGGAACCTTTTTAAAAAGAATGGCTTTTTACTTTTAAAACTAGGCTCCTTTCTCTTTAACCCACCAAGGCTCACATCCCTTCAGTCATTCAGCACCAGCCCTACTATTCAGCAGGCCTCCTCAGGAGGCAAATGTTGAGGGGCACAGAGGCCACATTCACACCATACATTTAAAGCATGATGATACCACTTTAAACAGCCATGGCTTACCCACAAAGAATTCAGGAAGATGAAGCTTGTTGAGGCTGCTGAGAGTTGTTCGCTGACCCCCTATTCCCCCTCACAGAACTACAGTTCCCAGAATGGTTTAAGTGTCAGTCCCTCTTTGCAGGAAACTCTGGGGGTTGTATCTCTGTGAGGGGAATAGGAGCCTCCTCCTAACAATTCTTGGCAACCTTAACAGACTTCAGCTCCCATAATTCTTTGGGGGAAGCCATGACTGGTTAAAGTGGTATTGTACTTCAAATGTATGCTGTGCAGGTGGACAGAGCAGACAAAGCTGTGGGTGTCAACTCCTATTTTCTGTGTTCCCACATGGAAAACCTTTTTTCAGTTTTTTTCAGGAAAGTGACATAGATATATATAGAAGATTATTATTTTTTTAAGTCTCCATGCCGGCCATCACACAAAAGTTGTGTTTTTCAACAGAAGGGACACTGAGATGTGTTTCAGTTGCGTCAAAGAAAGAGGGAGATGCAATGTTTCCTGTTTTCTCCATCAACTTATTTCAGGCTTCACACACTCACGATGCCATCACAGAAGCTGCCCAGCTGATGAAGGAAGCAGTGGATGATATCATGGTTACCTTGAATGAAGCTGCCAGCGAAGTAGGGATGGTGGGCAACATGGTGGACTCCATAGCTGAAGCCATGAGCAAGGTCTGTACGAGTCACCCAGGATCCTTCTCATTGCTGTTTCCCAAGGCCCCTGGAATATGTGATTATCCCAAAGCACCCAGGAAGACTCAAATTGAGGTTGCAGCTGTCAAAAACTTGTTGTTGATTATATCAATACAGTGGTACCTCGGGTTAAGTACTTAATTCGTTCTGGAGGTCTGTTCTTAACCTGAAACTGTTCTTAACCTGAAGTGCCACTTTAGCTAATGGGGCCTCCCGCTGCCGCCGTGCCACAGGAGCACAATTTCTGTTCTCATCCTGAAGCAAAGTTCTTAACCTGAAGCACTATTTCTGGGTTAGCGGAGTCTGTAACCTGAAGCGTATGTAACCCGAGGTACCACTGTAATTGCCTTCCTTGGTAACCGTATAATTGTCTGTGATTCAAGGACTTGGGGGGAGAGGGGAGACACATGCAGACTCCCACCCCTCAGTCCCAGGCACTAATGATACCATTCATATTTTGCGTAATTTAGACCAGTCAGTGTGGGTTTTCTGGTTACAGTAGACCTTTTCCACTTATGGGAACGGGGTCTAGATTTCCTGCCATTTTGATCACCTTTCTTCTTCCTCTTCAACCCCCATTGCAGCTGGACGAGGGCACACCACCAGAACCCAATGGAACTTACGTTGACTATCAGACCACTGTAGTCAAATACTCCAAAGCCATTGCAGTGACAGCCCAAGAAATGGTAAGATCTGTTGATGGCAGCAAAATGCACTGAGGTGCACCTTAAGTGATGGCCAAGAGAAGCCTTTGGGAACCTAAGAAGATCCAGCTGCTGGATCAGACCAAAGGATAATCTAGTGCAGTATCCTGTTTCTCACAATGTAGCGCAAGTGAGGCATGTTCACCTCTTCTTTCTTCACATTCCTTCAGATGACGAAGGCGGTTACCAATCCAGAGGAGCTGGGAGGACTCGCTTCGCAAATGACCACAGACTACAGTCACTTGGCGTTCCAGGGACGGATGGCAGCTGCTACAGCAGAACCGGAGGAGGTCTTGAGCCCTTGGTCTTGTTTGGGGTTAATAAGCATGCAGTGATGGGACCAACTTTGGGGGGAGGGCCCAGGCAACATCAGAGTTCTCCTTCCGCCCGCCCTCCACACTCTCTGTTCTTAAATTGCTGCCCCAAAGAAACTAGCCCCCCCCCCATTGGAACCTTGCTGCTTGTGCAGAAAAATCCTCCAATGGTGCCATTGATTTGTGCAAAGTTGGGGTTTTGCCTGCTGTCTTCAGCAAGCCAATAAAAAGGCAGAATATAAATTTAAGCAATGCTTGAATTTATTTATTATCTGTTCATTTGTTTTAGTTTTTTGTCACATATACATGCCCCCTTTTTTCTCCAAGGAGCTCAAGGGGGCATGCATGGTTCTCTTCATTTAATCCCCACAACAACCTTGTGAGGGAGGTTAGGCTGAGAGGCGGTGGCTTGCCCAAGGCCACCCAGTGACATTTATGGCTAAGCAGGGATTTGAACTCTAGTCCCCCAGGTCCTAATCAGACACTCTAACCCAGGCTTCCTCAACCTCGGCCCTCCAGTGGTTTTGAGACTACAATTCCTATCATCCCTGACCACTGGTCCTGCTAGCTAGGGACCATGGGAGTTGCAGGCCAAAAACATCTGGAGGGCCGAGGTTGAGGAAGCCTGCTCTAACCACTGCACCAAACTGTGCTAATTTTAATCAAAGTGCAGTACCCCATGTCCTGCTAACAAGCAGTAGCTAGAGGGAATCAGTGGAAAGGGTGGGGGGGGGCTCTGAACCTGCCCTCCATCCTGTAATTCCTGTAATTCAAGTACTGGATATAAGTAGCAGTAATAGCAATTCTGCAAGCAGGAACCTTTAGAGTCTCTCAGACTTGTGGAAAGACGCACTTTTTGGTGCACTTGCAGTTAACCAATTGAAGGTAAGAGACCCATGAAGACCAGCAGCTTTGATTTTGACTGCTATCCATTCATCATGGCATTCCTATACCTTCTTTTAGCCATTCCTCACCTGGCAGGATATTATTATTATTATTATTATTATTATTATTATTATTATTAACCTCAGTGTAGAACTGTACAACTGCTAAAGAGATGGGGCCACTTCTGCTAGGTATTGAACGCCTGGAAAAATAATTGAGTGTTCAGCTGTCTCCTAAAGCAATTAAAAGTGGGAGACAATTGGATCTGCACTGGGAGGGAGTTCTATAAAAAGGGGTGCTGCCACTGAGAAGGCCCTGTTAGACTGAGAATGCCCTCAAATAATATTCATCAGGTTTGTCATACGGGCATCTTATAAACCTATCCAGGAACTGTTCCATAATAGGGAAATGCATCCAAGTGGTGTGCCAAGGTTTGCCTAACACTGCTGCCTTTACCTCCTTTACAAATAACTTGCAACACTTTCTTTTCCTTTTCCTCCACTCTGTCCCTTTCTACACCAACCACTTGGCTATCCAGATAGGCTTCCAGATCAGAACGCGGGTTCAGGAACTTGGCCACAGCTGCATCTTCCTGGTCCAGAAGGCTGGTGCTCTACAGATATGTCCCACAGATAGCTACACCAAGAGGGAGCTGATAGAGTGTGCTCGGGCGGTCAGCGAGAAGGTGGGTGCCCCCAACTTCAGTGGTGTGAGCTTAGATACCTCCTGGTCCCCAGTGCGTCACTGAGAATAATGTCCTCTTCTAAGACAGGGTTGTAGCAATCCTTGATCAGAAACAGGGTTCGGGGCAGCCTGCCCACACCAAAGCACCCCAGTAATCTCACTTTGCCTCTGCTGATGCTGCTGTCACCTGCTAAGTCAGGTATCAAGCCCCCCTTTTTATAGTGGGTGCTTGGAAGCATCCACAAATACTTGGAAGGCGTCCATAGAGACTTCTAAAAGGGAACCTCCTCAATATTAAGGGCAGGTTGAAATCTCTTGCTATCATGACATCCTGCTGGGTTACACCATAGTGTTGTTTATTTACTGTTCTTATGGGTTGTGTCCAGCTATGCCCTAGTGAAAGTGAAGTGAACGTACCTAAGTTAATTGTGTTCATTAATTTCACTGGGTCTGCTCTGAGTAGGATTTTGCTTGTTCCTCTTGACAGGTGTCCTTAGTTCTGTCAGCCCTGCAGGCAGGCAACAAAGGCACCCAGGCGTGCATCACCGCTGCCAGCGCCGTCTCAGGCATCATCGCTGACCTGGACACCACCATCATGTTCGCCACGGCTGGAACGCTGAATGCTGAGAACAACGAATCATTTGCAGACCACAGGTCAGTGTGGCCGCAGGATTTCAGACCAGGGGCATGTGAAAAGGGGGCAGGGCTGTCAGAGGCAAAACTGAACCATAGGCTGCAGAAACCCTGGAGGAGTTTTCAGGGAGGATGTAAGGTGCTCTGACATAAAATTAAAAATTGAGTTCAAAAGGGATCCCATCTAGACTGCAAAGATGCAGTCGGTGAATGGAAGAAGAACTCAAAACTTCCTGGTCAGAGTGAGGCCTGTCCACTCTTAACCTCAGCTCAGTCACCCTCCCCATGCATTAGCTCTCAGTTTAGCTGCCCCACTCCCACCCCTACGGCAAATCTGTACTCTGCCCCTGGGGCACTGCAGCCTGCCACAAATGCATATATGGAAGTGCAAACGAACCCTGTTCTGAGTAGACCAATGTGTTACCATGGATTTTTGTACATATCCGGGTGGCCAGCCTTTGACTCTTGAGAAGTTGGATTCCCAATTCCCATCTGCACCAGTCAGCATGGTCAGTAGCTCAAGGATGGCTCTGTGCGCATTGTTTAGGCCTATCCCATTTATCAAATAAGTTGTTCAGGTTTTTATTCAGAAGCCTTCCAAACCTGTCTAACCTAAAACTAAAGTGGACCAGATGAAACATCTGCATTTGCCAGGAGAAATGAAGTCTCTCCCAGAGCTCTTATAAACCACTGTCTGTTTCAAGCTCCAAACAGCAGTTCCTTGATGAAAAAGTGCCTCTGGTTTTCAAATTGCTTTCCATTACTTTTACTCCAAAAATAATAATAAATCCATAGTGATTCTGAAAGACACAAAACCGTATTGTGTCTGGGATGAAAAAGTCTCTTTGGAATGGAGCCCAATAAGCAAATGGCTTCAAAAACCTATTGGGAAAGGCAGTTCTAAAATATTCTCTCTATTTATTTCCCTTCAATGCATAATTCCACTTTAATGAAAGCTTTCGACAGAAAGCCCTGAAGGACATTTGGGGTATTCTGAAACTTCCTCAGCTTTTTGGATCATTCTTAAATTGTACTTTTCAATGCAAAAAGACTCAATAAAGCTTTGTTGCTGTTTTTGAAAAACATGTTCCAAGCCACTAGTTTCAGAATAATAAACTCATTCTGTTCCAGGCACAAAACAAGATCTGGCTAGCAGCAGCATTGTTTTTTGGATAGGATAAATATGGGCTAGAGAAAACTGAAGCTAGAGGTATATTTAACCAGTAAAGCGAGGAAGATGTTTTAATCTCCTTTTGCCTAAGTTAGGGTCGTCGTCCCCATACACATATTTTATGAGTTTTTATACTACTTGAACAGCTGGTGCCTTGGCTGTAAATTACCACCTGATCCATGAAATGAGCCTAGTATTCTGTTGCTCACGTGTGGGGGTGAATGGTCCACAGTGCAGAATACAGTCATACCTTGTGTTGCGTTAGGTTCATGTTGCGTCTTTTCGGCTTGCGAACACAGCAAACCCGGAAGTGTATACTTCAGGGTTTCGCTGCTTGCGTGTGTGCAGAAGTGGCGCTCTAGTTACGGACTTTTTGGGGTGCGAACAGCACCCCAGAACAGATCAAGTCCATAACTAGAGGTATTACTGTATACAGTAATAACATTTTCAAAATGTCAGGAACCTTGGTTTTGACGTTTGAAACATGCCTCTAGCCCTTGTTGTCATGCTGAAATCCCTTAAAATAGTTTGGTTTGTTTCTTCTCATTTTCATCCTACAGAGCATTATAATTCCAGAGAACTGCTTTTAGAATTATTCTCTTGGCAGTTCTGTATCTATTTGGGGGAGAACAGTATGTATATGTCCCTGGTGTCACTACATTTTGCTCCTTGGCTCCCTATATGCAAAGTTGCTCACAGAATTTGCACAACTCAATAAACCAGTAAAGCAGTGGTGTTCAGAGCTCATATCATAACAGGGACAGTGTCTTCTTCTTCACAGAACTTAGATGTGTCCTGCTAGTTGGAGTATCTGGTCCATTGGCTAGGACCCCGTTTTGCCCTTCACAGCAGTGTCCTGCCTCCTTGCCTGTCTTCCATGAATGTTTGGTGGTGGGTTTTCTACTTTGGCCATGCTCAGGCACCCATGGAACCTCAGCAAATGGCCAGCCCCTTCTCTTGGAATCGGTGAGGGGTGGTCATGCTCTCACTGCTGTCAAAATGCTTCCTGCCCACATCTGCAACTTCAAAGTTCAGGTGAAATCTCTCCCACTCTTCACATTCACCAGACGGTGGCAGCACACTCACAGCAATGAGCTGAGAAATGGCGGGACCTGGTGGTTTTTAATGTTGTGTTACTAGTTCCACCCATTTTCATATCAGAAAGCAGGCCAGAACTCCCCACCCCACCCACCTGCCAGCTAATCTACATTGATCTTGGAAACTGTTGTTTGAAAGTTACAGCATTTCACTCAAGAACCAGTTTATTATTTTGTGAACCATGAGTTTGTCAGAGACATAAGACTTAGCTTCCTGAGAATCTCAGCACCTTGCTTATTTTAAGAGCATGCTATTAGTCCTTGCGGTTGCAAAGATGTGCTTTGAAGTGTGTGAGCAAAGTCTTGGGGGCTGCTATGCATCCTTCCACTGGGTGTAATGGACACAGTTGCATATGAAAAAGTTTTTGTTATTGGCAGCCTACAAATGAAGTTAGTATGCTAAGGACACAGTAGAGTCTAGTGAATATTGCAGCAGGAGGGACTTTATCATTTTACGTGTAAAACAACACAATCAATTGGCTGATGATCAATTGGCTAAGGAGTAAAAAAATAGTCAAACACCAGTAGCCCATCTGCCAAACTTAAGGTGCTGCTAGGGCAGCATTTATATTTTCTTCCTTTTCTTTAAAATATTTTAATGCTCCACCAAGGGATTTTTTGCACAAAATATGACATAAGGTACAAGTATAGGCATTTCAATCACATCTCATCCTAAGTCTTTGCTGGCCAGTAGCATCCTCTGAGGTAACAGAACACTCCCACCAGTCAGTGTGGAAGGCCACACATTTCACTGATCACCCCTTCACCTCAAGCCCTTTTGCTCCTCAAAACCTGCTCCAGAGGGTTGGAGAGCCCTCCAGAGCAGCATGAGATGGGCCACAGGGGGAAACGGCAGAAACTTCCCCTGGATCCCAGTTCCTTTCATATAACATCTGGCTCCATTGTTTTGTTTCCTTACAAAACATATGGTATGTATCGAATGACCATCCACACAGTCCATTTAAAGCCTTCTTATGCCATCTTATGCCAGCTGTGGCTTCCCAGAAGGAATCCTGGGAACTGTAGTTTGGTAAGATTGCTGAGATTCGTTAGGAGACCAAGACCCCTAAGAAACAACAGTTCCCAGGAACTGTTCCCAGAAACTTGAGGGGGAGCCATGACTGTTAAAGAAGTATAAGAGGGCTTTAAATGGATGGTTCAGATGTGAAGCAATACAGATCTTTCCTTGGTCCATGTCAGAGTGTCTCATACCAGATTATTTAGTCAACAAAGAAGAATGGTGGGGCACACCTCCAGATGTTGTTGGGACTCTGCTCCTGTCAACACCTGCATGCCCAAAAGGTCGGGGAGGATGATGGGAGTTGTAGTTCAGCAGCAGCTGATGAGCCAAAGGTTCTCCACCTGTTCTACACACTTTTTACATACAGCACATTCCAGGTTTGGCACAGCCAAAGCTTTTCCCACATTCCATGCACTTAAATGGTCTCCTCCCAAAGGAGAAGTCATTGCAACCAAAGCTCAGAAAGCAAATCCATCTGCTCAAACTTAACTTTGCAACTTTTTCCTTGGGAGCGTTATCTTAAAAGCCCTTGCAGGTCCTCTGCAAGAGTGCAGATGAGTACCAATTGAGTCTTCTCTTTCTTCCACCCCACCTCCCTCTTGTCTTTTTCCAGGGAAAATATTCTGAAGACAGCAAAAGCTCTGGTTGAAGACACAAAGCTGTTGGTATCTGGGGCTGCCTCAAGCCAGGAGAAGCTTGCTCAAGCAGCACAGTCATCCGCAAGCACCATCACTCAACTAGCCGAGGTTGTGAAACTGGGAGCAGCCAGCCTGGGATCAGGTGACCCAGAAACACAGGTGAGAGGGTCCAGTGCTGGCGGTTTTCAGCTTCCTGAGATGCTCTGTTTTTGATCCAAGTTAAATATATATGTATTACCTTCGACCTGGACAGTGGAGGAGAGAGCTGTTGATGTCTCCTAGCCATGATGGCCATGCTCTGCCTCCATAGTTGGAGACAGTAATGCTTCTGGAAACTGCAGGAGGAGAGAGGGCTCTTGTTCTTGAATCCTCTTGTGGGTTTCACACAGGCATCTCGTTGGCCACTGGGAGAACAGGGTGCTGGACTAGATGGCCCACTGGCCTGATCCAGCAGGCTGTTCTTTTATTCTTAATACAAGGGAACCTTTTTTCTTTAGTATGAGGGCCAAGTATCCTCTTGAGGGGCCACATGCCAGTAGCAGGCAGGGCCAAAGGTGTAAATGGATGAAGCAACAGATGTAGACATCAGTCTGCATGTCAGAGGTGACACACACACACATACACACACTTCCATCATCAGCCCAGGCAAGCAAGAGGCTGTATGGTACTTCAAAGACAAATTTCATCCCATCAGAAGTACATGAGGAAAGTGCAGATTAGGGCCAGTAGGAGACATGGCCTGGGAAGAGACCTGAGGCTTAGTGTGAGTAGAACCCCTTTCTATGAATTCAAAGCCACTGTCATATATTGGGACACACCCACTCCAATTCCTGCATATACAGATGATCACCTGGTACCTCCAGCCATAATGGATCTGGCATTAAAACATTTGCTGAGCAGGAAAGCAACATCTTAAGGAGCCTGAAACCATTTTATAACTAGTGTGGATATGAAGTCACCAGCAATTCAGACAGAAGCCAAGGCTTGAGAAGCTTGTGTGAATACAACAACAGAAGTACCACTTCCACATTCATTTGTCTGCATCTTGAGATGTACACCCCACTTACATTTCACCTCTTCTGAAGCTTGCGAAGTGCCACAGTATCTCAACTTTCTTTTCTTCCCATCCTTCCAGGTTGTGCTGATCAATGCTATTAAGGATGTGGCAAAGGCCTTGTCTGACCTCATAGGCGCAACCAAAGGAGCCGCCAGCAAGCCTGCAGATGATCCATCCATGTACCAGCTCAAGGGAGCAGCAAAGGTAAGAAATGTGTTGGCTTTCCATTTGCAAGTTCCACACCTGGCCATCTGAGCTCGGTAAGGACCTCACCTGTTCTCCAAGAACTCTCAAAGGTCGTAGACAAAGGCTCTGAAATTACATCCACACACTCAGTAGGGAGTCACCTATCATCATCACCACGTCTCTTCCTCCTCTGGGGAGTGTCAGGAATCATTCTATGGACTGTGCCTTCCAAAGGCTGCTTGGAGTGTTCTGGGGTCTGCGCCTGCTTCTCCTGAGTTTTCCCCACTTGTCTATTGAAGCTTAGTTTGATACTGTTGGGATAATTTACAAAGGCAGGATGGCCGCTTGAGCATTCTGTGATGAGAGCCGGCAGTTGAGTAGTTTCCTTCTCCTGACTTTCCAGGTAATGGTAACAAACGTCACATCACTCCTGAAGACTGTGAAAGCCGTAGAAGATGAAGCTACGCGAGGGACAAGAGCGCTTGAGGCTACGATTGAGTACATCAAGCAAGAACTCACGGTAAAGGCTTTGTATAATGATGCTTGCAAAATCTCTAGAAGTAGCAAGCAAACTCTAGGTCCCCGACCCAATGCATTAAAAATAAATAAACTGAGGATTACTGCATCTATTTTTCAGGCCAGCTCCTATTCTGTCCTCATACAGCGCAGTTCAGCTTTTGTAAAATTTGCAGTGCAATGCTGTGCATGTCTACATTATAAAATATGTGCACCCCACCACCAGATTTAGTTCCAGGCAATTTACAAAATTAACATATCAATAACCATTTTTTAAGTAATAAAAACAACCAGCAAATTAAAGCAGTGTTCAGCACAATGTTAAAATGTTTAAACTACAATCCTAGAGCAGTTAATTAGAAGTAAGTCTCATTTAATTCATTGATACTTAACTTCTGAGCAGACATGCATAGGATTATGCTGTAAAACAGTTATGTCTGCATGTTTTTTGCCGTACTTAATTGCTGTTTTATTGTAACTAAATTTGTTTGTATGGCCATTCTCATTTCTAATTGAAAAGGCACCTACTCAGCAAAGGCTGCTTCAGAGGCTGTGATTTTATTTTTAAATGAAGTCTGTGAGCAAGTCAACTCTAGCCTGCATTGTCAGTGGTCAGGGATTATGAGAGCTGTAGTCCCTCAGCATCTGGAGTGCCACAGATTTCCCATCCCTGATATAAATCATTATGCAAAGTTGTTGGGGTGGAGGGAGGCATTAGCATTTCATTAAAGAAATACTGTAAATCTGGTTGCTACAGTGTGCAGACTGGCTTCCTTCTCGCCATAGAACTGGAGCCATCATCCTGTGGGTGGCAAGTAGACATAGTAGGCTGTCATTGGTCCATGTCTAATATTACTCTGATTTAGGAGTGGCTTTCTTCAGCCGCTGTACATGAGATTCCAATCTTGGTACCTTATATGCTATCATGTTGGGGTGTAAGTCAGGTATACTGCTGAATGGATGTAGTGTAGGCCCTCTAACATTGGAGGAAGAGAAGACCCACTTCTGGGAACCAGATTTAAGTGGGAGCAAAGAGAAGGGTGAAATAGACGGGTAATGAAGTGGCTGGTTCCTGTGTCCAAGTGGAGGCATGTGTGGTTCTGTCCAAAGAATATCAGGAACATAAAGCTCTTCGCTGGGAGATCATTTTGTTTGAGGTGGGGGGGGGAACCAGCTGTTTTCCACTTAAATGCCTTGCTTTTTGACATTTTGGAGGCTGTTTCCATGCCAGAGTTTAACCCTTCCAAACCAAACGTGTTTGGGGCTGGGGGCTTGCTTGTAGGTGTTTCAGTCAAAAGATATTCCTGAAAAGAACTCATCACCTGAAGAATCGATCCGGATGACGAAAGGCATCACCATGGCGACAGCCAAAGCCGTAGCAGCTGGGAACTCATGCCGACAGGAGGACGTGATTGCCACAGCCAACCTGAGCCGCAAAGCTGTAGCTGACATGCTGATAGCTTGCAAGGTACAGACGCATCGCTGAGCTGGGTGGGAGCTTTGCTCTTCTCTTTGATACTGGTATGTTGGTCTGGGTTGCTTGGGTTGATCTTTCTGGGAAATACCTGAAAGAAAGGATGAAATCTGTTCTTGCAAAACAGATTTGTATTTAAATAACCTTGGTAGTGAAAATAAGTTTTTGTTGTTTGTTGACCCATTTTGGTTGTTTTTTTACTACTTTTAAGACTGAAAGTTGAAATGAGGTCATTGGTGAGATAGATATAGATAGATAGATAGATAGATAGATAGATAGATAGATAGATAGATAGATGATAGATAGATATAACATTATTTTAATTTAGATTTTAATTTTTAATCTTAAATTATTGCAACCAGGGAATTATAATGCTAACACTTTGTTACAGGATTATATTTAAGGATTGCAACAGAGCTTTCTACAGTGTTGTGACACGTTAGTGTGTCGACTGCAGTGTGTAGGTGTGTCACACAAATGCTCCCCTCGCTCCTCCCGGGGCTGGAAAGGGGTTAGTTTAACCTCCGGTTTGCTAGTAAAACTGAATTACTGTGTCACAAAACGATGCATGTCTGAAAAGTGTGTCACCAACATAAAAAGTTTGGAAATCTCTGGATTACAGCAAGATAACGTGTGAAAGGTGCTTTGAATACTCCAAAGTGCTACATAAATACTTAGTAGCAGTATTCTTAAATTATTTTAGTGGATGCTCTCTGTATGTGCCTGCTTTGGGAACACTGACAACGTTCCTGTACATTGCTTCAAAAAACGGGGTTCTCTTTTTAATCTACCTGTCTATTGACTGTGCAATCTTATGCATGTCTACCCCAAGACTAGGTGACTATAGCCAGAGCTTTCCCTTTTCAAGTGCTGCTAGAGTGGTTATGTTTTCAGATACCGGGTTTTCTTTTTAATTGTGTTGTCTTGTTAAATGAAGAGTTTTAACATAGCGTCATCACTGCCTCTCTCTTGCCTAAGCATGTTCTTTTGCATCCTTAGCAAGCTTCGTACCACCACGACGTAAGCGAAGATGTCCGGACAAGAGCTCTCCACTACGGAACAGAGTGCACCCTGGGATACCTGGAGCTGCTGGAACATGTTCTCATGGTAAGGGACAAGGGGGAAAACCCCTCCATACCTTTTCCAATGTTCTAAATTTGTTGTTTATTTATAAATTTGATTTATTAATTAACTTTGAAATATTTGTTTGCTATTTTCCTGAATAAAATTCACCTTGAGTGAATTTTGAAATGCAAATTCAAACAGTAATAAAACAGATAAGTTACAAAAGCTTCCAGAAGAAATGGCCACAATATGAAAACAAGCAGCACCAAATTACAGCAAATTTTAACAAGGCCATCAGCCAGAAGTCACTCCCAAGAGCACTCTTACAAAGGACACCTCAAACGGTAGAGGTCTTCGGGTGGTTTCCAGAGTCGTAGGGCCATCCTCACTGCCTCCCTTACTCCCTCTTCCTCACTGACCTAGCTGGGTGGCAGCCAGGGAGGGCCTTCATTCATCTTAACATTCAGGCAGTTTGATAGGATTGCAGGTAGTCCTTCAAATAACCCAAACTATTCAATGATTTAAAGGTTAAAACCAGCACTTTAAATGTGGCCACCAATGCAGCTGATGTGATAATGGTGTCACACAGCCCACTACATTTTCTCTACCAGGACTTGAAGGGCTGCATTTTGCACCTGGTAAGATGTCTAGACTGTCTCTAAGTAGTTGAGTGCACTACAGTAGTCAAGACTGAATGTGATGAGAATGGATTACCTCTCCAGATAAGGCTGCAGTTGGCAACACCAGTCCAAGCTGGTAAAATGCAGTTCTAGACATCAGTGATCTGACTCAGAGTAAGGGCAATTTCTACATTTCTATGATCCATGGCTGCCCAAAGATATTTTTGGTGCGTGGGGAAGAAACCTCAAACAGTAGCACCATGTAACAGCTAGTATGGGTGCAGGAAACCTTATTAAAACAAACCCAGGTGTTGTGCAGCAGCAGAGGGTTTAAGTTCCAGGACTGGCCCACGCATTAGGCTCAGTGAGGCAGTCACCTGAGGCAGATTGGGGGCAGCTGGGAGGGGTGGCAGATCCAGGGAGCACAAGAGTGTACCATTCACCGCCTCCTGCATTTGTTGCCCACGCACTGCCTGGGAAGAGCAGGACCTCTGCTGCCACTACCATCTGCTGCTCCTCAGCCTCCTTTTTTATCCCCTGCTGCCTTCACTCCACGGCTTCCCCAAGCAACCTCTAGTAGCCTCAGGCAGTGGCAGAGGAGGAGCAGACAGGGGCAGGAGCAGCAGAGGAGGCACAATTTTCTGTTTTGCCCCAAGTGGCAAAATGTATTGGGCCGGTCCTGATAGACTTGATGAGTTGGCTGTGCCTGACTCCCACTTCCATCTCCAGTGGCACCCAGAATCTCCCAACCGAAGTGATCACATTGGCTTATCTCTTAGGAAGGTCACCTCTGCCATTCCCCCTCCCTGAACATTGTGGTCTTCCATTGACATTCTAACCCTGAGCAATTCAGGGTGTGGGTTCCAAAAAGCTGCATCTAAGTAATTTGTGAGTCCAATCACGCCAGTGAATTGCCAGAAGCTCCCACTTGGCCATTAAGCCGTCTGAATAGAAACGTCTACATTGCCCGCACAATGATGAGCACAAGCGGACCATGTATTTTGTATTTTGCTTTACATGTATTGTAAAGCTTCTTGTTAAATTGAATTAATGGGCATGTGTTGGAATAGAGATAAAGCAGAAACAAAAGGCACAGTTGTGTTATCACCTGTCGCTAACAAGGCAAACAGTGTGAGAAGAATGAAACCTTTTAAATATCATTACAGGAACCTACTCAGCAGAATCATTTATATTCAGGAGCTTGATTGCTCAAAAGGGATTTGCTAGATATTTTTAAAGCCAACCTTCAATAATTTCCCTTTCTGCCTCAGTGCTGGGACATAACCAAAAACTGATACAAATGCATTTTATGAGATTGCTGTTGCTCAGTTTACATATAACTTGGTTGGTTTCACCAAAGTGTGGTTTATTCGAATATCCCAACTCAGTCCAATAGACTAACCATGGTTCGTTTTCTGGCATCAAATTGCAGTGACCTACAAACCATATCTCACTTTAACAATGGCTTGACATTGTGTCCAGACCCAGCTTAGCCATGGTTTGTTTCACCACCCCACCCCAGACTCTCACGAAGCTACAGAGGCACAAGGCAAGGACTGTTGGGAAATGAACTAAGCTTTGGAGAAACAAAGCCCAGCTTGTTTGCTTATCTCTGACATAATTTATGGTTTGTTGACAAAACTCTGGTTAGAACAAATCATGGCTTAGAGTTATGTGTGGCATTTGCCATTGAATTATACCTAAGGTCAGGTAGGGTGAGAAAAGCATCTTATGTTCCAAACTAGCAGTGAGTTCCCTTGCCAGTTTAGGAGGTGAGGACTGGGCAAGCCCTTGCCCAGAATACCAGGATTCCCAGGTTGTGGGTCTACTCATTCACTCTCAACAACCTTACTTGCTGTTGTATCCAAGGGGGGTTGGACCCCCTTCCTTATAAGGAGAGGTTAAAACATATGGAGCTTTTTTAGGAAAATACAACTAAGTGGATCTTCTTTGATGGAAGCTCCATTTGAAATAATTAGGAACTGCTCCAGCAAGGGTTGCCCTCACTCTGAATTGACGCTGAAGTAGCGATGCTTCTATGGGCCCTGATTGGCTGGGCTCAAGTACCCAGGAAGGAGGACTTGTTCTGCAAAAGAAAGAGCGATGGTGCCTAAGCAGCTGCTGTTTTGGTAGCAAACAAAGATTGAACATCTACAGACTTCTGGCACAGGACTAAAATGTTAGTCTCCACTCTAATTTGCACCTCCAGATTCTCCAGAAGCCCACCCCAGAACTGAAGCATCAGTTGGCTGCCTTGTCAAAGAGGGTTGCTAGTGCTGTCACAGAGCTCATACAGTCAGCCGAAGCAATGAAAGGTGAGTTTGGCTGCTCTGCTGTCATAACATGCAAATGATCTCACCTTCTGGGCTCAGAGATAGGAATCTACTGTCAACCACATTCATTTCACAGGGCCTTATAAGCACAGGGGTTAATAAGAAGTATGGCTGCAAGGCTTGGTCTCTTAGATTAATGACTTTTGATAGGCTGCTCTGATAGGCTGAGGGTGGGGTTTGTTTTTTTTCAATTAACAGAAGTATAAAATGTGGCAACTATGAGCAGCATTTTAGAAGAACTGTCTCTCTCTCTCTCTCTCTCTCTCTCTCTCTCTCTCTCTCACACACACACACACACACACACACACGAGGGGGGGTGTAGATGGCACTTGCCAGGACAACCAAATGCATCATCTAAAAGCAACACATGTGTGTGTTTTCTTCAAAATTATTGTTTTTAATTAATCAAGTTTGCATGTGATTCGGCTATATTTACTACTGAAAATGCATAAAGGTGATAAAAAGTTTGCATACAATTCAACTCAGCCTCATACAATTAATCAACTAATATTTCTTTAACCAGGTGACACACAGCATAGATACTTACAGCGCAATCCAAACCCCTAATAAGCTGGAGGGGGGTTGGAGGGGGTGGAGATGTCCCTCCTGACTCCACCTTTTCCTTTTTACTTCTAACATTATGTTTGGGGCATGGTGGCAGGAGCCATGGTCTGTTCCAGCTTCTGCTGCTACAGCAACTGGTGTGATGGTTCTCTTTTTTAAAAACTCCATGCAGGCACCGAATGGGTGGATCCAGAGGACCCCACAGTCATTGCCGAGACAGAGTTGCTGGGAGCTGCTGCATCGATTGAAGCTGCTGCAAAGAAGTTGGAGCAGCTAAAGCCAAGAGCCAAGCCTAAGGTGAGCAAGAGACAGGGCAAGCTCACTTCACACTAATAATAATAATAATTTATTATTTGTACCCAGCCCATCTGGCTGGGTCTCCCCAGCCACTCTGGGCGGCTTCCAACAAAGATTAAAAATACATTAAAATGTCACATATTAAAAACTTCCCTAAACAGGGCTGCCTTCAGATGTCTGACATCTGATGGGAGGCGTTCCACAGGGCGGGTGCCACCACCGAGAAGGCCCTCTGCCTGGTTCCCTGTAGCTTTGCTTCTCGCAGTGAGGGAACCGCCAGAAGGCCATCGGCGCTGGACCTCAGTGTCTGGGCAGAACAATGGGGGTGGAGACGCTCCTTCAAGTATACTGGGCCGCTTAGAGCTTTAAAGGTCAGCACCAACACTTTGAATTGTGCTCGGAAACATACTGGGAGCCAATGTAGGTCTTTCAGGACCGGTGTTATACAGTCTTAGCGGCCGCTCCCAGTCACCAGTCTAGCTGCCGCATTCTGGATTAGTTGTAGTTTCCAGGTCATCTTCAAAGGTAGCCCCACGTAGAGCGCATTGCAGTAGTCCAAGCAGGAGTTAACCAGAGCATGCACCACTCTGGCCAGACAGTCCGCGGGCAGGTAGGGTCTCAGCCTGCGTACCAGATGGAGCTGGTAGACAGCTGCCCTGGACACAGAAGGTGGGGTCTGGAGTAGGGTCGCATCAGAAGATCTTAAGCACGAGGGTGACTCCCTTTTTTTGCATCTCCTCAAACCTCCCCTAGCAAAGTTGGTCCTTCTTGTGGTCCAGCGACTCCAGAGAACCATTCTGTCCTGGAAGTATATCAAGAAAACAAGGCCCCTCCAGAAGGAAAGATCATCCTCACAATATTCTCAGCAAAGGCTTAAAATAAAGAAGAGATTTGAGGGACAAATTTTGCATAGAACATTTTAGGGGGGAACATTTGGCAAAACCCAAGAGGAATGGCTGGGAAGGATTTCCTGGTGATCAGAGTCAGGTGCCCCAGGCTTCACTAAATACATTGTGTAAAAATATCAGGTGAAAGGCATGCTGGTTTGAAAGGGATGATTTCCACATCACAGACTCCTCGGTGCAGAAATATAGGATATTCTATACTCTATATTGCACTTCGTGTTGTGCACAAAGTCTGCATCACAGTGGATCACCTCCTCCGTTGAATGTCAAAGGTTGAGAGGAGGGGCGGTGGTGTAGGGCTGCTGCATTGCCAGTTGATGCTACGATACGATTCTTCATTTATCAAGATGCTTCCTGGCATGAAAGTCTTATAAGAAGTTATTCATGTTGAGTAAATCAAATCAGTTTGTCTCTGCTTTCTGTTCTGCGATAGGGATATAAATGGCTTTCCACGATTTCTGCTAGGATGCAGGTAGAGGGCAGTGATGCTCTGCTCTGGCGATGGGCTCCCCCCCCCCGCCCCCCTTCAGACCGCCTTCCCACAAGCACGCAGCCTGCTGCCCCTGAGGTTCCCATCTAGCTTGCCCTGCTGGCTTCAGTATTTGAAGGGGGAGGACCGTGTTTGAGGAAGGGCGGGGGAAGGTTTTATCGAGATCTAGCCCCCTTGTGGCTTCCTGCTGTTGAGTCTAATCCGTATTTCAAGCTGAGTCCAAACCTGGATGCCTTTTTTCTGCAGGACTCTGTGTGATATGTTTGATATATTAGGTTGTTATTTAGTCCAACTATATATCAAACATTCCTACAGTGTCCCGCTCTGTCTCCGGGGACTTTTTAGATGAGAGATATATAAATATATAGAAAACGTAGCAGGAGGCAAAACGGAGTTTTGCAAAGAGGCTTGTTAAAGGTTTAGAAGAACTGCCTGCCGATTCTGCTGCTTCTTTCGATCTGGTTCAGAGGACACATACGGTGGAGAAAACCAAGCTCCCTCTTTCAAGCATCGTGGGAAGATGGCGGACTTGGAACTCCCTGCCACCTGACATGGTGGTAGCGGTGGCCTCTGTAGCATAGTTGGTTTTGTAACATAAACCGAAAGAATAAGAAAAACTGTGGTGGAGGAGTAGGCCCTTTTACGGTTTAACAGCTGTGACTGCCTGCTGGAACCCCCACATACAGAGGCAGTAGACCCTTGAGTGCCGCCTCCTGGGAGAACTAAGAAGGGAAATCCATCACTTACCTGCCTTGCTTGGAAGCATCTGGGGGCGCATGGCAGATCATGGCCAGGCAGCTGATACTGGTACCTTTGGTCTGGCCCAGCCAAACAGATCTTAATATGACTTCGCTCTTGAGCTACACATAAAGGGCAGCAAGCTTACAGATAACAGGGGTGACTTAACAAAGCTGAACTCAGCCTTCTCTGTGTGCTAATCTCTGCTGAGCCTATACAGTGGTGCCTCGCAAGACGAAATTAATTCGTTCCGCAAGTTTTTTCTTCTTGCGAGTTTTTCATCTTGCGATGCACGGTTTCCCATAGGAATGCATTGAAAATCAATTAATGTGTTCCTATGGAAACCGACTTCAGACCAGGTCCGGGGACAATCTGTCCCCCGACCTCTTCTGAAGGCTGGGGGGGGGCGAAAGTCTTTGCTCCCCCCCCCAAGGCAGCATTTTAAAATCGCCCCGGACAGCGGAGGACTTCTCCGCTGTCCGGGGCGATTTAAAAGCCCTCCCGGGAAGGCAGCCAGGGGGGACAAAGATTTTCGCCCCCCGCCAGCCTTCAGAAGAGGTCCAGGACCTCTTCTGAAGGCTGGCGGGGGGCGAAAATCTTTGTCCCCCCTGCCTGCCTGCCTTTAAAAGCCCTCCCGGGAGAGCGGAGAAACGCAGCGCTCTCCCCGGGATGGCTTTTAAAGGCAGGCAGGCAGGGGGGACAAAGATTTTCGCCCCCCGCCAGCCTTCAGAAGGCTGGGGGGGCAAAAGTCTTTGCTCCCCCCCCCCCACGGCAGCATTTTAAAATCGCCCCGGACAGCGGAGGACTTCTCCGCTGTCCGGGGCGATTTAAAAGCCCTCCCGGGAAGGCAGCCAGGGGGGACAAAGATTTTCGCCCCCCGCCAGCCTTCCCCTCTTTTGAAGCAAGGGGCGGAGGGGAGAAGATCGCTTCTCCCCTTTGCCGCCCCTTGCTTCAAAAGGGGTCCGGGGGGAGAGAGAGGAAGGCGCGCGCCTTTCCCTCTGTCCCCTCTTTTGAAGCAAGGGGCGGCAACAGGGAGAAGATCGCTTCTCCCCTTTGCCGCCCCTTGCTTCAAAAGGGGTCCGGGGGAGAGAGAGGAAGGTGCGAGCCTTTCCCTCTGTCCCCTCTTTTGAAGCAAGGGGCGGCAACGGGGAGAAGATCGCTTCTCCCCTTTGCCGCCCCTTGCTTCAAAAGGGGTCCGGGGGGAGAGAGAGGAAGGCGCGCGCCTTTCCCTCTGTCCCCTCTTTTGAAGCAAGGGGCGGCAACGGGGAGAAGATCGCTTCTCCCCTTTGCCGCCCCTTGCTTCAAAAGGGGTCCGAGAGGAGAGAGAGGAAGACGCCAGCATTTTAAAAAACCTCGGGACAAAGGAGAAGTCCCCCGCTGTCCCGGGGTTTTTTTAAATGCTGCTGGGCGGCAGCGCTGCCGCCCAGCAGCATTTTAAAATCGCCCCGGACAGCGGAGAAGTCCTCCGCTGTCCCGGGGGTTTTAAAAAACCTCTCCGCCCCCGCCAAGCTTCAGAGCAGCCTTCCGAAGCCTGGCGGCGGGAGGAGGTCCGAGGACAGTGGGCAAGACGCCCTGTCCCGGAGATTTCCCTATGGGCTTTCGTCTTGCGAAGCAAGCCCATAGGGAAATTCGTTTTGCGAAGCGTCTCCAAAACGGAAAAACCTTTCGTCTAGCGGGTTTTCCGTCTTGCGAGGCGTTCGTCTTGCGGGGTACCACTGTATTCAAATATGAGCTCCCTCCCATGCATTGCAAAATAATAATAATGGCGGTTTGTCTACTGCAGGGCAGGGGGGACCATTTTAAAACCCAGAGAATCTCTGCCACCTTCCTTTTGAAAGTTAATCCTCAACCTCGAGTGACTGTTTCACAGAGGAAGTTTTTTGGGGGGGAAAGATAGTACAAGTGTTTAAAAGATCCCTTCCCTGCAATTCAAACAAAAAAAACAAAACGGAGACAGAAAGATGGTCTGACATAATAGTATTTTCATTTCCCATTATTTCAGAGTCTGTATAGTAAAAGCCAAATTAATTCCCCCACGTTTGTGATTGTTTCAGCTTCCGGGGGGGGGGGGATATTTCAAACCATGTCCTTGTATCAGTAGCTCTTGGCCAGAGGCAACTCTTACCACTGATGATTCTTTCCCTCTCTCCCCCATCTTTTAATTGCACCCTCTACCCCCCAAGTCCCACACCTTCCCCTCCAAGGGGTCTTCCTTCCTGCCCTCTTTGGCCTTCTGCCCTTTCAGGCTATGCTTCCTTCTTTCTGAGGCCTTTTGCCTTCCCAGCCTCTCTGCACCACATATGTAAGGAACCTGGTCTCCCTCCAAACATTTCTGGACTCCCATCATTCCTGACCATGAGCCATGACAGATGGGGCTGGTACATCAACAAACCATAGGCAGGGCCGACCATACCATTACGTAGAGTGACATAGCTGCCTCAGGCAGCAGTTGCTGAGGCGCATGGAGCGGACAGAACTCTGCACCCCCTGCCATACGCCTTGCACCCCATAAACAAGTCTGCTGACCCTGGGTGCATTGGAGGAAGCTGTCCAAAATGTCCTGCTGCCAGTGCTGAAGTGAGATTCAGCAGCCAGTCTGGTTAGTTTCTGGAATAAATTTGCCCTCTGCAGCAGAATGACTTGGGCCAGTCCACTCTGAATAGCCCACAGGTTCCTCATGCCTGCTCCAGAGCTGCACCACCCAAAGCCTGGCAGGAGATTCACCACCCAACACCATCAAATCACTTGCTGCAATAGTCATCAGTAGATGTCAGAGCACCCTTTACCCCAAGCATTTGGAGATGTGTTTCTGGAACTTTTTAAAAAAACACACACCCATATTCTGGTATGTGGTAGTATTGCTGTTGCTCTTGGGTCAGGCTGTGGCCCCACAGAGCATCCCAACCCCCCAACCCCCCACTTGAACACCAGCGCCTTACAGGCTACATGCTGGTAGCTTATCCTACTAGGTAAAGGTAACGGGACCCCTGACAATTAGGTCCAGTCATGACCAACTCTGGGGTAGCGGCGCTCATCTCGCTTTATTGGCTGGCGTACAGCTTCCGGGTCATGTGGCCAGCATGACTAAGCTGCTTCTGGCGAACCAGAGCAGCACACGGAAACACCGTTTACTTTCCCGCCAGAGTGGTACCTATTTATCTACTTGCACTTGACATGCTTTTGAACTGCTAGGTTGGCAGGAGCAGGGACCGAGCAACGGGAGCTCACCCCGTTGCGGGGATTCGAACCGCCGACCTTCTGATCGACAAGTCCTAGGCTCTGTGGTTTAACCCACAGCGCCACCCCCGTCCCTTGCTTATCCTACTAGTGGTGTCCATTTGCACCTAAGTAACATGGAGAGAACATGACCTCTGGCATGGGATGCCTTTTGAGCATGATCCCTGCCCTAGACCTGGGGCACATGTCACCACTGGACTAACCAAGCAGCAAATCAGCAGAAATATGCCTGCCACATTTCTTTCAAATGAAGCCAGTATTTTGCTTAATCTTCCTCTCTTATTGCATTCTTCTTCTGGCACAGGAAGACTTAGAGAGCCTTGTGTGGAATGTGCCTCTTCCTGCTCCTTTATTATTATTTTAATGGTATCATAGAATAGAGCTATAGAGTTGGAAGGGTCCCAAAGCGTCATCTGGTCCAACCCCCCTAGTTGAGTATTCATCAGGCAAGGGCAAAACTGCTGAAATTTCAAGAGAACTGTAGGTGACAGTCTCCTCTTCTGGTTACAGCAGGCGGACGAGACCCTGGATTTTGAAGAGCAGATCCTTGAAGCAGCTAAATCCATTGCAGCCGCCACCAGCGCGCTTGTCAAGTCCGCGTCTGCAGCTCAGAGGGAGCTGGTTGCCCAGGGCAAGGTTAGTGAGCAAGACTCTGCCCATGAAAATGTAAGTCACCACTTTAAGATGACACATCAGCTGGTGGAGTTCGGGGAACAGATGCTGGGGCAGCTGTGCTGGAATAACGTCCCATCATCTGCCTGTCTCCTGATACAGTTCAGATGCAGCATAGCTTGCCGTCTCTCATTTCTTACAGCTTTACACACTAATGCAGCAGCCCTTATGGTCCCTGCAGCTATGAGGCAATTGCCTTGTTGCCTCACAGTTAAGCTAAGTGCCCCAAGGTGCCTTGTAGTGCCTCGTGGTATAACTTTTAACTGCCACCAGGTGGATCTGGAGAGCCTTTCCTGTAGCGAAAAGCACTGAGAGCTCCTGAGCAGATTTCCAGACGCATTTTGGTTTAACCTCCCAGTCCCACCTGAAGGCAAGTTCAGCCGCGGCCCGTAATGCTGCCCAGCTGTTTGTCATAAGGCAGCTGCTGCTCATGTACCCTGTCCCATTTCCCCCAGATGTTGATGCAAGGCCCAAAGCCATCTAAATGTTTTATGAAGCGTTGCTTTCATGCTATCAATCCCACCACATAAGTCATTAATAATTAATTGTTCCTGCTAATTAATTTTGTCTGAACTGTGTTTCTAGGTTGGAGCCATCCCTGCCAATGCAGCTGATGATGGACAGTGGTCTCAGGGACTTATTTCCGCCGTGAGTTAGTCCAGATTTTTCTCCTTCCACCTTTTCAAAGGTAGCCACCATCTGCTCTCTGCTGGCCTGATCAGATCCGCCCAACCCCCTGTTGCTCTGCAGTTGGGACAGAAGCATTGCAGGCCCTCATATTTTGCAGGCTCAGGCCCTCATATTTCCTGCTGAAACAGAGGGTAGGGGACTGGATGCAGCCTATCAAGCCTCCCTGGGACTCCCTCATGGGTCATGGCCCTTGCTACCCCTGCTTTGGGGGCCCTTGAGCACTTTTGCCTGGCTGGATTGTGCCCTTTTTTATTTTCATAGAGTCATCTAGTCCAACTCCCTGTAATGCAAGAATCTCAGCACAAGGTTCCCCATCCAATTCGAAACCATACCGGGCCCTGCTTAGCTTTTCTGGTGTGCTACCTGTTATTTATTGTATAAATATCTCACCTTTTCCAGAAAGGAGCTCAAGGTGGTGTACATGGTTCTCCACACCCTGTTCCATCCTCACAGCAGCCCACTAGGCTAGGGCCTGGGCTGAGGGGCAGTTGTGGCAAAGTGGGGATTTGAAATGGTCCACCCCCTTACCGACTACACCCCACTGGCTCTCTTGAATTGTGATAATGCTTCTTGCTTCTATGGATGGAGATAAGGGTGGGTGGGTGGGTGTGAAACCTTTGTAAACTGCCTGGACTTGTTTTTACAATCAAGCGGGATATAAATTTTAGGGAGGGGAATTATGAAATAGAAACCTCTGGATTTTGTTAGACTGGAATGCAGCATACTGTATAAAGGCAGAGAGAGTCACACACTTTTTGCCTCTCTCCCCTGCCGACCCTTCTCTATAGACCTTGAGGTCCTGGGAATCAGACAGGGTCTCACTGGGAGGTCAAGGGAAGCAGAAGACCAGAAGATGGATTTTGCTGCTGGACATGATTCCAGCACAGATCCTGGCATTTTAGATTTTCTTTCATCTGACCCCGCCTGAGCCTAGTGGACCATTGGCCTGACCCAGAAATAAAGCCAGGCCTGATATTCTGTTCTTGCCCCTTCCAGGCCCGAATGGTGGCAGCTGCTACCAGCAACCTCTGTGAAGCGGCCAATGCTTCAGTCCAAGGCCACGCCAGCGAGGAGAAACTGATCTCCTCTGCCAAGCAAGTGGCAGCGTCCACAGCACAGTTGCTGGTGGCTTGTAAAGTGAAAGCAGATCAGGACTCGGAGGCTATGAGGAGGCTGCAGGTAAGGAAGGTTGCGTGGCTCAAATCTCTCACCTTTTGCGAAAGCCGCTTAGCTTGATGCAGGAGGTCAGGTTTGGTATCCTCACCATGCCTTGCATTGATTCAGCACAACAGCCTTGCAGTGTAGGTCAGTATTGTTACCTCCATCTTGCAGGGTTGGGGAGCCTAAGGCCCGGTTCAGCCTACCACACCTACCTGCCCCTTCTTGACATCACACATGGGGGAGGTAGAGATACAACTTAGATAGGTAAGCCTGCAGAAGGCAGGATTGAACTCCCTGTCCATCAGCTGATCCATGGGGAGTTTGGTCCCGCTTGGTCCTTCTCCCCCAAATTTAGTTGGGTTGGGGAGACCGCTGCCCCTAACAGATCACCTCACATCATTTTGACATCAGATGATTGATAGGTAGGTGGTCCTGCCCACTTGTCAAAGTAGATAGGACCACCCATCTGTCAATCATCTGATTTCATAATGACGGCACTCAAAAGTTGAGGTGAGATAAAGATCTAACCCACAGGGCCAAAAAGGTTCCCACCAATTGCCTAAGGCCAACCAGCAAGTTCATGGCTGGAGTGATGCCTGAATAAGGGAGCTACCACCTCACTCTTGAGTTGCACCACATTATGCCCTCTAATGGTAGTTCCGAATGCTCCTCTAAAGCTTGATATAAGTGGCAATGGACTCGCTGCAAAAGTTCATTAAATGAACTGGATGCTTTGTGGCAATAATGGTCAGCAGGCTCAAGAGTAGAGTCCTGGTGGGATCAAGATAGAGACTATTTTTCATGTGGAACTCCAGTGGGTTTATTTGCTATTCCTTTCTGGGCTCAGTTTTCGGTCCTCATTCTTATCCGTAAAGGCAGAAATAGCTTAGGATCTGGTTACCAACTTTCATATAGTGGCCCTGCCTGGTTTTAGAATTGAAAGGGTGCAGAGATAAGGCTCCAAAGATGACCTGAAGAGATGGTGCAGGAGCATGAGACCCTTCAGGACCCCCCCCCCAAAAAAAAAAGCTTAGCGCCACCTTCCCCAAGCTGGTGTCTTTCAGGTGTTGTTGGACTTTCATCAGCCCCAGCCAGCAGGGAGGGTGGGAGTCCAGAAACATCTGAAGCATGTCAGGTGGGAGAAGGTTGACTTACACCAGGTTTGCAGGACCTTTGGCCCTCCAGATGTTGCTGAAATGCAACTGTCATCATCCCTGGCCATTGATACTGCTAACTTCTTTATCTGCTGCTTCTGTAGGCTGCAGGGAATGCTGTCAAACGTGCATCGGATAATCTGGTCAGGGCAGCCCAGAAGGCAGCGTTTGGTAAGGCTGACGATGACGATGTCGTGGTGAAAACAAAGTTTGTGGGAGGAATTGCACAGGTCAGTAATAATCTTTCACCTGTCCGTCATTTTCACCTTTTCTCTCCTGTTGAGACCGTGTTGAGAAGAGTCCATATAATACAGTAGGTTATGTGACGGCAAAAGTAGATAACCTAAGGATCAGGGGCCAAATGTGTCCCGCTCGGCCTGGTCACTGCCTGGATGGAGGACCTCATGCCTGCCTGCCACCTTGGGTTCTATGAAAAATGAGACTCTGCATGACATTCTGAAATCTGTTGGGTTTCAGTTCCCTGCATGTGCAGAGCAATTGCAATCAGCTTGAATGTATAGTATGATCACATCTAACACGCATATAGCTTGTGCAATTCCAACCTTACATGATTGAAGGCCATCCAATTGAAATTGCAGGAATTTAATTCCTGCAAGGTTTTCCTGGTGTGAAAGGAGCTTTAAGTTCTCTGCCTTGCTTACCATAAGCAAGGCCCTCTCAGCACACCAGCTCTGGAAGCCTGGGGGTGGTTGTGTGAGCTCTTGGGGGATCTCAGATGGCCCCATGAGATCTCATGAGAGCATCCCAGACCTGGTGTGCTGTGTGGGGCCTTGCCCAGTAAGCAAAGCAAAGAGCGCAAGAGGTCTTTTTGCACCACATTTTCCAGCTTTGGAGTCCATTGCTTTGATGTACACACGTTTTCAGGTACATGTGGAACCCTTGGAACTGAACCCCTCGGTAAGATCTGATCGTACTGTATTTTATTTATGTCATCATTTATTTCTGTGGCACCATCACTGTCCTTTATTCTTCTAGATCATCGCAGCGCAGGAGGAGATGCTGAAGAAGGAGCGGGAGCTGGAAGAGGCGAGGAAGAAGCTAGCCCAGATTCGCCAGCAGCAATACAAATTTCTCCCTACTGAACTGCGGGAAGATGAAGGCTAACGTTTCCCTGGTGGTTTTGCTTGAAAGAAACCTGAACTGAAGGGGTAGAAGATGAAGAAACTACCAGGCACTTCCTGAAATAGGTTTTGGGGCAGGAGAGAAGCAGAGGGGGGGCTGTTGTTTCTCGACTCTTCAGCTACGGTGCGCTGGTCAACCGACTGATGGTACAGTGTTATGGTCTCCCCCCCCACACCCTTACTTGCTGTATCTCAGGAGAGAGAGCCTCACTTTTTTACACAAGGGGTTATAAAGTCAGTATTATATCATAATCAGAAGTTTTGATCTATTTATTATCCTCTTTGACTAGCGTTAAGGACTTTGGTATTATAATATGTAGGAAGACGGTGTTTAGAAGTCCATGATTCAAATAAGCTACCCAAATGAAACTGCTGGTGGGTTTTCTTCTTTTTCTTCTTCCTCTTTCTTTCTTTCTTTCTTTCTTTTTCTTGTGCCCTCTTTCCTTCCAAGACTGAGGCAGCAGCCATGTCCCAGAGAAACCAGACATTTGAATGTGTTGGCTTCGTGGAGGGAAAGTATTTGTCCTCTCCAGTGTCATATAGGGCTGGTTCGCTCTAAATGTCGGGGGAACTTTCTCGGTAACTGTTTGCACTAGAAGTATCAATACTGGCACATTGCCACGCGTCACCCCATTCTTTGTACAGTGGTTTTTTCCCCCTTTGGGGGGTGGATTCAGGTTTCTAGCCCACAAGGAATTAGAATAGTTATCCTTTTGGGGGGAATAAAGTAACCCAAGAAAGACAAACCGGCGTGCATTTTTTAAAAAGTGCAGAGTAGCAGGTTCATGAAGGGAAATGCCTTTTTGTTTAAGTATACCTCTTGCTTACATCAGCCTTTGCTAACCTGTGGCCCTCTGGATGTTTGAGACTACAATTCCCATCAGCCCTGGCCAGTACCAGCCTGTTAATACAAAACACATCTCAATCTTAAACTCAACAGCTTTTCTCTCTCATTTTAGTGAAGAACTGGCTTATATTATGAATTTGTGCTTAAGCATCGCTAGATGTGATCCATGAGGTGTAATATCAGAGAGGATGCTACCTAGCAGACCACTGCCCCACATTGCCCCCAAGCAGCCATATAGGTTTTCTGGGATTTCTGCTACCACCTGAGTTCAAAAAGGAGGAGTCCATGAGGACCAGTGGCTTGTACTTCCATTTATCCTTTTTCTGTGGAATCTCTCCTACCCACTGCCCCCTCCCCCATACTTTTACAAATGTTACATTTTGCAGGGGGAATCAAAAGCTGCTTTTATCAACTGTGAAGAAAAATATCTGGAAATTTAACGGCTGGCCAGTAAAACAGTATTTTTCTGGGAGATGATCGTTGTGTTGCTATCCAAGGAACAGCATTCTAGAAAAAATAAACTTAAGAAAATGCTGTTTCAAAGGTATTGCAATGTTCTTCACCCGATGCGGCATAAATCCTCAGACAAGATACCATTACAATGTTATGTTTCTCATACAAACAGACTTTGCCACATAACTGAAAATGGGGAAACTAAACTGGAGGTTGTGAATCATCATAATTATCTATCATGCTCAGACTGCGGCAAAAATCTTCAGAACAAGCCTCCCAGTCTACTGGCTGGAAAATAATTTCCTTCCCAAGTCCTCCTGAATGCCATGAAATTAGCTCACCTGCTCCAAATTGCACCAACCAGGCTTCCTGGCTTAGTTACACTTTTTGCAGAAATAATGCTCTCCGAACGCAGTTGAAATCTTGTGCAAGCCTTGGGCGCCAGGTGTGATATGCAAAGCTCCAGCGGAGGCCTTGCCTGCCTGTGGTGGGATGCAGGCTGGGCCTGAAGACATGGGGGTTGTGTTGCCTGGTTCACAGAAAGCTCTGGAAAGAAATGGTAGAGCTGCCTGGGGACAGGATTATTTCAGGTGGGAAGTTGTGGGTAGGTGTCAGCCCCATGAAGACTGTCGCTGACTAAGCAGGAAGAAAGCTAAATGGGAGCTCTTCTTCCCCACCCTAAAAAATGGCTTTCCAAATCCAGAGAAGTGAGTGGTGGTTTTCTTTTTATTTTTTCCTTAATATAGACTGTTCCTCCAAATGCAGCCTTATTAGCTACAGCCCATCAGAGCATCTTTATCATCTTATCACTCTCTTGGAAATGGGTGCATCATGTTTCATTTATTGTTCCCCGAGGGCTGAACAAATGACTGTGGGACAAGCAGGAAATTGATTTGTTGGTGGTGTAATGCAAAAGAGGGCCTAATGTTTACCTTCCAAATCCACAGTCTACTTCAGGCCTTGACAGGATTCTAGTTGCCAACAACTTGCTGTAAGGCTAGGCTATAATTTATGGTACAAATTTAGCCTCTCCTTAGGAAATGTCATTGTGCCAGCAGTTGTTTTTTTAAAGACTTTGTCTCGTCTCTGATGCTGAAGCATTTTAAGGTCTGCAGAATCCTTGGCAAATATAGAAAACTTTAGCAAAGTTTGGGGTACTGGCAGAATTGGACCCCTTTTTGAGGGAGGTCCCACTGTCAGTCTCTGAAGGCTTTGTACAGGGCAATGTATTCTAAAACGTTATTGAAAGTCTGCAACAGATTGAGTGCATTTCATAATTCGTTCTGTGAGATTAATTCCTTTCCATAATTTATTCCATTTCTCCAAATCATGGAGGAGGGTCCAAGAACTCTGTGGAACATCATTGTTACACTCCCAGTCACTGAGAAGCTTATTCAGCTGCCCTCGCCTCCTCTGCAGCTTCTGATGTTTCAGCAAACATGGTCCATACACTCCCAATAATATTTTCTCAGGGCTGGAAACTTGCTTTTCTTAACAATTGAAAGCTGAGGCTCTCAGAATGCTGTTCATTTGCCGCAGCGTGTTTAAAATTTGAGGTGCAACCATTCAAAATGCAATGTTTGGAGTGGGGGGAGTTGTTTTGACTTCAGCTTGCAGAAATCATGTTTATGAAAGTGAGCAGAACCAGCACGAGTCATTTTGGGCCTGTGGGAAGAAAACACCCATTTCCCTCCATGCAGGCAGGGCAAAGAATCAGGCAGGTCGCCTGCACAAGCCCCACTGAAATGAAGGGGAGACTTCAGAAAGGCTTGCGCAGGAGGAGAGCATCTGTGTTGCTGTGCACAGAGGACCCTTTTGGGTCTCTGCCTCCAGCCCCCAAATGCCTTGGACCAAGCATAAAGCAAAGAGGTGGCCTTGACATCAAGAGTTTTAACATCCTTGGATTTTATCACCTGCAATGGTAACAAGAAAGCGAAGCAGACTTGGAAAATGTTCCACTAAAGAAGGGTGGTGCCCATTTTCATCCCATCACCTGATCTCCTAGCATGGCTCTTCTTGGGCAATTAAATCCCCCCCCCAAAAAGTGCTCTAAGAATCTCTAAAGAGAATTGTGACGTGGCAAACGCCTGTTTTGCAACTGAGCATCTTTCCATGAGGAACCGCCTTTGCCTTTAATGTCTCCCCAAGTCCTCCCCTGCCTCCAGTAAATGCCCCAAATCCAAGCCTCCCCCCTGCTCCCTTTGGAAGAGTGTTAAATTTCTCATTTGCAAACAATTGGGATTCAGGACTTGCTTGTCAGCCTTGTTTCTGTTCTTCAACAAAACCACTATTGACATTGCCAAACTCTGAATGTTGGTGTGAGCACCGAAGAACTTCTGAATGATTCAGACACTTGTGTGGTGACAGAGACGATGTGCTCCTGTTTGCAAGGTCGCCTGTGCAAGGAAAAGTACGAGAGGAGCGCACACTCCGTCTTGATGTTACACTGTATGTACACTATTTATCTGGCCCACAAAACTGTTTTGTATTTACCATAAATAAAACTTTTGATGGCACAGGCTCTCTTTTTTTTTAGACATACATCTGTACTCTCACCAGCTGCTGCTTGGCAAGTCTGTCCCAAACCTGGGAAAGAAAGATATCTTAGTCAACTAGCACTGGGCTCTTCCAGGCAACCTCTTCATTGAGACTTCATGCTGATCTGTGTGCATGGGGGTTGTTTATTCTTTTTAAAAAATGTATACAGGTGTCTGGCATTTTAGCCACATCCAGTTGACGTGCAACCACAACACGGGTCCTTTTGGATGCAGAAGAGAGAGGGGGGCCTATGCATGCTCCACAGACACACACTTTGACGTGGAGCGCAACCCCTGCAGAAATAGGGGGTTGCCTGTATACCACAATTCTATCTTTAAAATTATAAAGCTACAATAAACACCGTGTAAAATGTTTAAAACAAGACATCAATTAACCATTTGGAAGGTATTCTTAAAATGCCTGACTAGACAGGTTTTCAGCCCGTGATTAAAAGGTGGCACAGAAGGTACCAGCTTAAATGAAGTATCAAGTGGTGATTGTTCCATGGTTTCCAGTGCATTTCCCTGTCTCATTCCTTACTCATTCCACAAGTCCAGGGCTTGTGGTTTGGGGAAAGCTTTTGGAAACAGGTGAAGAGGTCACCCATAAGCGAGGGAACCAAGGCTAGGCCGTGGGGGCCTGCCCTGCCATCAGAATCGAGGCAAGAGAGTGCTTGGAGAGAGCTGTGCCCACCTGGGCTGCTCTCAACCACGTGTCTCAGGGCTGCTTTCATAGCTGAGCAACTCTGCTTTGAATTCTCGCCCTATGCTGCGTAACTTGAATGATCTTGTAAGCCTTAAACAGTGTTGCACACACCTCAGTCTCTGAGCAGCAAGAGACTCCAGGGAGGTTTGTACATACCCAGGGTTCAGTTTGGTGAGAGCCAGTGTGGTGTAGTGGTTAAGAGCGGTAGTCTCGTAATCTGGGGAACCAGGTTCACGTCTCCGCTCCTCCACATGCAGCTGCTGGGTGACCTTGGGCCAGTCACACTTCTCTGAAGTCTCTCAGCCCGACTCACCTCACAGAGTGCTTGTTGTGGGGGAGAAAGGGAAAGGAGAATGTTAGCCGCTCTGAGACTCCTTAGGGTAGTGATAAAGCGGGATATCAAATCCAAACTCTTCTTCTTCTTCTTCTTCCTTGGAATGAAGACCAATGCAGACTGTGGTGTCCTTAGAATACATGGTTTTATTTACACATGTATACATCCTGAGCATAGCATGGAAGGGTCACAGCAGTAACACCCCAAAAGATCTTGCCTCACCACAGTTTGGGGGGGGGCTCCCACACAAGCAAGATGAGCCTCTGTTCTCCAAGGTGACAGGGCATCCAGCCAGGTGAGATGAGGAAATGCCTTTTGTCCCTTGGGCAACCGGACAACTTCTTTGGATATGTAAATGGAAGTACTTAACTGGCCAGCTCAGACCATTATTTTACAAAGAAACTAACCTGACCAGTTAAACAGGTTTTCTCTTGTAGTTTCTAAGCTCATATACACAGAATCATGGGTTTAGAATGCACCTACAAGTATCCAGACTGATTCCTGCCCCCCCCCCCCCGCAATTTATGTTTTGAATTCACAAGAGTACTGTGCTAAGTATGGTTAGATGCTTGAGCAGGGAGGCTTGGACATCCCATCACAGAAATGTCCAGTGGCAGCATTCAGTTTTTTGGTGCAGTTACTGAAGACAGATTCCATCCCTTTTTTATTTTTTAATAACAGTATTACAAAATTAAGTGGCAGGAAATGGCCTACAATAATATGGTTTTGGATTCTCATCTGTAAAGGAAAGCTAAAGCAAACTATGGTTGGGACTACAAGCTACTCATTAGCTTGCTTGGAGTCTATAATGAAACATGCGGGTTTTGTTTCTCCAAAATTTGGCAGCAAAATGTTAACATCTGCAGAAAATAGGGCAGAGGCACATAGGGCTCAAAAAAATCAGCTGAGGCCAAACACACTGGGAATCTGGTAAGTGCTGTTTATGTCAAGACCATATGGGCTTTAGAGGCAAATCCAGAAATCTTAGATGTGAGACAGAGTTCAACTCTAGAACCTTTCTGCAAACATAGACCTGGAAAAGGTGGGGGGAATCTCCCTTTCCTCCTATATCCCAATCGTTATCTTCTCACATACAGTACATGCTCAACCATCCTACTTACCAGGGTGGGCCAAACACAGGGAAGCTTCCCTTATACTGAATCAGACCATTGGGTCTGTCCAGGTCAATACTTTTTTTTTTTTTTTAATTTTTATTGGTTTTACAAAGTTTTAAAGACAACACTTAAAAAAGAAAAAGAAAAAAACAAAAAACATACAAACACGCATAATTTCATATTATTTCTCATAACCCTCTTTTCTCAGACTCCCCCGTACCCCCCCTTTCTGCATCCCAATGTCCATAGTTTATAGCAACTCCCAATATTACTTTCCAACCTCTGTCCTTAGTTATCTCTATAATCTGACCTTATATCACTGTATCCCTTTGTTTCTGAAAACCATAACATCTAACATTCATCAAGTTTATAATAGTCCTTAAGATAACTTTTAAATTTTCTCCATTCTTCTTCCGCCGTCTCTTTTCCTTGGTCACGTATTCTGCCTGTCATCTCAGCCAGTGACATATAGTCCATCATTTTCATCTGCCATTCTTCCAGAGTGGGTAAATCTTGTGTCTTCAATACTTTGCCTTTTCCTCCTAATATCCCAATCTTTATCTTCTCACATTACAGTACATGCCAACCATCCCAGGCTAACCAGGGTGGGCCAAAACACAGGAAGCCTGCCTATACTGAATCATACCATTGTCTGTCCAGGTCAATACTGTCCAAACTAGCTTGCAGCAGCTCTCCAGGATATGCAACCTGGGTTTCTCCCAGCCCTACCTGGAGATGCTTCTGGGGCCTTCTGCATGCCAAGCCAGTGTTCTCCAGCAACTGGTGCTCAGAGGTGCACTACCACTGATAATGGAGGTTAACAGGTAATATAGCCATTGTGAGTTGTCACCACTAGTGGCCTTCGCCTCCATGAATTTGTCTCACCCCTTATAGTTGCCCAGGTTGGTGACCATCATCATACCATGTGGAACCAAATTCCCAGTTTGTTTATGTGTTGTGAGAAGAGGTGTGTCCTTTGCTCATTCTACAAAGGGGCACTGTTTTAAAATTCTCTTGCACAGCCTGTCTCTGATCGTATACACCATGCAAAGTGGATAGGTGATCTATTTGTTTTTTAAAGCCACCTTGCCTGACAAAACAGGATTACCGGTAAATGGAATCTGAGGGAATCTGAGAGGAGGCAGATTCCACACATAGATTGCTCAGAACCTGAACGGCTGAGCAGTTCAATAAAAACATTTCATTACCAGCTGGTCCCTCAAAGGATGCAGGAATTCAGAACATGTTTGGTATTCCTTTTGGCTCACTGAGGGGTGACATTCCTTAAATGCATGTTGGCATCTGCTGCCCTCCAGGTTTTCGTTCTTCGAAAGAAGCTTTTTGTCTCTGACACATGCTCCCACTTGGTGGGCATACTTGCCCATATTCCCCCTCTTGAAAGAAAGTGTGAGAGTACAGCGAGGGCTCCTGCTGTGTTTGTGTCCTGCTGGTGGCCCCTGTGGAGAATATACTTCGATGGGGATTTAGACTGATCCAATAACCAGGCTCTTCCGACATTCAAGGCTGCATACCATGGGGTGTTGTTAAGGATTGGAACAGGAACAAAAGGACTTGATTGTTCGTTTATTTAGAGTAGGCTTCTGTGGCAGCAGGGCACTGCCTCTTCTGTTTCTGCCACCTGAGGCAGCTTCTTCAGGCTGCCTCATGGGCTAGGAAATGAGCCAGCAAAATGGCTGCCCAGCTGAAGCTGAGGGAAGGGGTCAATGCCAGAGCACTGCTGGCTCCTTCCCTGGTATTTGGCAGCTTGCCATCCACTCTGCTAGCTTGCTAAATTTCAGGGGTTAGGAGCCTCAGGGCCATGTGTTAGATGTGGCCCTGCAGGCCCCTCTCTCTCCAGTCACCAGGACTCCCTTCCCTGGCCTTGCTCTTTGTTTTCCTTAAGTGCTTCTGCCTGCAGCAATGCAGCCAAGAACTCTGCTGGTGCCTTTCGCTTGCCGGGATAAAGCGATGAATGTGGGCGCATAGAAACCTCTGGCTTTAGTGGGACTGGAAGACAGTGTCTTGTACAAAGTTAAGGACACCACCTCCTTTGCTCCATCCCCTTTTAGCTCACAGCCCCCATAAGTTGTCCCCTACAGAATCCCACGAACTATGGCCCTATGCAGTGCTTTTTTGGGGGGGAGGTGCTCAAGAGTATTCAATACTGACACCTTTTCCCCCAAATGTTAAAAGTGTGGTGCTTACAGTAACAACTTCATGGTGTATACCAGCACTGTTTTTCTTTTCTTTTTTAAAAAAAATACTGGCCCAATGTGAGGAATAGGGGTGTCCTAAAAACTTTCAGCACCCCAGGATTCTGTGAGGGGAAGCTATGACTGTTAAGTGGTATCATAGTGGTTTAATGGTATAACCAACCTCTCAAGCCAATGGCATTTGAAGGACTGGTGTCTAAATGGCAATTTCATTGCAGAATCTATGGATCAGGGTTAGCAGTTCATGCTCATCAAGTGGTCACTTCACTGACATGAGGAATATAACTCCACATGTTTATCTGGCATGGGCTTCTTTCTTTTTTGGTAATCACAGCGGGCTACAATTGCTGCCCTAGAAGAACTGTTGGCGGCTTTGAACTGGATGCTCTAAATGCCAGGAGCCAATACTGGACAAAGCTACCCAGGGCTGGGCTGGCTTCCATCTAGCATCCACTTCCAGCATCAAAGAGGTTGGGTGGGTGCTATGCTTTATATACTTGGGAAAGAGACACCAGAGTACAAAATACAATGTGTGGCACTTTCACTTTTAGAACACATGGAAAGAGGAGCCAGAAAAGGGCTGGGCTCTCGGATCTGGGTTCTCGGGTCTT